TCCAACGATCAGATTGATCCACAGCGTTGTTGTAGTCTTGCTCTGCGTATTTTAGCTACATCCTGTCAAACGCACCACTGTCTCATATTAGTGTAACGGTAGTTTTTTTCCCCCTTAAAAACGGGAGAGGGTACAAAGTTTACGTTCAATCCCAGTAGTAGGTACTATATGTCGAAATCAATATCAGATCCTAAAAGGAGGAAATGTATTTGAAAAAGCAGCGGTATGTAACACGGCACTAGAAGAAGATAAAAAAAGAAGAGCCAGCATTGGATTCTCGCTGAATAGATTAAAACAGGTCGCACAGCTTGTACCAGGTATTGCTGTACAGTAGTCTAGATCTCTGCGGCAGAGATGGGCTAGGCCGATGAGCTAGGGTATTCAGCTGGTAAAATGTAATTTTTTTAGCCTAGCGAGTAGATCAGTTGAAGCTTGTTTCCCCTCTCTGTCCTAGCACCTCCTGACTTTGCTCTGCGCCAAAGAGAGACGATCGAGACCGATGTATCTGGCGGGGCTAAGCTTCCGAACCCTTGGTTAAGACCCGAACGGTCTACAGTAGCATCATGCGCCGTCTATGCTCCGCGGATTGTGGCTATCACATCCCCTGTAGAATGTATGTTCTTGCCGTACAGTTGGCCAATGGATCGACGCCGCTGCTAGTGCTCCGTTTATGGCTGAACTGATGCGCGCGGGGCATGAGGGTGTGCGCGTGTGGCCTTGGCTTTGGCCTCAGCATATTTCGACAGCTTGAAAAGGAGAGTTGGGGGGTGTGTCGCGCCTCGCCTAAGTGACGCAAAAAGACACCATTTCAGGCTTGGCGAGATTTACTGGCGTGGTCGTCTCCCACATCCAAGATTTGGACGCGATTGGTAAAGGATCAGCCTGCCTCTCAATGTTTACCATGCCCGATCTGGCAGCATGATCACAGCGATATGTGATCTGCAGCCCAGCTTAGAGTCATAGATCAGCGAGCAGAACAAAGTCCTGTAGTGCTGAGTTTTATATGTGACGTACAAGTATGTGCTTGTATGATCGGTCGATTTTCATTTCCCTCCCCTTTCCGTAGGCGCCATCCTAGCGTGATAATCCACTGCCCTACGGGCGTACAGCTTCGCATTCATATGCGTGTCCCTGACTCTGCCTCTGGCCTGTCAGGTACTAGAAAGTTAATACGTGTTATTGCTCCGGACCTGTAGCATACTACTGAGGTAGCTAAAGCTGCGGCTAGCCTTGGGAGTAGGAGCGATCCAAAGGGCTGGGCCTGGCGTCGCCAGAGAGCAGTTGGATGCAGACAGGGTTCAGCCGTAGCTCACGCTCAGGCCGTGACACATGCCCTGCTGGCCTCGACTCAGCTGTCAAATTTTATTTCTTCTTACTGTAGTGGGATGAGCCCCCGATAACCCGAGATTCGTCCCCCACATTCCGTATTGGATGGAAGCCGAATGGCTGGCCCTAGCTTTGCACAGCGTCGCCTATTGCAACCAAAGCGCCTTGTCAACGAGTTGAGAACGATGGTTTCGATTGTTCTAGTCGCCTTTCGCTGGCTGAATTTGGGCTTCCTGATTCATCCCAGAGTTAGCATCGTCGTATCATCTTTTTCTTTGACAATCATGGCTCATTGGGAGTTAGTTAAACGTCAGTGATCGCCGGGAGGCCGTCATCGAGCTCTGCTTGGAGCGTCTAAATTGCCCCGGCTGAAAAAAAAAAATGGCCTGATGGACGGCAGACGCTAATAGCCACGGGCTGCTATCTGCGTACGGAATCCTTTGAGCAGATTCCAGCTGCTGCGGCAACAAATTTGACCATGCCGAAGACGGCAAACAAGGCGATGTACAAAACAAGGACGAGGCCTCTTCTTTTGGATCGCCACGGAGCATGTACTGCGCAATGTCTCACTTGGAGTACATAGGAACCTAGGGGAGTGTAGGTAAATTGATCGCCGGTTGCTGGCTGTGCTGTCTGGATTGTTTGCGCCCAAAGCGAAACCTGCCTTGGTGATCGGCATTCCAGTTACCCTTCTTGACTGTAGCGAGTGCGCATCCAGATCTCTGGGTCGAGACCGTTCTGCTCGGCACTGCCGCCGCGGCCGGGCCAGATTTGTCGTTTTTCCCTTTCGCCTATCCATATTCGGCCCTCAGTGTAACAGCGGCTGGGTAGAAGTGGCGATTAGCGCCCCATCACTTCCAATCTCTCGGGACCGATGTAAGGCTGATAGTTATTCTTATCTTGTCTCATTTATTAATGGAACACGCTTGGAGCCAGCCGCATGTTTGGTAGGTATCCAATACACGATGTTCCTTGCTATTCGTATCTCCAGCAGGGCCAACTTTGGCGAAAACTATACGCGGCTTGCGTGAGTGCTTCTCCGGGACTCTACTGACGGGGGTTGCAATTGTAGTGTCTCTTGGGTGATGCAGCCTGAGTTACAGTCTCCAAGGCCAAGACATTGCGCAACATATACGCCGAAAGAGAAGGTGCCAATGTAATTGCCCAGATTGTATACACTATAGGGGGTTTATACTTGTGGGCTCAATCTCAAGTGAAGGCGAACACTGTCTGAGGTACTCTGCCTTGCATATATTGCGAAGTAACGCTGGCAGTACCTAGAAGGAAGAGATGCGTTGCTTTGCCCACCACTTGAGGTGTTCTCTTTCGTACTGGCACACGTGTTGGGTTGAGAAGCTGGACCGCGATGGTGGGGTGCAATGGCTAGAGTTGCTGTTGGTCTTGGCGTCGTGATACGTTCTGTAAGCGACTGTGATGCGCATCATCTCCCGAGCTTTAGCAGAACCTACCATCCCATCTAGGACCCTCGACCGCTAAATCAGATTTAGCTAGAGGTGGCGCTCCGTGGTAGGCGAATGGCTTTTTTTTCTCAGCTGAAGACGCCATTTTTTTCATTTAAAAAGAGAGGCGTTGCTTCTTGAAGTTAGTCCGCTTTGGATATACCGCCAATGAGACACGATATGAAAATGCGGAGTGTTCTGTGCTGTGTCGTGCCAGCGTAGCGGTATTGCTTGTAGTACCTTGTTCATCGTACAACCCATGCGAGCAATTAGGTATGTCAATGACAAATAACGAGTATGGATGACCTGCTGCTGCTATCCGGACGTCACTTTGTAATAGTGCATAAGACCATGCCGCTTGTCAATTCTCGAGAATTTGACATACAGGAAATTACAAGTAACTGTGTTTGAAGGTTGTATTACGGGCATGGCGATGCTGTATCGTGAAGTTGCAATCATAATTCTGAGACGCCAGAAAATTGTCCTATAGCATTCGACCAGGTAAAAGGATGAATGGTTTTTCCACGGCCCTGTCTTTGTGTCGTGTTGGCCTGTCATGGTCTGCTCGGGACCGAAGGAAAACTTCGTATACCGGAGCGCTAAACTCCGTGGCGTCTTCCCCGCCACTCAGTTCAGTGTTGGTTTGACTTGATATCTGCTGCTAATTACAAGCTGCCATTCAAAGGAGGTAGGATAATTTGTGGTGAACTAGTAAGCACTTTGGGCCTCCGAATCTGATCCAGACAAGTCAATGTAGCTTATTTCCTGGCGGGGATGGGTTGACTGCGGCTGTGATGCTGGGCTTGACAGCGAGTCAGCACAGCTAATCAGTGTGACGACTAAGCGAAATGGGCTGGCAAAAGCCATGGTGCTCAATCCGGGTTTAGGCCTGCTTGCCTGGGGTAGAGCTTGCAGGGATCGAGGATTGACAGGCTGATGATGAGGTGTGTGATGGTCCCGAAACAGGCAAAGCTCCGCGAAAGACGGGTCTCGGAACGGTGGGGTCGCTCCGGGAGGTCGATCCAACTGCTTTGGGCAAAGTTTTTGGCTGGCAGAGAGGGGAACTGCGTGTGGCCGAGATAGGCAGCGCGGATGTGCCACGAGGTGAACATCCCGCGTGTTTATGCGTGCCGCATCGTGAGAGTCCAAAGGCTACATGCTGCTTGTAGATGCACTTTGAAAACGAGGCTGAATGCTGTGCGACAGTGGCGGCATCCCATCTGATCATCCAATGAAGAGCATCATCTGCGCACCATCAGTGAGGAAAAATGTCTTGGAACGAAAATAGAATGCTCTTACAGCAGGCAAGTGCCTCAGCTCTGCACGCTTGACGCCCTCGCATACAGCCATGATGCCAATCGAATCGCCTCCTGGTTTCCCCTCCCAAGACGGCGTCGGAGCAGGGCAGGTACAGCTTGTACTCAACTGCGAGAAACCCACCCAGAAACTCCTTTAGGCTCTGTGCATCATGGCTAAATCAGGGCAGCAGGGGGGTGTAGCGCCATGGCAGGAAAAGTCGGGAATCACGTCCAGTCGCTGGCGCTTCTTTGGAGCGTGGCGAGCTTGTCTCGGAAGAGGTTTAGCAGCACAGGCTGCCTGAGCTAGAGGGCGCGGGCATCATTTGCGCAGTCTCCGGGAGGCAGACGGCGAGGTGGTGTGCCGAGAGGAAGAGGTTGAGCGTAATCTAGGTCTAGGTAGGTAGTCGAGCTGCTCGACCGGGTCTGTCCGGGCCGGGCACGGTGGGCTAGAATAGCAAGCGAAGATGGAAAGCTCCGGAGAGCTTGGTGGGCAAATTAGGTGAAACGAAGCTCTCGTGAACCACGGACGGCGAGATTTTTTTCACCACGATAGTGCCAGGTACCCAGCGATAAAGACACGACAGGCGAGAGATGTAGGTAGATTAGGTAACGGCGAGTAAGCAGCATGGCTACGGATGATGACGCGCCGATGAAGTTACGCCCAAAACGGGATTTGTTAAGCCTTCCATGTTCCCAAGCCCTTTCCCTTTATCGCAGCTGCTGGGGAGCAAAGTCGTGCAGCAGGTAAAGAGTTGGTAGCAGCGATGCAGCAAAGCTAACCCGATAGGCAGGAGGCAGCCGCAGCAGGAAGGAGCTGTGTTTATGTTGCTCGCTCTTGATCAGATGCAGACACAGACGCAGATGCCGCAGACGCAGGCCAAAAGAGGGCTGCCGCCTGGATCCGTACAAGTGTCCGCTACAGGGCAGTGAGAGCAGCACTGAGAGCAGCACTGAGAGCAGAGCAGAATAGCACAGCCCTGAGAGCAACACAGCAATCCGTCTCTCCTTACCGCGCTGTGCTTGGCCTAGCGGCAGCTCCCCGACCTGGTGGGTGGTTCATCCCAACCATGGCCATTTGCGTCGACAGAGAGGCTGCGGTGCGGTGTCCAATGGCAGCGCCGGACGCCCTGGGACCTACCGACGGCCGGGATGGACAAGGACAAGGGTTGCTGCAAGTCGCTGCAAGTCGCTGCACCACAAGCACGCGAGCTGCAGCGACCTTGGCGGTGCTGGTGGTGGATCTCACACCATTTTGGCTCGAGCGTTTGGGTAGGTTTGCAAAGGCCCAGAATCGCAGTGTGGGCACACCGTCGCATGTTTGACCTAAGTTACGCCTCTGCGCCTGGGTCGTGAGATTCTTAATGGGAAGCGCCGCGATGAAGCTTCTCACGATGGCGACATGCTCCATGCGTGGTGCGAGTACGGGTACCTCGCGAGAGCACCTACGCCGATGCGTTCCCCGCGGGAAGAGCTTGTACCAGTACAGAGTACAAGGCAGCGGCAGCATCTCGTCTCCTCGACTGTCTTGGAGCGCACTGGTGCTAGTAATTGCTCAATACTATCATGGAAGCGTCCTCCCTGGCTCCCTAGTCTTGAAGGGTATCTGCACCGAGTAAGATTGTCATCACGACGGACCGCGTGTGGTATGGGCGTGCCCCCGCCCTCATCGTCTCTCTCGTCTCTCTCGTCCTGCTCCTTGGCTGCCGCGAATGACACGCGGGATGCCATCGCGTTATCCCGCCGGGCCTCCCCCAGGCCATCCGAGCTGGGCATAGCACTCGTATTCCCTGCACTCACGCTGCCAAGGACAGTATGGCACAGGCGCAGGTCCCACGTTGCTAGAGCGCGAGGCTCAAGACTCGACCCAAGACCAAGGACGTCTATGCTGTGTCCACGTCCACGTCGACGCCCACAGCAGCGTCTTCAAGGGCCTCGTCTCGTCTCGTCTCCTTTGCCTGCCCGTGCTAGCATCCTTCCCCAGTCCCGCCGTGCTGGCGCGCACAGACCGACAGCGACTCGCAGGCTGCCATCGCGGCGAACCACGCTGGACGCTGGCGCCACCGCTGCGAGCCTGCATCCACGGGCAACCTGGCGGCATTCGGAAGCGCTGAGTGATTGACTGCCTGCAGCCCCCTCTGGACTCTGGGCGCTAGGCCATGCGCAGCCGGGCTCGGGCTCGAGCGCCTGGCTGCGTGGTTCTGGGCCGGGGCTGTGGGTGGCTTCACCTCCAGGTGGCCCTAGCCTCTGCTCCGGCCCAAAAGCCTGGGCCTGTGCTGCGAGCGCTCTGGGCGCCAAAATCTGCGCCAAGAGAGGCCCACCCAGCGCCTGCAGCTGATGCACCCCCCGTCGCTGCGTGTGCTGATGCTGCAACGCCTTTTGCCCGCCCTGGAGGCCAGGGGTATCGGTGCTCCTGATCCCTGCCCGGCACCCTGGTCTCGCCTTGGCCAGGGTGATGCCCTCATCAGTACCGAGTACGGCGCCTGTACTTCGTACCGCCTTGGCTGCAGAGGGACAAAAAACCGCCACAGCGATGCGCGGCGGGTCGACAACACCACTACCGAGTTTCCAGATGCATTGATATCAAGGGCCTCTCTAGCGAGTACTTGTATCTTCCTCCGCCCCTCCAAATCTGTCCCGGATCTTGTCCCTCAGTGTTTCTATCCCGCTTTCGCCGTCAACGCCAGATCCCCTTGATAAGGCTGTTGAAGAAGACGACCTCAGTATATTAATCCCTTGTCTCAGAGTCCCCTTCTCCTTCTCTTCTCTCCTCTTCCTCCTCATCGTTCCTCGAATCGTCATCGGTACCGGCTCTCAGCCCGAGAATCCCTCCTTTGCCATTCTCCTCCGCTCCCCTTCGTTGCCGATAGATTCAACACCAAGGAGTATTTAAGATCAAGGAGTCGCCTCTTGTCATCACCTCCTGTCTCGTGGAATATCGGTTTTCGATTCCAGTCCAGCAGCCGCTCCCATTGGATTGCCCCCTTCTAAGAAAGCTAGTCGGCGGCCTGAACACCTATTAGCCCGACTACATAAATCTTTATCTGGGTTATACTCCCAGTGGCCGTCAGGTCTACAACCGCACACTCTTTCGCCTCTTACGGCTTCCTACTAGCAATCATGGTTCACCTTTCTCAATCAGAGTGGCCGGCATGGACCTACTCCGTTGCTGCCGCCGACGACTTCACACAATATGCCCAGCTGCCAGACTACTCTTTGCTTGCCGAGTCCATGAAGGCATACCAGCAACAGCATACCCACCTTGTTCACCACCAGCAGATGACTCGGACGACGGAATCAAAGCCACGGCTTTCAAAAGAAGAAGTGGATCTTCTCGAGTCTGAGTTCCAGAAGAATCACAAGCCAAACAGCAGCACCAAGAAGGCTTTGGCTGAGAGCATGAGGGTTGACCATGCACGCATCAATGTACTTGCACCTGTCTCCTTGAAAAACAAATCATAGTTTGCTAACCGGCTACCAGAACTGGTTCCAGAACAGAAGAGCTCGCGAGAAGAAGGAAAACAACATTCGAGAGTATGAAGCCAGGCAGCGAGCTGAGAAAGAAGGGACCAACCCATCACAGGCTGGCCTCGAATGTTCAGATCGCAAACGTAGCCTTGGCGCCTCCTCTGCTCCCTTTCCCGAGCCGCGCCAGACTTCACAAACCAAAGAGCAGTCCCCAGACGCTCCTTCACAGCTCTCAACTACATCCGAAAGCTCCACTGATGCCTACGAGGCCACATCGCCCGTAACACCGCACATTGGTCCTTCTTCTCACAGGTTCCACCATGCGGACGATGAGCACCACTTCTTCGCTACAGATGACGCTGCTGATGAGGCCGTGTCTCCTTTAAAGAACGGGAATGATTATGTCTCGGCGCTAGATTCAGACATGTCTTTCGCTAATGCGTCGGCCCTGGACACCATGCTTTCCATTGAAGATGCTACCAGTGACTATACAAATGAGCTCCAGGAAATGGACCTCGAGCGGATAACGGCATTTCTGGACCAGACTGCTCTTCCAAACAGTCCGGATAGGCGCCTCAAGTCTCCTTGCCCAACAGACATTGCCTCTCGCCGTAATCGTCAAACTCCCCAGCTATCAATCCATGGATCTCGAAGCTTCTCTGGCTCCTTAAGATTCGGTTCCGATGCGTCTAGACGTTCGGAACAGGTTGGCTCAATGCGTCGAGTTGTCTCTACGTCAGGGACCGGAAGAGTCCGCAAGTTATCTGCGTCTTCTGCCACGCCACGGAGCCCCTTTTATCAAAGAAACCGATCGCCAATGGGCGCAGGGTCAGCAGCACCTCCAACCCCTAGTACCCCCGTCGTCGCAGAGTCACACAATATCAATGGCGGCCTGTTCCCTTTGACTACCAAGTACTCCTCGTCGGCTCTTGTTCAGGATCCCACTTTGCGCACGCCACCGGCAACGCCAGCCTTCTTGGAGAACTTTGTCTTCAATGGCAACGGCAACTCCTATGCGATGGGCAACTTTGGCTTTTCTGACGACCTTGATTCGTCCATTCAGGCAACGGCTGCCTCCAGCCAGCCTACAACTCCCATGTTTCCCTACCAAACGGGAGCTGGCTACTTTTCTGGCTATGCGAGCGGCTCGGACTATAACTGGCCCTATTCATCAAACGCCGGCGAGCCGTCCTCAGATTTCGCCGCTCCATACCACTCATCAATGGGCATGCTTTGATGTAGAAAGGCGAGCCCTGCCATAGATGCTTTACATTGAAAGCTTCTTCAATCATTCTGTATACTATATAAAAAGCAGCCTTGCTCTTTGGTTGTGTTTTTTTTTCTTGTTTTTTTTTCTTGTTTTTTTCTTTTGTCAAGATTGCCTAGCACTCGGCATGTATATGAGCACTGGATTTTGTATGAGAAGCGCATCTATGTACTATTTAAACACCACGGAAAGGCCTTTGTTTTTTTTTATTTTGGATTTCTTTTGTCATGGCTCTGGTGCGGTTGGACTTTGGATGGCTTGTGCCTCCATTAGAGAGACCTTTGTGTCAATGCTTAGCGCTTTTGCGCGGGACTGGAGCTGAAATACCCTGAGCGCTGAAAGCAATTGGAACAGTGACGGATTCACTATGCATGCTATTTTGATAATACCTACTGTAGTCGGATAATAGCAGAAGAAAAATCATATCTACTTACATATACCTATAAACATTCCTAAGAGACATGTATGGCGCCCCTTCGCGATGTGTATAGGTATATGATTGTACTCTCTACTTGCTTGTACTTGTCCTACCAGTCTCTGCTTCAGCTCTACTTGAGAAATAATTGATATACCAGTAGTAGTGAGTTACGGTAGAATCGGCTTGTCGGCACCTCAACTGAAGTTTTTCATCCCATGCTATCTCCGGAGCAGTCAATCTTGCCATTTGCAGAAAAGATGTTCTGGTTTTCAAACCGCCGCAAAGTCAATTGAAGCTCACAGCCAATCAGCGACTTATTGCCACGAGGTTTCAAGGAGCTGGCTGTGCCAGCTGAACGGACTGCCGTAAAGTTGTACGCCACGAGTAAAAAAAGCTGAAATAAGCTTCGTCAAATCAACTGATTTAATACGACAACTGGGGATTTGTGGGCCATGCAGCCCAGTTGATTTAAAGTTGGAAAAAAAGAGAAACAAGAAGAAGAAGCATAAAAGTGTGTATTTCACAGTATAAGGCACTGAATGGTTTTTGGGTCGGAATCAGGGCTGCATCTTGTACCAAAGTATCTATTTTAGAGGATTAATTAAGAAAAGAAAAAAGCACAGAGAGCAAACAGCTTGGCCCAACGACGTCACAGCAGCTTGGCTTTGCTTAGCGAAAGAGCACGCGCAAACGCGCCTCGCACGGCCCCACTACTTCCCATTAAAGAAAGGGCAGAACAACATCCCTTCACTAGGCATATCGTCGTTGAAGCTCCCTTTGCGATTGAGGCCCTTGTTTGTCGTTCCCTTATATATGATTTGCTTTTCCTCCTTCAATAATGCCCAGTTGTGACTGATTGCCAGCTCGTCTCCATGTCCTCGTCCACGCTGCTCGACGTCTACGAAGACGCGTCGCGTGCGCGGTCTGGCATCTTGACGCCCACTTCCGAAGCGAGCTTGATTCACCCGCAGAGAGCTTCTTCGCCAGGCCGGGATGTGCCGAGATCGAGGGTCAAAGGCACCATGGAGCAGCTGCTCAAGCCTTCAATTGCGGTAAAGGTAAAGCTTTGAGAAAGTAGGCCACAGCTAATGAGAGAGCACTGCTGATGATTCTTCATGATCGCTTGTGCTAGCCGCATCCACCAAATCTACATATCCCACCCCGCGTCTTATACCCGTTGATGCTTCTGCCGCGAGGGGACCTTCCGTTGGCGTATATAGACTTTGCAGCTTCGAATGGCGACCTGCCCCAGTCTCGGTTTTACGAATCGTACATTCACGTCCTTGATCTCGAATGTCGGCTGGGCCCTGCGCCTGTGCTTATTGCGCGGAACGAATTGAGGGGCACGAATTATGCGATCGAGCGACAGTCCAACGGGCTTTATGTGATTTGCAAGCTGGGATCATGGGCTGATCTGGAAACCTTGGCGCAAAAAGCCACAGCTGTTAGATATGAGCTACTCTATCCGGTCAAGAGCGAGCGAGCTGAGCATCATGGCGTTGATGCACTTACGACGCCTCAGCTGCATGTCGAACAGAAGAAGAAGAGGGCCGCAATCGAAGCCATCCAGTCTCAAATGAGGAAACGTGTGAGATCCCAGTCTGTGTCGACTGTTGGGCACGTAACAAAGGAGGAACAGCCACTGGAGCTCGAAACCTTTGTGGCACAGCAACCATCGCCGGATATGAGTCTGGAGCAAGTCCCGCTGCCAACCTCTGAGGAAAAAATCCAGGGCGGCGCTTCTAGTCAGGGTGTGGCAACAGGTAGGGAATTGGAACCGCAACAGTCAGCGGACGATATCTTTGAAGGCATCAGAACCCAGTATTTCGATGCGCTGTACAAATCCATGGTACGTCACGTTAATATGGTATTGAAGTTTCTTATTGTCACTCTTGCTCATGCCGCCACAGGGATCCTTAGCGTACTTTGCCAAAGGACCATTGTCCAGGGCTCGGTCAACATTCCACTTGGACTTGGAATCAAATTTGGATATGAATGACCTTGTAGACTTCTTGAAAAGCCTCATCCTCACAACAGTTCAAATCGACAAAAAATACCGCGAGTCAATACCAGAAATTATCACCAAGCTTAAGGATCGAATTGAGAGCTCTGATGAAGGCCGCAAACGGAAACGCAAGCCGAAGAGAATGAAGCTTGGTAAAAGTGGGCTCTATCCGCTCGAAGATGAGAGTGTTATGCGATGGTGGGCTGCAAACAAGCCAGAACCCAATGATGATGCTCCTATTACCCCGTCACAGATCAAGTCTCTTGTTTCCATCCTACGGACGAGAGAGACAAAGCTGCAAATGATTGTCATTATGGAGATCCTTGCCCTGGAACCTCTAAAGGCTGCCGGCGACATTGGCGAGGTCAGCTTGCCCACTTTACCTGGAGCTGCCGATTCAGAGGATCTGCTGGAGAACGTTTTACAGCCTCCTCCAAAGAAAAGAAATAAGCACAATCTTCCAGTTCTACTGGATGTCCATGCCGATCGTCTCACCATTTGGCAGTCTACTGCAAGCGACGAGCAACTACTACTTGAAGATAGTCCTTCCCTACAGACACCGCTGGACGGCAGCCTGGAAAAGAAGGCGTCTTCTGAACCCCTCAGAGACTTCTGCGTGGATGTCATTGTGCCCTTGTAAACCTTCCTCCCAGCTCTTGTTGACTATATGGTACTGACATGCGTTTAGCTTCTCTGCACGTCTGCCTGATCTGTGCGACTCAATCAACCGTAAACTTGGTGGTCCTGTGATCATAGCCCCCATGAAGGGCAGGTCTTTGAAGAAGCCTTCCAGCTCGCGGGATCAGAAACCTGGTGCTGCTGCAAAACGACCCCAGCCTCTCAACTCCCGGAGGACTTTGCAGCGAGCCCTTTCCACAGAGCAGCAACATCGGAGAAGCATTTCGAGGGGTCCAAGCAACGCCATTGCTCTTTTGAGGTCGGCCACCTCGACGACTCTCCCAACTATCAAGCGAGAGAGCTTAGATCCATCTGGGCCAATGTCGCTGCTCCCCACTGACTCGCAGAGGAGGGCCCAGTCTTTGTCTCGAAGTAGTAGCATGAACAACTTGTTTGACGCTAGAGCCAATAAAAAGGCAGCGGTAGATGCTGAGCTCAGGGAAGCTATCTCGGCTCTGAGGAAGCCCAACCGGGAGGTTGTGAGCAAAGCATTGGCTGAGGCGGACGAGCGTAGAACATCTGCCAGTCTTGCCGCTAAAAGTATTACTTCTCCACTCCAAACGACTTTATGTAGGCGATATGCTAACAAATTATCAGAACCGAAAAAGGCAGCTTCAAGGAGCGCTCTAGCTTCAGCCGTCCAGGTCAAAGCTACACCAGCAAATAATCGATTCAAGAACATGATGCCTGTCAAGGCAGAGAGTCAGAAGGCCACAGAGAGCTTTGATGAAATAATTCCTCCGTCGAGCGTGGGGCCTTTTGTTCCCTCCACAGGCAAGCGACCTGTGCTCAGGGAACTCTACAATCGCAGCCCTTCTCCCGTGCTGGAAGCGATAGGCGACACTCCGATCAAGACCTCAGCTAAGCCTAGCTTCATACGCCGGCCGTTGAATGAGCAATCAGCGTATCCTCCCTCCTCCCCGGTAGCACAGAGGAACACTGCATCCGAAGATTTTGTTATTACAGACAGTGTGCGCAAGCCACCGAGAAGTAGACCTGAGGCTTCAGGAGTGATGGAGACACCAATTAAGAAAACCACACAGCAGCGGATTGATTTGTATGCCACTCCTGAAGGAAAGGCGCAGGAGTCAAAGAAGAAGAACGCGTCTATTTTTGAGAAACTGGGGTGGGACGACGACTTTGATGATTTATGAGATGACAGATTCTTACACATTCTGGCAAGCGAAGTTGCATTACAGGCATAGTATTACTATTATGATATCCTGGGGGGTACTACCGTTTCTTTCTTTCTTGTTTTGGTTTGAAGAGGAAAAACAAAGGATACGTGAGCGAGCGTGGGGTCAACGGCGTTTAAGTGCCATGTTTCATCTGAGGTACAGTTGCATAAGAAAATGGGTTTATACAAATGCTGCGCCTTTGTGCATATTATTATAAGAAGCAGAAACTAGAGTAGATGTTCAAAATTATCAACACATACATGCTGCCATCTGAAACAGAATAAAAATCAAGCAGCCGCTGCTATCGGCTCTACTATCATAGTTGGTAAATCCCTGATGTCGACGTGCTCCTGTGACCCCAGATCAACGACCCGAATAGCCTCGAGGCCAACAATGCCCTCTCGTAACGCCAAGAACTGCAGTTCTGTGACGTGGCACGCTCCCGGTGCTACGGGGCCAACCCGCGTGTCGGCGCTGAGGCAGATGAGCTCCGTTGACTCGACCACGGCGTTCTTCTGCAGTGCGTGAAGCACGTTCTCGTCTAGGACTGCGTCTGCGATTTCCTTCTCTCCGCGGCGTCGACCGCTGCTTGACGGGGGGCGGATGGGCCGCACTTCGTTGCGTCGCCGCTTAGGGACCGCAACGAGGGCGAGCTTGCGCGGGGGCCGATTTGAGCCTCTTTCGGAGGAGGTGCGGTTGACGACGTAGACGGTCCAGGAGAAGATGTCGCCGGGATGGACTGGGTGGGAGGGCGCGGTGAAGGACATGGTGATGCCGAGGTCCGGGACGACGGCTTCGGTGCGGTTGGTGGACGCTTCTAGCGAGGGGAGAGCGTCGGGGCGGATCGCGGAGGGGGATTTCAGGTGGTTGATGGCCTGGGCTACGCTGCCGATCGAGAGCTGCGTGGGCCGGTGGGAGCGCTGGATGCCGGACTCGGAGGCCGTGCCGAAGCTGGGGTTAACGGGGAGGGAGAAGTCGATGGCGGTGGTCCAGCTCATGCTAAGGCTTGGGGTGCAGACGCCGGGCACGACATGGACGGCTGCCGAGATGGAGATTTCAAGGTTTCCGGAGGTGTCTCTGGGGATGTTGGCCTCGGTTTGTTTCGGTTTGATGTGATAGAGGAACGTGATGTGGTCGTGCGAGACGCAGCTGAGCGGGAGGCTGAGGCCGGCAGCGTCGTTTAGGTTCTCGACGATGCCGCTGGGGGTTGAGAGTTTGATGTCGTTTAGGAGAGCCTCGCAATCGAAGTGGGAGGTGAAGTCGATCTCCAGGAGGGCGACGATGGTTGCGCTCAGGGGTATGGTGCTCGGGCGGGAAAAGCGTATCCTCGTGTGGAGGACGGGAAAGATCCTGATGCTCAGCTGCGGCAGCGTGCGGAGGCGGGTCATGAAGTCCTGCTGGCGAGTGACGGGCGCTACTCGTGATACTCGCAGCGCGGATAGGCGCGGCTTGACGCCGTTGAGAGCAGAGTCGCTGCCAAAGGACTCGAGGAGGTTAAGGCCCGACGGCATCCCGCTCGTGAGGTACCCGACGTCTGGGGCGATTGGCTCGGTCCAGAGATCCGGATCGAGGCTTGCGGATGCTGAGAAGACGATTGAGGGGCTGTGAAGACGCATCCGTGGTCTCAGGAGAAGCACAGGCATTTTCCACATGGCATACACATGCCGCGGCGCCTCTTCCTCCTCTTCCTCCTCTTCGGCGCCGCTCTCGTACTTATCTTCATCTTCGACTATGAAGGGGTTCTTTGTCTCCTGCAGCCTCCCGCTGAAGATGCTCTCCGAAGCACTCGGTGACTCGCGGCCAGGCAGGCTGCTATTGGCTACTTGTGCTTCCAGGGATATGCTTATCCTGCTGAGATGGTAGTCGAGCTCTTTCCTCGGAAGCCATGGTGTCTTGAGGACAAGCAAGACATCAACAGTCTCATCTTGATGCGAGTTACTCTTCCATGTTAGTGGTGGTGACCTTTTGATATTTCGGAATATGAGCGGTGAGATGGCCCTTTCCTTACCGAAGAATAACGTATCTCTTTGTTCTATGAGTTCATTTATTGGCTTCGAGCCATCAAAACCCTCAAAGGCCCTTTCCAAATTTATGTTTGTCTCTGAGGGGACGAGATATGTAAGATACGAGTTGTTGATAAGCTCAGTTGCCGCATTGGTGGTGTTTATGGACAGCTGGAGGGGTGTCGGCAGCCCAGGAGTTGTGAGGGGACTGGGTACAGTAATGCGAATTGACATGGCTGATCAAAGAGCAAAGGGTGAAATAATCGCGATTATAAATCTCATTAGAATGTGAGAATAATTTCCTCCTTCTGTTATAGATTATTAAAGATAGCAGTAATACGATGCCCGCCAATATGTCTCCATCCGGCTCAAGCTCACTCAAGCTCCAGCGTGGAGAGAGAGAGCCTCAGCGCTGCAGCTAACCCCTGATAAGCTATTACAGGGGCTGAGGCGCAGCCCCGATTGTGCAGAATCCGGTTAGTTGCATAACGATCTCCGAAGCTGGTCCGTGCACCGCAGCAAAGATGCGTGTCTCGCGCAATTGCTGCTTCGTTACAAAATTTAGCACCGAACCAGAGTCAGGCTCTTCTGTCGACGCCAGCCCAGCCATCGCAATCGCTCGCGCGTATTGACTCACGGCCACGACACGATCGCGAGCATCCTCACCAAGGCTCTAGAGAACTGTATCTGGCGTCTGTAAAATGAGCGGCTTTGCGCCTCCCTTCCCGCAGCCGGCCTCGGCCTGGCAAGAACACAAGACGCCCGAGGGTCGAGCGTATTACTACAATAACGTTACCAAGGTGACGCAATGGACCAAGCCAGAGGAGATGATGAGCTCGGCTGAGGTGAGTAATCTTTTCTTTCAAGCCTCTTTTGCTCTACGTTTTCTTAGCGTAACTTATCTTGTCGCTTGCTTGCCCTCATCTAACGTGTTTGTTTCGTTCCATAGCGCGCTCTCCAGTCACAGCCATGGAAAGAGTACACCGCAGAGGGCGGTCGGAAGTATTGGTACAATACAGAGACGCAGCAGAGCTCTTGGGAGATGCCTGAAGCATTCAAGAAAGCTCTGGGTTCGACTGGTGGGCCGAGCAATCCCGTTCCCCAGACTCCGTATTCGCAAGGTGGCGGTTATCCAGCTACAGGACATGACTATTCTCGCGATTCTCGCGATTCCCGCGATTCCCGTGATACTCGCGAACCGTACCCCGAATCCCGTCAAATATCATATGGAAACGACTCCAAAGCGCAGCCAGCCTTCGTCCCCGCCACGAATGACCCAGAATATTCCTCTCAAGAAGAAGCCGAGGCGGCATTCGTCAAGCTGCTGAAACGAAGCGGCGTCCAGTCAGATTGGAATTGGGAACAAACAATTCGCGTAATTGCCAAAGATCCGCAGTTTCGTGCAATTAGGGACCCAAAGGAGAGAAGAGAAGCTTTCGAGAAGTACTGCCAGGACATGATACTCCAAGACAAAGAGCGTGCCAAAGAGAGGCTGACCAAATTACGTGCTGACTTCGAAACGATGCTGAAGCGGCACCCTGAAATCACCCACTATACTCGATGGAAAACCGCTAGACCCATGATCGAAGGCGAGACCATTTTCCGGTCCACCGACGATGAGGACGAGCGCCGACAGCTCTTTGAGGAGTATATCGTCGGACTGAAGAAGGCTCACAAAGAACAACAGGCTAGCCAGAAAAAGAGTGCCATGGATGGCCTGATCGAATTGCTTCCCAAGCTCAACCTCGAGGCATATACTCGCTGGGCTGATGCTAGGGACATCATTTCCTCCACTCCAACTCTTCAAGAAAACGAAAAGTATCAAGCCCTTAGTCAGTTTGACATCTTGACAGCTTTCCAAAACCATATGAAAGGTTTGGAGCGAGCCTTCATTGAGAACAAGCAAGAGGAGAAGAGCCGCAAATTCCGCCAGGAGCGCACGGCGAGAGATGCTTTCAAATCTCTGCTCAACTCTCTCCGCGAAGATGGCAAGATCAACGCCGGTACCAAATGGAGCCAGATTGTCCCTCTCATTGAAAATGACGAACGCTACCTCAATATGGCTGGCCAGGCCGGATCTACTCCCCAAGAATTGTTTTGGGATGTGGTAGAGGAAGAAGAGCGATCTCTCCGTGGCCCCAAGAATGATGTGCTTGATGTCATTGAAGTAAGACTCCCCAGAAAAACATGAACCTCTTCTGTTGCTTTCAGAGAGCTGACCTGCTGCGCAATAGGATAAGCGGTTTGATCTTACCCCAACAAGTGATCTTGAGGAGTTCCTATCCATCATGAAAGATGATCACCGTACAGCTAACATTGACCGTGACATTCTCAAACTCATTTTCGATCGCGTAAGATTACACACCTTCACGTGCGTTTTTGTTTATCTATACTAACATTCTTCCCTTCAACTAGTTGCGTGAGAAGCGTGCCTCGAAGCGCGAAGATGATAGACAGCCCGACCGGCAACAGCGCCGGGCTATTGATGATCTTCGTGCGTACATTAAGCGTCTAGAGCCGCCAGTTGCACTGAGCGATACATATGACAAGGTACGACCTAGACTACTGAAATCAGAAGAATTCCAAGCCGTCGTCTCCGAAGAGTTTCGGCGAAGTGCCTTTGAGAAACATCTCCGTAGGTTACGCGAGAAAGATGAGGCCGATCGTGCCTATCGACGCCACGACCGAGCTTCCATCGAAAGAGACGTCTCAAGACGGGAAAGGGATCGATCTCGCGGCGACCGTTCACATCGCGGCGGCGGGCGTGGTGGCCGGCGCAGCCGCAGCCCAGAACCCGATGCGTATGAGGCAGATAGGAGAAAGGCGATTGCTGAGCGCGAGCGAAACCATCGCAAGTCGACTATGGCAGAGAACCTTTTGACAACAGACCGTAGTCGCCTATCGCCTCCACCATCACGCCGCGAGCGCGATCGTGAACGTGACCGAGATCGTGACCTGGACCGTCCCCCTCGCTCTAGGCGCGACGACGATGCGTTCTATGACCGCGAGCGCAGAGACAGGGAAGACGAGAGAGAACGGCTCTACCGCCGTCGTGCTGATCGAGGTTCGTATGACGAACTCCCCTATGGAGATGAACGCCCAGCAGCCCCCCGGCGTCGTCGTCAGGAAGAGGAAGACGACTACGCTCGTCGGGATTCCAGAGATTCAAAGGTTAGTAAATTATCTACCCCTCAAAATGCCGAGGCATCTCCCCTTTACTCACACATTGTACAGAGACTCAGAAGAGATCGTTCACGTGAGCGCACCCCCCCTCGTGATGGACGTCACCGCAACAGGACCCCAGAACCAGAGCCAGCCAAGGATGTTCGAAGCGGCAGCGAAGAAGGCGAGATTGAAGAGTAATCGAGCCGGTCACTACTTACAAACCATCTTTCTTCCTTTTCCTATTCTTTCACTGTCTGGCTAGTAATCTTTCTTTGCAAACATATTCCCGGACTTTGCCCATGTTCTTTACACCAGTCCCAAATGTAACAACATAATGTAGCTTCATACAGATGACCAAATCTGCACACCGTAACAAGAATAGCTTCATCTTATTGATCCATATAGCTGTTATAATTCCTGGAATATAAACTTTTAAATAAAACCCTTTCACTGTGTCTCTTTTTCCAGCATAGCGTTTCGTATCTCGAATGCAGTTTAATTTTGTGGTACAATTTGTTGAATTTCACAAACGATCCAAATCAATTTCTTTAATACTGTAACTATAGGCATACGACTGTTTAAACAAAAAATGTTTCCCGCGAGGTAGGAAACTGACGGCAGACACCACGCTTATCCATTGTCCCTCTATCTGCGGAAGCGCTCCGGGTCAGCAGCGTTGATGTGGTGTATATTCACCACAAAACACTGCTTTCAATTTTACTACATTTCCGCAGGACCAGACAACAGGGGGTAGACTGCCGTCGCCATTGTTACTCATCTGGGTCGTCATCCTCGCTGACGCCGTCTGTTCGTAGCCCAGATTCATGATCACTCCCCCCTCCGCGGATTACGAACGAAGTAGAAACATGGATACTACAAACGTCTGGAGATGCATCATGGTAGTCGGGTCTGTAGTTCTGATCATGGCTGCCCTTTTCAAGCACTTTCTTCGGGCTTCTCCTCCAAGAAGAACTGTAAAAAAGGGGGTGTTAGTATCTGATAGTCAAGAGCAAGAATGAAACAAAGAGTCATGTTACTTACGTAGTTGCCGCCCAACTTCTGTTCCTGGTCCAGCTGTGAGCCGTACTTGTTGATACGGGGACGGTAGTTGGTTGGGTCACGACGGAATGTGACATCCAGGTTCTTCAAGAAAGTGTTGCAGCCGGTGAGAAGCGACTCAGGCGTGTTAGCGTGGGCATCAATACCGGGCTGGCCGTCAAAGACAATGACGCGATCGGCAAGATAGGTGGCCATGGTGAAATCGTGCTCAACGACGAAAGCCGTCTTCTTAGAGTGCATGATGAAACGCTTAATGACTCGAGAAGCAATAATACGCTGCTCAGAGTCAAGGTAGGCAGAGGGCTCGTCAAGGAGGTAGATATCCGCAGGCATACCCAGAGCAAGAATGATGGCAACACGCTGCAATTCACCACCAGACAGGTTCTTGACTTCCTGGTCAATAAAGTCATCAAGCTTCAGGGGCTTGACGACGTCAGTCTGGAACTGAGGAGACAGGAAGGCCTGCTTAATCTTCTTGAAGAACAGCTGGCGAACAGTGCCCTCAAACTTGGGAGTAATGGTCTGTGGCTTCATGCTGATTCTCATATCTGGGACAGAGCTCTTGCTGTCTGGCTTGATGGCACCAGCAAGAAGACGGCAGAAGGTGGTCTTGCCAGTTCCGTTCTCTCCCATCATGACGATAATCTCAGAGTCGGTGAATTCTCCAGCATCGACACGAAGTCTGAAGTTGCCAAGGGTCTTCTCAATCTTGGGGTAGGCGAAGGCACGCGATCTGTCGATGGCGAAGTCGTCGGTAGCCTCAGCAAGACGGAAAGTAAGAGACTCCTCACGGAATCGCAAGTTCTCAGTGGGAATGTGACCATCCAAAAAGATGTTGATACCTTCACGGACGGAGTAAGGCATAGTGACGACACCATAGATGGCCGGCTTTCCGTAAAGAACGCAGACATAGTCGGAGAGATAGTCGAGAGTAGACAAATCGTGCTCGACGACGATGACGTAGTCATCGTCGCGGACAAGCGAACGAATCATCTTGGCCGCACTCAGACGCTGCTTGACATCGAGGTAAGAAGATGGCTCGTCAAACATGTAGACATCGGCCTTCTGGACGCAGACCGTGCCAATCGCAAAACGCTGAAGTTCACCACCAGAGAGCAGAGTGATGTCTCGGTCCATGATGTGGTTCAGCTCCAGAATCCTGGTCACTTCCTCAGTGTTTCCAAGAGTGGCACGGCTCTGGATGAGATGGCGAACGCTCTTCTCCGGGCCACGGACAGCCTTGGGGATTTGATCGACATACTGGGGCTTGACGACAGCCTTGAGATCGTCCTCCAGGAGCTTGGTGAAGTAGTCTATGTTTTATGTTAAAATGGCATCCTCTTCTTGAGTTGAACAATAATCACTCACTCTGCAGCTCAGAGCCTCGGAAGTGCTTGATCACATCCTCCCAGTCAGGAGGGTTGTCGTGGCGACCCAAGTTGGGCTTGAGCTTTCCGCTGAGAATCTTCAGCGCGGTACTTTTACCAATACCGTTGGTTCCGACAAGACCGAGAACCTGGCCAGGTCGGGGCATAGGCAGACGGTGGAGCTTGAAGCTGTTGGGGCCATAACGGTGCGTGACCTGGCTCTCGAGGTTGGTGGGCAGGTTGATGATGGTGATGGCGTCGAAGGGGCACTTCTTGGGGCAGATACCGCAACCAATACACAGCGACTCGGAGATGAAGGCGAGGCGAGATTCGGGAGAGACCTCAATGCAAAGCTTTCCACTGCGAACCACGGGGCAGGACTTCTTGCACTCCTGGCGACACTTGCGAGGACGACACTGTTTGGAGGGGCCTGAGGTCAGCAAAATCGATCGATGGCGGGGTGATTGGCGGGGTGGCAGAATTCAATAGCGAGAGGTTACGAACTTTGTCAGTGTTGACAATGGCGATACTGTGTTCAGAACGTTAGCAGGAATGCCACCAGGTATATCCACGCATCATGCATCATGCGCGAGCTTGTATGATTCAGTTCAGCCCGTCTACATCATCGCGTTGCCACGTACCGAGTGAGCTTGTCCGACATGGCGACGACTGCTGGCGATCAACCGGTCCGTCTAGGGTAGCGATGGATTGGGATTCGACGCGGCGACCTGGCTGCGGTTGCTGAACAGGATCTGCAACGAGGCGATGCTGATGAGCTGGATCGCGAGGGGTGCAAAGCAAAAAGAAAAATCAGAATTCGACGGGGGTGGGCAAGTTTTAGCTCTTCACGGCGAAAAGGATAGACCAGGCGTGGTCATCAATTTTTCTCGCCCTGTGAATCGCCAGAATGGCGGGGCAGGGCAACTGGAGCGGGCAGCTAGACGGGCTGTTAAGCCGCTGAGCTGCGAGGGTGTACTGACGCTGCCAATTTGGCTGCAGAGGGACCTCGCTATGCTGGCGCCGCTAACTTGGCTCTCCAAGGCATGCTCAGTTTTAGTTGGGTAGCATTAGCATTTTTAGCTGACATTGAGATTACAGTGGGCACTGTAGAGGGAAGAATACTACATTCTTGAATAAGCTAAGCTACCTAGTACCTACTTGTAGTTAAGAATAAGAAGACTTCTTTTGAGAGCTTCACATATGAGAACCTAAAGCTTTGAGAAAGGCTGCTTGTGGCCATCAAGAGCGTGTGCTCAAATCTGCTTTCCTAAGGATGTGATAATACTATCAGGTAACTTTACCACCTACCTTATGTGTGGCTGATGTTTTCTTTCAAATTGGGCTTGAGCTACTAGTAGTAGAGTGCTACCTGTATAGAATGTATAAAAATCACTCCCATAGCTGATTTTTGCCGCCGTACTTCGCACTTCTGTTGCCAATTTATAGACTTTCAAGAATGGGTCGGGCAGTGGGGACTCCAACAACCACAATCTTACTAACGAGTGACACCTATGATCGAAGTCGAGATGTATACTAGTGCTGCAGAGAAGCATGATAGTATATTGGACCTCTTGGTAAACGTCATCTAGTATATCATTTCCATTATACAACACCCCAGCTGTAACTCAATAGAGCAGATAATAACCATATCATTATATACAACTGCCATAGCAGTATCTACTACTAGTAGTAGCAGTAGTAGCCCATGCCATAGTTGGAGTGCTGGACAATAGAACTGAAATGCTGGATAATAGAACTGGAGTACTGAATAGGTACCTACCTAGGTGAATTTCCTTATTGTAAAACGCAAGTATTTTGCAACTCCACATAAGGAAGCTTTAGAGAGGAGACAACAACTCCATTTCGAAGTTAAATTCTCTCACGATAGTTCCACCGAGAATGAACACCCAGGCAACGTGGATAGTGGATGGCAATTCTTTTTCCGGCAAAGTATAATACTCTATTGAGTGTTATTCTGTTTTCTTCTTATATATGTTTTCTTCTCGTCCACCCGTTTTTCTTTCCCAAGAAATTTCTCAAACAACAAAACTTCACTTTCACTTCACTTTCACTTCCCCTTCACTTGCACCAGGACAGCGTTCCGGCGAACCACGTGACCTCAGTGGCCCTCTTCAGCGGTCAGCAGAGCGCCATCCCACCCCAACAGGGTAAGACTTGGGTACAAACACGCCGGCCGAGCCTTCGGCCCTCCGCCCCGTTGCCTCCAATTCTTTCCTGCCTCTCTCCACCAGCGCATTTTTGTGACCTCCGGCCGTTGCCTTCACACCTCAACCCTCGTCGCCCATCCGCCACCGGAACATCGCCAGACTCTTCCGATCGAGCCTGGGGGTTGTCGACATTCTTTCTGGTGCTGCGGATCTTTCATTGATGACTGGTAAGTCGCTGTCGTCTCCTTCGCACTCGCTGTTACTGCCTGCAACCCTGTTGCCTTGCGTCTGCCCGCCGATCCAGCCATGAGACGACCCGAACGCGTCGATATACCGACTCTCTAGAGCCCGGATTGGGGGCATATGTGGTTTATTTCGATGGAATTGGCCGCTGCCGACGATGCCGATGCATCCAGAGCCCCTAGACAGCCCCCGGGCAGAGGTCAAGCATGCAATTGCTTGTGCCAATACCCTTCAGCCTTGCGAGCACTTACACACGTGGGATGCTATAAAACCGCCTTGCTTCATGATTCCAAGTCGATATTGGATCTATAGCTGGTGATTGAGTGTCGCCAGACCGTTCTCTCACCGCCTGTTCACTCAAGAAGACGCGTAATCAAGGATTTTCAGTGCTAACTGCCGTCGGTTCTTTAGAAGTCCAGCTTCGCGGATATCATCATCATGTCCTCTCCCAGCGAAGGGGACCCCTCTAACGGGAACTTGTCGCCGGACGACTCTATGACTTTCTCAACAGGCGCCGACCAACAAGGACACGAAAGCGACATCTCCGATGACCTGGATGCCCCCAACAGTCCTCGCGAACAGCCCTCTCCCTCCGAACCTGAAGCCTCAAACGATGAGGCTACGAACCACGCAGACGTCGACCACCACATGTCGGAAGGCGAAGAGTCAAGCGTAGCTGACGCGTCAGAAGATGGCGACTTTGATATGCAAGCTACCTCGCCTTCCCAGCATGGTGATGAAGACGAAGAAGATCACGAAGACGAAGAGGACGACGCCACGGCCGGTCGAGCCAGCTCGTCAGACTCGGCTCGAGCACCCAAGCGCAAAGCTCCTGTTGAAGATGAATACATCAAGGCAAATCCAGAGCTTTACGGCCTTCGGAGAAGTGTATGACCCCATTTCGCTCACCTATTCTGTGCTCTTCATTCATTTGGCGGCGACTGACTTTGTTGCGATAGGCTCGACCTCGAGAGCAGCGTAAAATCGTATGTCACATGCTCTTACTCTACTATCTTGTCGCATTACATACTGACTCGTCTAGGTCGAATCGGAATCAGAATCTGATGTTGCGCCAACAAGTCGCCGGCAGAATAAGCGTCGTCGAGTTGGAAGCTCTCTCACATGTAAGCCTTGACGCCCATCTAAGCCCCTGCATGCTTTCCAGATCCGTCAACTGACTGTACGGATCGCAGCCTCGAAAAGAGGAACACCGGTACTGCCACCGTCCACAAACGATTCCGACTCGGATTCCGATACGTATGGCGGAGCTCGCGCAAAGAGTCAGCAGAAAAAAGCTAGATTACAGCGAGAGATGCAACCCGCCTTGGCTCTTGCCGAGAAGAGATGGTCAAATCGACGCGCGGCGCAGCAAGTGCAACAGGGCGCATACGAAGAGAGCGATTTTGAGGAGGAAGACGAAGAGGATGCGGAACTTGCTGCGTCCTACTACGTTGCCGACTACGTCGATGACTCGCCTTACGTTGAAAAAGTGGTCAAGCATAGGCTCCGAGATGGGCACGAGCTGGCCTACGATTCGACCCGCAGCGACTTTGAATACTTCATCAAGTGGCAGGGAAAGTCACACCTGCATGACACATGGGAGTCCTTGGATGCTCTCCGTAACACTCGCGGTTTTCGCAAGGTTGAAAACTACTTTAGAAAATTTGTTGACCAAGAGCTCGACATCCGATTTGGAGATGATGTTCCCCCAGAGACAAAAGAGCAGTTCTTCCTCGACCGCGAGCGAGACGAGGAGGCACTTGAAGATTACACAAAGGTTGAGCGTGTCGTTGCCGTTCGAGACGGAGAAGAGGGCGACGACGAATACTATGTCAAATGGAAGGGGCTCACCTACGAAGAATGCACTTGGGAGTCTGTATCGGAAATCAGTCCTTTGTTCCAGGACAAGATTGACCAGTTCCTTGACCGATCATCAAGATCCTGGCTGTCTGATCGAAAGGAGACCAACCCAGACACCCGATCCAAGATGACCAAGCTGGAGAAACAGCCCGAGTTTATTGTCGGCGGCGAGCTTCGTGAGTTTCAGCTCAAGGGACTCAACTTTTTGTGCTTGAACTGGACTCGCAGCAACAACGTTATTCTCGCTGATGAAATGGGCCTGGGTAAGACGGTCCAGACAGTCTCGTTCCTCAGCTGGCTGCGCAATGCTAGACGCCAAGAAGGGCCGTCGCTTGTCGTTGCTCCGCTTAGTGTTATCCCTGCTTGGTGCGATACATTTAACAATTGGTCGCCAGACATCAACTACGTGGTTTACCTTGGACCGGAGGATGCGCGAAACATCATCCGAGAGAACGAGCTCCTCGTGGATGGCAATCCGAAGAAGCCAAAGTTCAACGTCTTGGTTACTTCTTACGAATTTATTTTGCAAGACTGGCAATTTCTCCAATCCATCAAGTGGCAGGTTCTGGCCGTTGATGAGGCGCACCGTCTCAAGAATAGCGAGTCTCAGCTATATCAGCGCCTGGTCGGCTTCGGCATTCCTTGCAAAGTTCTCATTACTGGAACACCCATCCAAAACAACCTGGCCGAGCTTTCTGCTCTTCTTGACTTTTTGAATCCCGGCAAAGTCAGCATCGACGAGGACTTGGATTCACTCTCCGCAGCTGATGCCCAAGAGAAACTACAAGAGCTGCATCGCTCGATTGCCCCCTATATCCTGCGACGTACAAAGGAAACAGTTGAATCTGATTTGCCGCCCAAAACGGAGAAGATTATCCGAGTTGAGCTATCAGATGTACAGCTGGACTATTATAAGAACATCCTCACGAGAAACTACTCGGCCCTATGCGATGCCACCAGTGGTCACAAGAACTCTCTTTTGAACATCATGATGGAGCTGAAGAAGGTCAGCAATCATCCATACATGTTTCCCGGAGCTGAGGAGAGAGTTTTGGCTGGCAGTGTGCGCCGCGAGGACCAGATCAAGGGATTGATTGCTAGCAGCGGCAAAATGATGTTGCTCGATCAACTTCTGTCCAAGTTGAAAAAGGACGGCCACAGAGTTTTGATCTTTAGCCAGATGGTCAAGATGCTGGATATTCTAGGCGACTACCTGTCTCTTAGAGGCTACAAGTTCCAGCGACTCGATGGTACCATTGCAGCAGGCCCGCGACGCATGGCCATCAACCACTTCAATGCTGAGGACAGCGAAGATTTTTGCTTCTTGCTTTCCACTCGCGCTGGCGGTCTCGGCATCAATTTGATGACTGCAGATACCGTCGTCATTTTCGACTCGGACTGGAATCCTCAAGCTGATTTGCAGGCTATGGCTCGAGCGCATCGCATTGGACAGAAGCGACCAGTCAACATCTACCGTCTCGTATCCAAAGAGACAGTCGAGGAAGAAGTTTTGGAGCGTGCGCGCAACAAGCTTCTCCTAGAGTATCTGACCATCCAGGCTGGCGTTACCGATGATGGCAAAGCCAAGTTCAAGGAAGAGCTCAACAAGAAGGGTCTCAAGATTGATGGCCCTTCCACATCTGAGGATATCCAAATGGTGCTGAAGATGCGATCGTCCAAAATGTTTGAACAGAGTGGTAACCAGGAGCGACTGGAGCAGCTCGATATTGATTCTATACTAGAAAATGCTGAAATCACCAAGACCAAGGTTGATGACAAGATCAACCTCAGCAGCGGTGGCATTGATTGGGACAACTTTATGCAGATCACCGATGTCAAAGTAGATGACATCAACCTCGACTGGGACCAGATCATCCCGGCAGATAAACTCGCCGAGATCAAGGCGGAAGAGGAAAAGAAGCAGCATGAAGATTACCTTGCCAAGATTGCAGCCGAGAGTGCGCCTCGAAGGGCAACCATAAAGAGTCGCAACAAGGAAACAGACCGTGCCGACCGCCTCAAGAAACGCCAGAGAGAGCAACAGCAAGAAGAGGAAGAACAGCGCGCGTTGTTGAGAGATCCCAAGCGCCCGCTAAATGATAAAGAGCAGCGAAATTTGATCAAAGCCTACTTCCGATTCGGCTCTATGGAGCATCGCAGCGCCGACATCATTCAAGAAGCCAAGCTTGATGAAAGAGATCCCGACTTTGTCAAGTCGGTTCTCGACGACTTCATCAAGGCTGCCCAGCAGGCTGTAGATGATAACAGTGCCAAACTTGCTGAAGAGGAGAAGAAAATGGGCAAGATGTTGACCAAGAAGGACAAGAAGGCAGTTCTGATTGACTTTGGCGAGCTGAAGAAGGTCAACGCCGAGACGGCAATTGAGCGGCCCAAGCAGCTGCAGCTTCTTCGCCAAGTGATTCGTGGTCATACAGATTGGAAGAATTTTAGAGTGCCCGACGCTACTAAAGCCGCCAACTACAGCTGCCCCTGGGGAGCGAAAGAAGATGCCATGCTTCTTGTTGGCATTGACAAGCACGGATTTGGCGCATGGGCCCAAATCCGCGATGATTCCGACTTGGAAATGCAGGAGAAGCTTTTCTTGGAAGAGCACCGCGTAGGCAAGAAGGAGGAAAGATCCAAAGGCAACGACAAGCTCAAGGCCCCTGGCGCGGTCCATCTGGTACGCCGATCAGAATACCTCCTTTCCGTGTTGCAATCCAAACACTCGAATGATCGATTGGCCCACAAGGCTGTGGAGAATCACCACCGCAACAATAAGAAGCTACAATCGGTGAACGGGCATCGCGGCAGCAATTCTTCTGCTGCTACGACGGGCATCAAACGACAACGCGAGAGGGATCATCACGGTTCATCCGAACAGCGAGCTCGCAATTCTGGAGAGGATGGCGCCCTGGCCAGACCTGACTTTAAACGGAAGTACCCATCTCACGAAGACAGTCGCAGTCCCAAGCAGCGCCGCTCTGATGACCCACGTCGGGCAAGTAAGCTTGGAGACGAACATCGCGATAGAATCGAGAAGCGACGATCCCGTGACGATGATGATCGCCGTCATGATAGATACCGACGCGATGACTATCGTCGTGATGATCATCGCCGGGACGACCGGCGCGACGACTACCGTCGGGATGACCGTCGGGATGACCGGCGAGATGATCGTCGCGACGACCGCCGTGAACGGGACAGGGAACGTGATCGTGACCGTGACCATCACCGTGACCGTGACCGCGACCGAGACCACCATAACGACCGGGATCGTGACCACAACCGCTCTGACCGAGATCGCGACCACAAGGCCCGGCCTGTGGATGAGCGTAGAGAAAAGGCACTCCGAAGGCTGGATGAGCTACGACGCATTGGCGATGACAAAGACCAGCGGGCCATGGACAACGATGCGATGATTTGGTTCCTCCTGAAACCAGTGAGACAAAATTTTGAGAGAATTCTCTCAACAACAAAGGACAATGTCAAGTCGAGTAAGGAGCGCGCGAACATATTCAAAGTCGAACTGGTGGCAATAGGAACATTCCTTGATGATAAGCTGCCAGCAACGGCAGCAGATGATCGTCTCAAGAACAACTTTTGGTAAGTAACAGAAGAAAGCCATGACTGATTGGTTTTTTTTTTTTTTTTTTGTGTAAATTGTTTCTATTAGCTAACAATTTGTGATAGGGATTTTTTGGCAGCTCTCTGGCCGGTCGATGATACCAGCAAGAGTGTCACGGGTGACCGATTGAGCACCATGTACCGTACGATCCACTCTCGCAGCCAGGCGGAGGGATCCAAATCCAGTGCTGCAAACGTTAATGGCACAAAGGCTGCCCATTGATTGGTAGAAGCAGCAACTGTGACCAAAGACGAAGAGCGAAAAAAAGAACGAAAAAACTACTAAACATGAAAAATAATCTTGGGGTTGGTCTCTAGATTTGTGTGCGACAAGTTTATAAACAGAGCTTGACATTTATTTGCATCGTCTGGCGTTTGGTAATAATAGGTGGCATATTATGGTTTTAGTCATGAAGACTTTGCTCCAACAACATACCCGGATTTGCATGGAAACAAAAAGAGAAAGCAAGACGACACGCGTTGAGGAGTTTTTATTATACCGGCCGGCCGGCTCTCCGAAGACCTCGATGTCTGTTTCGGGTCCGCTGCTCGCTGAGCTGATATTCACAAGGCCGAATTGTTTGATTTGGTGTGTGATGAGTGGATATACCTTGTTTTCTTCTTCTTTTCTCCTCTCTATTATTTTTTTCTTTCTTTTTCTTCTTACAATATTTGATTGAATTGTGTTTTTATTGTTACCATCGACGATGATGGGCCCTGCTCAGTCGTCAGATGCAAGTACATGCTGTACCAAACCTTTCCGGACAACAAGAATGGGGAGAAGGCGGAGAATTTGGTGGGTTTAACGAGTGTAATATGAGCGGCTATATGTCTTCTTTTCATCCATTTTCTCAGCGCCCCCCCCTTTTTTTTCTACCAAGGGGAATCTGCCCCCTACTTTGTTTTTTGATCCTCTTTTATCTTGTTTCTACAGGTGGTAATTAGAGGGTGGCATGTTTGAACAAGTCTGATGGATAAGGGCATTTAGTTTGGACCTCTGGCCAACGCACGCACAGCCAAAAAAGGGCCTCGAGGCAGTGAGAGATGGATGAATAAAGTATCTATGAATAAGGGTTATATGTCTGATTTGATTTACCTTGGTTGTGACGTACCATTATCCTTTGCTGCATGCAGGTGATTAGGCATGAATGCAGGCGTAAATTAAAAACTGATGAATTAATTCATGGCGTCGAGGCGTGCGTTTATGAGTCCATCTCGGTGTGGCTCCGTATAAGTGGATGGAGTGAGCCACGATAGTGGTGGTGTGGTGACACTACAGACACTACAGACACTACAGACACTACAGACACTACACTACTTTAATACCACTCTGTGCCTAAAAGTGGCATTTGTCGATCCCGTTGCTTTTCTTATCTCGTTTTTCTTACATTCTTACGTTTTACTTTCTCTCTTTCCCCTTCTTCTTTTTGCTCCTTCTCCTCTTCTGGGCAAGGGGGCTGGATATATTTCTCTACAGGTATTTTTACACAGTTAAATCACTCATTCTGCGCAGAGCGAACTGTTTGATTTGATTTGATTTGATTTTCCATTTTCGTTGTCCATCTTGGCCTGTCTTTACTTGATTTGGCTCTGCTCTGCTCTGCTCTGCTCTGGGTTGCGTTGCGTTGCGTTTCGTATCACGACTTCTACAATTCTACCTCGGCATACATCCATCTCTATATCACAGTATATATACATCAGAGTATATATACAGCCACATACACCACCTCGCCATGGACCACTCCCTCCCCTTCACCAGATACATCGCCGAGCTCGCCGTGCTCCGCGCCGCCGTCCTCACCAAGCGCTTCATGACCCGCGTCACCGGCATCGCAAAGGACGACGCCTCGCCCGTGACGCTGGCCGACTTTGGCGCCCAGGCGCTGCTCATGGTGGCCCTGCGCGGCTTCTTCCCCAACGACGGCTTCGTCGGCGAGGAGGACGCATCCGTGCTGCGCGGCAACCCGAAGCTGCGGACGACCGTCTTCAAGCTCGCGGGCGCCGTGGCCAGGGACTTCCGCGAGGTCGAGTGGCGCAGCGCCGACGCGCACGCCGTGGAGGCGACGCTGCCGGCGCTCGAGTCCGAGGACGAGATGCTGGCGCTGCTGGACGCGGCGGGCGCGGGGGCCACGGCGCCGACGGGGCGCTTCTGGGTCATGGATCCGCTGGACGGCACGGCGGCGTTTCTCAGGGGCCAGCAGTACGCCGTGAGCCTGGCGCTGGTCGAGGACGGGCGAGAACTGCTGGGCGTCGTGTGCTATCCGAACCTGAGCCTCGAGTACGGCGGCGTCGTGTCGGAGATTGCCACGGACCGGCTGGGCCACGGCATCATGCTGTCGGCCATCCGCGGCGAGGGCGCTGAGTATCGCCGGCTGCCCCTGGAGTACAGCCTCGGGATGGGCGAGATCCTGGGCCGCTTCACGGTGCCGGCCAAGTACGAGGACCTGCGCCTCGTCGACAGCACGACCAGCACGTCGAACCGCCTCGACCTGGTGCAACAAGTCGCTCGACAGCTCGGCGCGACGCCCTTCCCCGGCATCGACATCTACGCCTCGCACGCGCGCTACGCCGCCATGATGATTGGCGAGGGCGAGGGCAGCCACGTCATGATCCGCATCCCCGTGGGCAAAAGGGGCGACCCGTCAAAGTCGTACGTCTGGGACCACGCGGGCTCGCAGCTGGTGTACACGGAGCGCGGCGGCAAGATCACCGACCTCGACGGCAAAGACATCGATTTCGGCGCGGGCAAGACGCTGGCGGCGAATTGGGGGATTGTGGCTGCGCCGGAGGTTGTTCACGAGAGGATATTGCGGCTGGTGCAGGAGTGCGTTGCGAGGGACGCGGATATGAATGATGTTTTATGATCCGTGAATGTTGGCTTGTTTTGGGTAGGGCTACGGGCATCTAGGATTTCAGGAGGTGAATGGGATAGATATACGAGAAATGAATGATGACTTTGATTGCTATTCAAAAAAAAAAAAAAAATTGCTATCCATCCTTCAATGCTGATGATTACAATAAAAAACTATTATCTATGCCGAAATCATTCTTTCTAATGCCAGCTTTGGAAACCGAAGAAATATCAAGTCAACATGCCATCTATATACATGTAGCCCCCCTGTATATCCAAACTGTTAAAAGTAGTAAAGGTCCCTTCACATCAAGCTGCTTCGGCCTCCAATCTCCATGCTCCCCTGTCCATCCTTCATCTGCCCACTGCGGCCCACCACAAACTCGTGGTAGATTTTCTGCAGCCTCGCCTTCTCCTGCGCCCCGATACTCGCCCGCGTGCTGTCCAGCGCCTTGATGAGGTGAGCCCGCTCAACGACAACCTCTCTCTGGTCGGCCGACTCTTTGTCCTGTGCCTCATCGTTGTTGGCGCCGGGGCCTTTGCGGGCCTCCTTGGCCTTTCGTCGCGCGAGCTTGATCTGATCCAGCTTGGACATGATGGCCGCGTTTTCAATCAGCGCGGCAGATCTGCTCTTGGCAGCCTGGGGGGCTGATGATGCATCCTCGTCAGCTCCGTAGCGGAACTGCGTAAAGCTTGTGGCTGATGAAGCGCCCTTGCCGCCTTTGCCTTTCTGGGCTGTTGACGCTGGGTTGTTCAAGTCTCCAAGCACGTCATGAATGGCCTCGAGCTGGGCGTTGGACACCAGCGCTTGAAGATCGGCGCCGGAATATCCCTCCGTCTGCTGGGCAATAGACGTCAATGCCTCGTCCGATTCCGTCAGCTCGGGCGACAACCTGACTTTTTGCAACATGGCCTTGATAATGTCCACGCGGTCTTCCAGCGTCGGCATGCCGCAAAGCAACGACTTATCAAGACGACCGGGACGCAGTAAAGCCGGGTCGATGAGGTCAGGCCGCGACGTGGCTGCCAAGACGTACACTCCGGACAGGCCCTCGGCACCGTCCATCTGTGTGAGCAGCTGGTTGACCACACGATCCGTTACACCGGTAGAATCATGACCACGCTTCGGTGCAATGGAATCAAACTCGTCAAAGAACAAAACACAAGGCTTGGCAGCTGATGCTCGGTCAAAGAGATCTCGCACGCTCTTTTCAGAGGCACCAATGTACTTGTTCAAAATCTCTGGTCCCTTGACGCTGATGAAGTTGAGGCCACATTCTCCTGCAACGGCGCTGGCTAGGAGCGTCTTGCCGCAACCAGGAAACCCATACAGAAGCAGACCGGATCGGAGTCGTAAAGGACACTGAGAAAAGATGGGGGCGTATTTCGTAGGGTACTGGAGCGTCTCAAGGAGAACTTGTCTCGTCTCCATTAAACCTCCAATAGACTTGAAAGTCGTGGTTGAGCTTTGCAGAGACACGTTGCGTAGCGAAGCTGGCGTGAACCCCTTGATAGCCTTGTCAAAGTCCTGACGGCCGAGATGGACTGCTCCGATGGTATCGTCAGGGGCCACGCTGATGGACCGGATGATGGCTTCGTTTCTTGCTCGGGATATGAGAACCGTCAAGTCTCCTGGCAGATAGCCATCCGTCAAACCAGCAATATCGAGGAAATCCAGATTAGCGTCCAGTATGAAACCACCAGTCTTGTCCGCTGCGCCCTCTTCTCGTCTGTGGGTGGAATCGTGCCCATGAAGCCAGTCACTGGCCTCTTCTGAATTCTCTGTGCCATTAGCCGTTGTTGGCCGGCTGCCGTCATTCGACTGAGCTGGAGCATCGTCTTGGGCTACGGCGTTTTGCTTCACAATAGCCTCCATAATCTTTCGCCGTCCATCTTTATCGGGAGCTTTTAGTTCGACGATTTCGCGGACGACGTGACCGCTGACGACAACGCTGTTGAGAGTATCTTTACCCTCGGCCGTTGCCAGCAACACGACACCGCTATCTTTGGTGCAATATTGCCGTACTACGGATCGGATTGTTTCGCTGACTTGACGGCTTCGTCCGTTGTCGTTTCCGACTTGGAGTTCCGTCTCCACCGGACTGAGCTTATCCAGATCATCAAGAACGACAACCGCTTTGCCGCCCAGCCTTGCGCCCCAGCTAGCCAGCATAAATATCCGATTGAGCGTTTCCTTGATGGTAGATATTCTCGCCTCGTCAGTGACTAGTTTGCGACACGAGAAGTAGATGGTATAGAATAGCGTCTCTTCACGAAGTCGCATAGCGAGGTATCTGGCCACCGACGTCTTTCCAGCACCCTTTGTCCCAGTAAGTAAAACAGAAGACATATGAGCAAGATGCGATTGCAGATTGGCAAGCATCGAGTCGATGCCGACGAGCAATGCGTCGTGAGACGGCTGCAGTTCGAATATGTCCGTCTCGGAGATCCAGGGGGGTCGCGGTACAGGCTGTTGGAAGTCGATTGGGATTTTGGGATCGACGCCGGCTAACCATAGGGCCGCGTTCTTGTTCTGCTCTTGTGATGCAACATCTGAACTGTATTCAAACTTGATCACGCCCCCTTCCCACCCCTGTGGAGCCTCCAGGCCCTCATACAAGTCCACAACGATACCGTCAGTTATCGGACCCTGCAGGAGCCCTTCAGCCCCTTTTGACCCCGAGTAAATATGCCTGAATCTCTTGGTGGACTCTTCCTTCTCGGCCTTGGTTTCGATTCCGAATCGTAGGCCCTCGCCAACTTTTGAGCCTGCTGCAAAGGGAAAGACCTTGATTTGTGTGACTGCTCCGCGGGCGAGAGGCTGAGGGGCCGCCTGGATCTTGACAATGCCTCCGACAATACCTGTGCACCCAAGCGCAGCGCATAGAGGAGCTGACAAGGCTGCGGCCTGGCCATTGGGCGGGTCATCCCAAGGCTTCAACTTGGCAACAATCTTGGAGGTCGCATTGCTGGTGACCGCGCCAGATCCATCCTCTGGCTGCGGCTTTTGTAATCCCGCAGGCTTCAGGACATCCACTACAACGTAATTAACGCCCCTGAAGTCGTTGTTCAAGAGATTGTCCCGGTCCACCCATACGCAGAGATCAGGTTCTACTAAGCCCTCGTCGAACCACTCATTGCACATGGCCCTATCTATGGCACGGAGCAGCAAGGAAGGCTTCTTCTCCTCTCTGGCACTTCGTCTTCGAATAGTGCTGGCGCCACTCCTTTTAGACTTGGATGTGCTTGCGACGCTTCGGTGATCGCCGCCGTTTTGCGTAGCTTTTGCTCTTGTTTTCGGCGCGACAATGACTTCCGCGTTGGGGGAGAGCTTCACGAAAGCCACGTCAGCTGCAGGCGCAGGATCGAGAGTCATAATCTTTATAGAAGCCGTAGAAGTCGGCGACAAATGGAGAGTCAATGGGTGAGGCGGTACGGGGGCGCCGCCGGTAGGGACATATGCTGGGTTGGGGAGCGCTCGGATCTGTGACTGTAGATTAAGCTCGAGGAATGTTGCATGCAGTTCGATGATTTCCCAATCTTCGGGTGTCAAGGGCTCGATATTGATGGTGTGTGCCATCGGAGGGTCGACGTGGACGGTGGCCATGACCTTTTCGCCATCAGGCAGGCCGAGGGTATTCGCGAATGTCGCGTCAATCTCGACTAATTGGATCTCCTGATCCCGTGTTGAGCTCCGCGAGTTTGCCAGCCCGTCTCTCCCGACTATCTGAGTCGCTTTCCTCTTGCTCGGCATTCCCGTCCACCCAACAAACACGGATTGCTCCTTGGGCGCTCCAGCAGCTTGCGCGCGGGGAGATGGCCGGTAGGAGAGCTCGACGATGACATTCTGGGCCGGCTACAAAACAAATAAAATAGTTAGTTGCACAGCGCCAATTGAAACTGACGGTCCAAACGTCGGGCAACAAGAAGGGCAGCGCTCTTTCAAACTCGGATCAGTGACCTACAGTATTTACGCTGACTAGCAGGTTGACCAACGACGTGGGCAGGTTGACAAGACAGTTCTTCAGATGCACAAGCGACAGCTCGGCCGCAGTCGACTGCGCATTCCTTCTGGGCGCCATGGTTGAGGAATTGGGGAGGATTCCGTCCTGTCAGGTCAGGGGAAAGACCATGAAGAGCGCTGTCGCAAAAAGGGCACAGATTCGGCTGCTAGCTGGAAGCAATTCCGCGTTCCTGGGGAACCGGCAGCAGAGCCGAGGCAAGAGTCATGTGCGGCTGGAGTTACCAAGGTAAGCCTGTGGCTGTGAATCCGTGGCTGGAGCTGCTGTGGCTGCCAGCTGGAATGCACGAGGGCGCGGGGTACGTCCGCTTAATTGGCTTTGGGCTCTCGAAACGCGTCGCGCGTCCGTCTCGCGTCTTTTTTCTCTCCAAAGCTCCAGCCAGAGCACAAGGCTAGCTGCATTGCCGGCCAAATTCTCCATCCAGCTCCTGACTAACCAGCCTCGAGGCACCGCATCCCTGCAAGTTGGTTTCCCAGCCCACCAATTTGTGCATCGCATTGCGTCTGTTTTCCACTCCTGCGAAATCATCCTCTTCTTGTCGCTCTCCCGCTATCGCAGGAGCCTCTACTTTCCAGCTTTGGCAATTGGGCACCATCACGCAAAATGGCGCTCCGCGAGTTCAAGGCGCCGGTGAACTACGAGTCGCAGCAGTGTAGGCGCAAATCTCTGGTGCAACGTTGAGCTGTGGCAAGGCTAAATCTTAATTTCATGCAGCGGCGTTCGAGTCTTTTCTCAAGGACTTCAAGACATCGCCAGAGCACACGCTCACCACCGCCCTCGGCAACATCACAATCGACGAAGATGAACTCAGCGACGACTATGATTTCATGGACGAGGACGACCAGACGCGCGATCGCCGCCAGCAGGAAAGGGCCAAGCGGAAAACACCCCAGCACAAGTACAACGATATGCTGCAGCAGCTCGCCAACCGCAAGCTTGACGAGTTTGCGATTGATCTCGACGACATAGCTACCGTGAGTCGCAATGGCGATTGGCTGCTTGCGAGTTGTCCACATGCTGACTGCAAATAGTGGGAGGAGCAAACAGATGAGTCCATGAAGCTCGTGGACTCAATCGAGATGAACACCAAGCACTACGTCGAGATTATGGCCAGGGCGGTAGACAATATTATGCCGCAGCCTAGCGAAGAGGTCAAGTAGGGATATTCTCGTATGCGGAGATGGGAGTGGGGAAAAAGCTAACTCTACTCATTAGCTTTAAAAACGATGTCCTAGACGTTTTGATGGCCCGACGACAAGCGAGAAACCGGGAACTCGACGAACTGGCAGAGCGAGATCCCACTACCGCTGAGGACAAGTTTCCGGCCGAGCTGACCCGCCGGTATACGCTCGTCTTCAGACCTCGGACAAGCACAGGCGAAGACATCTCCAAGGCATTGGCTGTCCGACACGTTCGGGGCGAGCACCTTGGTCACCTCATCACCATTCGAGCTATTGCCACACGCGTTTCCGACGTCAAGCCCATTGTGCAAGTCAGCGCATATACTTGTGACCGCTGCGGTTGTGAAATCTTCCAGCCCATTTCTGACAAGCAGTTTGGGCCCCTCACCATGTGCCCCTCGTCTGACTGCAAGAAGAATCAGGCCAAGGGCCAGCTACACCCCTCCTCCAGGGCCTCCAAGTTTCTACCATTCCAGGAGGTCAAGGTTCAGGAGCTGGCTGAACAGGTTCCTATCGGACAGATTCCCAGATCCCTTACCGTTCACTGCTTTGGCAGTCTAGTCAGAAAAGTCAACCCTGGTGATGTCGTTGACATTTCTGGAATCTTCTTACCGACGCCTTATACTGGCTTCAAGGCCATGAGGGCTGGTCTCATGACTGATACGTACCTCGAGGCCCACCACATTCACCAGCACAAGAAGGCATACAGTGAGATGATTGTCGATGCACAGCTGGTCCGAAGAATTGATCGATACCGACAGTCGGGCCAGGTTTACGAGCTGCTCGCCAAATCCATTGCTCCCGAGATTTACGGCCACCTGGACATCAAGAAGGCTCTTCTTCTTCTACTCATTGGCGGTGTCAACAAGGAAATGGGTGACGGCATGAAGATTCGTGGTGACATCAACATCTGCTTAATGGGTGACCCTGGTGTTGCCAAATCTCAGCTGCTCAAATACATCTCCAAAGTTGCTCCTCGTGGAGTCTACACTTCAGGCCGTGGAAGCAGTGGCGTCGGTCTTACCGCCGCCGTTATGCGAGACCCAGTTACAGATGAGATGGTCTTGGAGGGTGGTGCTCTTGTGTTGGCTGATAATGGTATCTGCTGTATCGATGAGTTTGACAAGATGGACGAGAATGATCGTACTGCCATTCACGAAGTCATGGAACAGCAAACCATATCCATTTCCAAGGCCGGCATCTCCACAAGCCTCAACGCCCGTACTTCCATCCTTGCTGCCGCTAACCCGGTCTATGGCCGATACAACCCTCGCATCTCTCCCGTTGAAAACATCAACCTCCCTGCTGCGCTCCTGTCCCGTTTCGATATTCTTTTCCTGATCCTCGATACCCCCACCCGAGACGCCGATGAGCAGCTTGCCAAGCACGTTACATACGTGCATATGAACAGCCGACACCCCGACCTTGGCACCGACAATGTCGTCTTCTCCCCGCACGAAGTGCGATCTTATGTCGCCCAGGCTCGAACATACCGACCAGTCGTCCCTGAGTCCGTCTCCGAGTACATGATCAAGACATACGTTCGCCTACGAGACCAACAACAGCGAGCAGAGAAGAAGGGCAAGCAGTTTACACACACCACACCTCGTACGTTGCTTGGTGTGGTCCGTTTGGCCCAAGCTCTCGCTCGTCTCCGCTTCAGCAACCAAGTTACACAAGATGATGTTGACGAGGCACTGCGGTTGATCGAAGCTAGCAAGGACAGCTTGAATACCGAGTCTAATGGCCCTCGCCGTGGCCTCAATGCCAGCAGCAGAATCTACAATCTCGTCAAGGCTTTGGCTGATTCAGGTGCTTGCCGTCCGGATGACGCTGATGAGGATGACGAACTGGGCGTGGAACTCAGCATGAGGAAGGTCAAGGAACGAGTCATTGCCAAGGGCTTCACAGAGGACCAGTGGCTGAATGCCCTGGAGGAGTATACCACATTGGACGTAAGTGTTTCAGCTGGTTCTTTTGTCCCGTTTTTCTGTTTTTCACAAATCTAACATTTATTTTAGGTTTGGCAAACTGCTGGTGGTGGCTCAAGACTAGTATTCGTTACTGCGGATGACGAGAGAGAAGGCAGCATGGAAGAGTAGGAGAGTACCCTTAAAAATGCAGAGTTAATGCGCAGAGGTTGTACGGTCCTTGAAGGAAAGTGATGACATTGTTGGAACTATTTTGCGAATTTGGTTTGGCGTTATATCATGTTTTGGAGACTCCCCCTTTTTTTTCCATTCAAGGGGTGTTGGAGAAGAGATCGAATGCATTTGGTAGACTTGCGACTAGATCTTGTAAGAGACTGAATGAAAATAACAATATGTAGTACCTAATGAACTGCATATCAAAATGTTCCATCAAATGACTACTAGGTAGTGAAAGTTTTTCATCGTGGGGGCCATCAATGTTCATTGGCATCTAATGAGATTCTACGGTGGCATAATATATAATACATGTTCATACAACTCATTTTTTTACTTTTTCCCCTCCTATTATTTCACGTTCGCTTATTTCTTCATTTCCCAATTTTTTACATCCTCATGGTCATAAGTGACGCCTTCTCCATCTCACCCACAATGCCATGTCCTCCCAAAGCCCACTTCTCCGCCACAGCCCTCGTATCAAGCGCGCTGCGCAACATGCCGCTCGCGCCCCAGTACTCCATCAGCACTCTCGCCTCATCCTTGGAAACGCCCTCGAGCCGAAGGACAGTGCTGTTCTTGAGCGCGTCATAGACCCGGTCGTCGTACTTTCGCTCGTAGGCGTTTGGCTTGGGGACCTCGCGGCCGGCCTGGCCAGCCTCGAGCTGGGAGAGCACGAGCTCCTGTGACGGGTGGAAGTGGGTGTTGTTCTGGGAGGTGGCGGCGATGACGGCACCGCCGTTGGGGAGCTTCGTCTTGCCGGAGAGGGCGTCGACAAACATGCGCACGAGGACGAGCTCGTGGGCGTGGACAATGTTGAACGACGGGTCGCGGTACTCGCTGACCTTGTTGATGTGGGCGAGGCCGTCGAGCGTCAGTAGCACCGGGGGTTGGCCAGGCTGTGTCAGTTCTGTCCACAAGGCGGACAGCGTGGGCCAGGCGAACTCGCTCTCCTTTGCGCTCAGGGCCAGGTCGGCCAGCGTGGCGCCTTCTTTAAGGTTCGTTGTCAGGCGAGACCAGTCCTTCTTGAGGGGCGTCTTCTCGAGAACGGCCTTGTTGGCCTTGTAGATGTTTTGCAGCAGCTTGAGGCAGTATACTGGCTGGGCGAACTGCATGGGCTCTGTGTCGGGAATGGGGGAAAATTCTGTGTTTCCGTTTGTGAGATCTTGGCCTGATATTATGAGAAGAAAACGAGTTAGCATGCTTTCTCTCTCAATCTTCCTCATCAAATCAGCGTCATCTCGTCGAGGCTAAGAAAATACCTTCAGGAATGTTAATAACCACCCATTCGTTCAGCAGCGCATAAGACTGGGCCTGAAGCAGAGTCAAGCTCTTCCCCGAAAGCCGGCTCCCCGTCAAAACAACTTTCAGAGCCTCCTTCTTCTCCACCGAAGCCTCCAGCTTGCCCATCAGTTCCACCGTCTCCTTGCGCACCAAAACGTGGGGTTTCCGGAACAGATTCCACGTCTGTGTCGTCTTGAACGCCTCCAACGCCCTCAATTGATCCACCACCTGGTCCGGAACGGCAAACATCTTGCCGCTGCTCTCCGCCTTGGCCATGGTCTGCGCCTCGAGGCTCTCGATGCCGCTCACGGGCAGGGCGCTGTTGTTGCTGAGCTGGATTCGTTTCCGAAAGGCCTTGCGCTCGCCGGGCCCGGGCTTCTTGACGGGCACAATGTTCTGCTTCTTCTTGTATGTCTTCTTCGTCTTCTTCGGTAGATCCTTGCGGCTCTTGACGGCGGGAGGAGCCGCGGACAGCAGGCTGGTGGTGGAAAACGCTGCTGCGAGGGATCGCATGATGGGCTGGATGCGAGGCGCCACTGGGATCACGGGCCTGGCGAGGGTCCGCAGAGCTTGCGCGGAAGCCATGATGGATGGAGATTTATACAAACAGATAAATAAAAAGGGGAGGATTGATCAAGTGAAACAAGTTGGCCTTTATATCTCCTGCTGCCGCATTGAGGCCGAACAGCGGCGGCGTTGCTTTTGCGATTTGAATTCCCCCACGTTTTTTGGAGGGCTCGAAGTTGCTCTACTAGTAGGCCAAAAATCTCAAAATCCAATTGCACCTTGGTGGTGGGAAGAACCGACGAAGTATCGCGCAGTGCTAAGACTGCGCTAAAGCTACATAAAGGGTACTTGTCAAGCGTGCTGCTAAAACAGGTGCAGCAAGGATGTCGTCGGCCGGAAAATTCCAGGCCGCCGATCCGATGCAGACAAAAGCTAGCTTAATCGACCGTTTCTTATCGATCAAAAAAATTGAGAAAAAGCGTCGCAAAGAAAAAAAAGTTGGGTTTGCAGAGAGAGGCGAGACAGCGCATTCTTCTTTTTCGTCCCTTTCTTTTGCGCCTCGACTACAATTCATACCATATACTCAGGATTGGCGAATCAAAACGCCACCTCATCAATCTTCTGAATCATTTTTCTTTCGATAAATCCCCAATCCGACTTCTAATATAAACCCTTTCACAATGGCGCTCCCCATCTCCAAACCAAAACTCCCCGTCGTCGTCGACAAGCCCACGCCCTACACCTTCGACCTCGGCAACCTCCTCGCCCAAGACCCCAACCCCGTCGTCCTCCCCGCCTCCTCCATCGACCAGGCCCTCGCCGAAATCGCCCGCGACGGCGCCCAGTCGCTCATCAACCAGCTCCTCACCACCTGCCCGCTGCAGTCCACCAGCGACGGCGTCCTCCTGAAGCTGCCCGCGCCCGCCACCCGCCTGCCGCGCGAGAAGCCCGTGCCCCAGCCCAAGCCGCCGACCAAGTGGGAGCGCTTCGCCGCCAAGAAGGGCATCAAGGCCAAGACGAGGGAGCAGCGCCGCAACCTGGCCTACGACGAGGAGTCGGGCGAGTGGAAGCGCAAGTGGGGTTACAAGGGCCTGAACAAGAAGGGCGAGGACGACTGGCTCGTGGAGGTGGATGCCAAGAAGGAGGCTGCGCGGAAAGAGGGCACCAGCATTCGCGGCGATGGGCGGAGAGAGCGCGTGGAGAAGATTAAGCGCAATGAGAGGAAGATGAGAAAAAACCAGCGGGATGCTGCTGACAAGATGGGCAAGAAGGCCTAAACTAAGGGAGACGAGAGGCGAGAGGCGAGAGGTGGCGGTACATACGACATGAATTCCAGCTATTCCACCATTGGGAGGGTCTATTCATAATCAAAAGTCAGTCAGACATGGCTACGGCGTTATAGGCGTGTTGGGAAGGATTTAAGAGGAAACCTGCTTCAAAAGAAACCGAGATACATGCTGGCTTAGTCGTTGTCACGCATCTATCCTTGGTGGAGGAAGGATTGCTCAAGTTTTCGCATTTTTGTATGGATGTTCTAGAGAATCTCAAAGCTAGCATAGCAGCAACAACATTTTATTTTTCACGCACGCCAGATCCCTCCAGTCCTTGATGGTGTAAAGGTTATCAAGGATAATAAAAAAGAAAACAAAAATCCCGCCCATTCTGTATCTCCCTCCTTACTCAAAGCAGCTTCAGAGCCTCTAACCCCTTCTATTCTTACACTGACGCCCATACTTCCATCTTAAATCAAACTAGCAAGAGATAGAACGAGAAAAGAAAGGGGGAAATAGAGGCTCACAAACAGCCATAATCTCCGTCTGTGGCCTCCAATTCCCCGTCCTGCCTAGCTTTTAACAAAGGGGAAAGGGCCTGAGAAATGTTGGCCTATACGATATTCCACGGTCGAGTCTTTTGGATGGCTAAGAAAGAAATTCGAAGTCGTTTCGATGATGCAATTTATCTGCAATTAAGAATCGAGAGAATAAACCTGGGAAAAAGTGTCGTCGCGACATTGCTGTAGGATGATGAAAGGACCAAAAGTAGGAAAACATAGGAAAAACCAGACCGATAAATGCAAAGAGGCAGATGGCACATATGAAACAAGAGAAAGCAGTGGGAGGACCACCGAGTCCCCTGAAGCCCGTCTCGAGATGTGTAATCTTCTATCCACATCATAGTGACTTTGAGACAGGGCGGGAAGAGCGCTCAGTCCCATGATGGGTCAGACGTCCTAGTGTTAAGAGATGCGCTAAATTCTGAAGGAGACGAAACAACAAAACAAGTCATGAACGGCGTGATGTCATAAGTCGGCGCCGATGATAACTGCTGGGTATCTTTGCCGAAGGGAGTAAATGTTTGCATGTGAATTCGAATTGCGAGTGACTTTTTTTTTTTTTGTTCTTCTTTTCCTTGTTCTTTTTCTTTTTTTTTCTCTTTTTTTTTTTAAACAGTCATGTTAATTTCTATCGCTCGGCTCGCTCTTTAGAAACCAAGGGGTGATAGAGGTTGGATCGGAGATAGGGGCCGCAGTTCTCCGGATCCAGCTCCAGTAGTGACCTGTGAATGCGTAAAGCCAAACATATCGCTAACAGTATCCTCTTCCTCCTCGCTGTGGTCGCTCAGGGCCGTCGAGATGGATGATCGGCGAGACGAAAGAGAGTGGTTGGACTTTGACGACTGATGTTGGTGCTTACCAATGTCCTCTGTCGGTTCCCCTGTCTCTCGGGTCGATGGCTTGGTGCTATGCGACGAGGCTGGTTTTTCTGCATGCCCAGCATCGCTTTGGTAAGGAATTTGCATTTCGGCAAGGCCAGGCGGCGGAGGTTGATGGAAGATTCGGTACTCCTCTTCAATAAACTTAGCCTCGTTGGTGCAGCCCTTCCAGCAGTCTCTCCAATCGCAAACCAGGAATTTGAAGCAAAAGGCATCGATTTTCATGCACGGCTGGAAGCAGATGCACAAGTTTCGAAAGTCCATTTTATTCTTGTCAGAGTGAGCGAGAAGCAGGCTGAGATGGCATGTAATGGCAAAAAGCAGGTAGTAGTTGAATGGGGAAAGATTCGAGAGCTCGTCGATGAGCAGCTGGGGGACTTTTTCGGCGCCCTGACACTCACGAGCAATCTTCTCCTGGGACGCTTTAGGGAAGAGCTCATCGGGTAGCTCTCGAAGCCAAGCTTTGAGCATGGAGCCTACAATGTTGATATCATAGAGGTCGTCTTGCTCAAAGAGATTGACATCGTACTCTGCAGATACTCGTGTTAGCCAGGTTCAAATTATGCAACCAGAACATTATATATGATGGAAACGCACGCTCATCAAACTTTCTTTGCCACTTTTTTATCTGAGGCCCGCTTCCAGGCACACGATAAAGGCCTTCAACTTCGGTCCCCTTATAGTTCAGATAATCGATAGCCCTCCACGGAAATGCTGGCATCCAAAACTCTGTCTTGTCGCGCGAGTCCTCCAAACGCTTCGAAATCCGAGTCATTCGCGTCTGCTCGACCAAGGGTAGGTTTATCACTTTCAACACGTAATGTTCATCGTCTATCACTGGCTCTTTTTCTGTCGTGCTGCCACTTCGCGAACTCTTTCCAAACAGGCCTTTGCTAATGATGTCAGCAGCTCTGGTTGACGAGTATCTCAATCCGCTGAGAAACGTTGATGCGCTAGTTTCCCGTATTGACGATGAATGAGCTCTTTGTTCCTTCTCTCGTGGAGCATCTTTGGCGACAGTAGAAGAGGCGGCACCGGCCATTCGGTCCTCAGGCCGACCCCGACCATGAGAATTCATCCCGTCTTCCTTAGGCGCCCGGTCTTGCGATACAGTCGCAGCTTGAGAAACGGCAGTAGTTGTAGAATTGGTTAAAGTAGAAGTGTTGGTATTTTCAGGTGGTGGGGGGTTGCTTGACGCGGCTGGCAGTGGTACCTGCGCGGGGGGAGGTTTATAGCGGCCGTTTTCTTTGTCGCGAACAGATCTGCTGCGGCCAAGGAGCGCAAACGACTTTGATTTGTTTTTCCTAGCAGAGGGCAGAGGTAAGGGTGCCTCGGCGTCTCCAGAAGATGAAGCTGAAAGATCAGAGCGTGACGGGTAGGAAGAGATGGATTTCTGGTGGTTGTTTTCGACGTTGATCGGGTCTAGCAAAGTCAGATGACACAAGGTTAGCAATAAAGTTTCTGACTTGTCTTTTCTCTCCTGTTGGAAGTTGCAAAACAAGGTACAAGTTAAAACACAGGCGCCCGCGAATGGATAAGTGTGCCGTGAAAGGGTGCGATGCAAGGGAAGAAGTGCCAGGCTAGCGCGCACTGCCATTGTTGGCACGCACGCTCGCACTCAGCCTGATGTTTGTTATAATAAGGATCCTGCAGGTTCTTTGCGCCCTTTCAAGCCTTACCTTTGTGACCGAGCCTTTCGCCCCCCTCTGTTGCTTTCGGCAACGGCAGGCTCTGCGACTCTGTGTGCTGATGGGTGTGTGCGTGTGCGTGTGCGTGTGCGTGATGAGGCTGACTGGGAGTTTTGGGGGCTTTGTTAAACTGAAAGAAGCTGGGCTTGGAGTGTTTGGCGCCACCCGTCATGGCTTGGCGCAGTTCTTGGGGCGGCAGCCCGGCGGAGGGAGGATCTGGAGTGGAAGCAGTCGATGGCGAGGGTTGCAGCAGGTCTGAATCATCGCGGGCGTTTTGGGCGCGACACAGCTGCAGCAATTGCTGCTGTTGGTAGCTGCGGCTGGCCTCGTCTGGCGGTCCGGTGCTGGTAGCAGGGCGTGGCGGCTGTGGCTGCAGAGCTGGCGACCTGCCCGTCCTCGGCGGCCGGTTTCTGTGAACGGCAAACTTGCTGATGGGGAAGGGGGAGATGCGCTGCGATCGGGGCGATTTCGAGTCGACGGGCGACGCGGCGGCTTGCGATGCTGCTTCGGCAGAGGGCTGCGGCGGGTCGGCATCCAGAGCGCTGGCATCTGCCAGTATCAGCGGCTGCGGCGTGGGCTTGCGTCCCATCTTTGCAACCCCGGCAGTGAAGTCGAGCGCTCTGGCCTGGATGAGATGGAGGCGTGCAGCAGCAGCAGCAGCAGCAGCGTCAACGGCACCTGAGTATGGCTGGCACTCCTGGGAGGGTTGCTTTGCTTTGCTCAGCCTGTTGCCAGGGGTGGGATGGCGCTTTGGCCTCGGGGCCCTTGGCCCTTGGATAGGAGACGACGTGCGACGGTCAGACTCCGGAGCGCACACAGCGCAGCAGCAAGGCAGCAGCAGCAGCAGCAGGAGCAGATACAGGAGGCGTCAGGAGACGCAATGCACAGGAGAGGCGGATCTTGCAGGCGATGCTGTGCCTCAGCGGTGCCGCGAGTGCTGGAATCCCACGATGCAAAGGGGCAGGCCGGTGGGGGTCGGCGAGACGAACGATAGACTGCAGCTTGTCGCTCCCAGCATCGGCTTGGCGAGCCGGTCCCAGGCCGTGGAGAAGGGAGAGGGGCGAACTTGTATCGACTACTGTAAGTGCGTGCGTGCGTGCCAGTGCAAGTACTTGCGACGGTCGTTGAGCCCCGGTGCTCGTAGCATATAAATGACTGGACTCGTGGCCGTAGATGCGCCTGTGAGGGCGAGCGAGCGAGTGTGTGGGTGTAAAGGTCAAGCAAGGCGCGCGCAAGGCTCACTCACGACACGATATATAACATGCAAAGAAAGAGAATACGAGTGTCTGATGGGGGTGCGTGCGCTGCTCGCGAGGTACCTCCAAAACGGTACGTATCAAGCCATGGATGGAGATTCAGCATTATGCCAGCAAACCGTCCAGGCCTGGGCGCTCTCTCCTTCTTCTCTCCATTGTCCGTTGCGCTCGCGATAAATGCGTGCTAAAGCGCAGAGGACAGGCGGTAAGGTAGTGGTACTAAGATGATACCACCTGCTCCCTGGGTCAAGACTAAATTTCATCTGGGGAGGATGGAATAGACGTGCAGAAACAGCACTAGTTGGTCCCCTCTGTTGGCGCTCTTTTCTTTACATGTACTCTCTAAAAACTGGGTGTGCCTAGGGATCTATGAAACGCAAAGCCAGCCAGGGCCAACAGATGCCCCCCTCTGCTTTATTGTCCGATGTGCAAAGTATTGATACACTAACAAAGCCTCAGTCGCTTTGAAAGTGGTGCTTCACTCAATTAAATACCGTAACTAGTATGAATTCGCGTCGCGATACTGGCGATTACAGAAAAAGCTTGAAGTTCCAGTCCATGCCCTAAGCAATCCCTTTCTGGGGCAGCTCTGTCGATAGTGGTACCTGGCCTGGCTAAAACGGAGTGGAGAGTCGCTGGCAAATGCGCCAGGTACAGAAGCGCCATTGGCAGGAAGCCACCAAGAATGGAGCCAGGTGGCTGCTAGACAGCGACTACCGCTTTTAGAAGGCCACTGCGCCAAAGCACCAGTCACGCTGGGGCAGGCACCTAGCGTTTAGTGGTCGCATCTTTCCCTTTCTCTGCTGCGAGCACACGCGCCATCGCATCTGAAACGCCTCGGTGGCCCCGGGAAAGAACCGCTCTTTCAGGGGTTGCGGCCCACGTGATTGGCTGCGTTTGGCGGCGGCTTCCCCACTTGCTTCTAAGCACGTTGTGAAGCACGTTGTACCAAATACGGCGGTGCTTGCTGAGGGCATCTCCCTTGCAGGGCTATCAGACATCGATTCAGGAACATGTCAGCCTGACCCTGCAGCGTTCGCGTATATTGTTTTGAGCGCTTTTTGGGTCTCACAGCTCCAACCAATAAATCGTACTAGTATGGGCGACGACTATTTGATACTTTAAGAAGTGCGCAGTAGCAACCTGGAGTTTATACTCTGTTTGATGCACCAACCGAGGAAGAATAGCGCCTCTGATCACTGCGCCAAGGTACCTATGGACCTTCCCTGCAAAACGTGATGCAAGCGACCCGCGTGTCAAATTGAACAAAGTATCAGCACCTCCGAGCTGCTAGTGTTGGCAGGATGGCATGGGGTACTTGGTACATGACAGTCGTTCGTCATCGCTGCGACGCTAGGGCATTGTACGACACACATGAATCCCAATCCGGCCCATTACACGAGGCTTGACACGAGTCTCAGAGGAACAGTTTGGAAGATTGCATATGATGTAGATCGGCAAGCATCCCCCTTTTTTCTAAAAAAAGAAGAAGGATCGAAAAGGAATGAAGGGAGCATAATTGATTACTGCATACTACGATATACATGCCTCCTGCTCTGTACTGCCTTCGACTTCATACTGCGGCAATGGCAATCACGAGTTGTAAAGGTACATGCACCTACGTATAGGAGGAAGCTTGCCGCAGAGGCAGCCAGAATATCCGCAGTGATGCATCATTTTGCGTCTTAGCCTGCAGATAGCAATCCATGTGACCACCAAAAGGGACGCCGCTATTGGGCATTGGGCCACAGTGGCGGCCATGCGATTCAATTATCCGGCGTTACACCCACCCCAAATTGATGACTAGCCCAAGACCTGAGCCGTGCCTTCAGTAGCATGCAACGACACCCAGCAGTGGTGGGTGCCGCCTGTTATTAGAGGCTTATTCATCAAGCATGTCATGATTGAGATGTCAAGACTGAAAGTCGCCAAGCAGATGGTAGCTAGTAGGAGTATCACACATATGACTGATATTAACACCTCGAAATCTAAGGATGAGTTTTAATATGAGATGCGATTAATTACAGATTTCAGTTTCTGCGTATAACACAATACTTTAATATTCATCTTGGTACTTATTACTACTGTTTCATTTCCATCATTATATATCGTCATTTGACTTCCGTAAAAAGCAAGGTATCCCCTTGTTACAAGCAAAGTGCGACAAGCATAACAACGGCAACTACCTTGACATTTCTCATCGCAGCCGAAAACAATCCAGGTGCTGCTTCGCTCTTGGGCACGGTAGTTGCCGAAGTAGACGGAAGCCCAGTTGACGCTGTGTTGGCTGAACCAGCATCTCCTCCGGCTGGGCTTCCAAAGCTGGCAGCTGAGGTCTCGTGTGAGCCGGACACAGCAGTTTCGCTAGATGCGGTCTCACCAGCAGCCACTGAGCCGGTTCCCGTGGCATTGCCTCCAGTCTCATTACCAGCACTGTTCTCTGCGCCTGCACTTCCGGTTCCAGTTTCAGAGGCCGAAGACTCAGGAGTGGGCAGTGACAAAGTAGTTCCTCCTAAAGTAACGGGAGCTCCTCCGGGGGTCAAAGTCGTAGAGCCAAAGACGAACTCCGACTTGGAATTCTCGCTAAACGTAGCTGAACCGACAACGATGACCGATGAGGGAGGCTGACCCCCGTTTCCAGTATGCTGCGGAGCTGGTGATGAGTTGGTGGCGCCCCCGGTTTGGCCTTGGGTCTGAGACGGGCTACCGCTTCCTGAGCTGCCGTTGGTTTCTGAGCTGCCACCGCCAGCGTTGTTATTGTCTCCCGTCGGTGGTGGCGGCGGTTGTTCGTTGCTACTACCCGGAGAAGAAGGATTGGAAGCTGGAGAACTGGAAGGCTGAGGGCCACTGCTGCCGCGACCGGCCGTAGTTGCGGGGGGAGGGTTGGTCCCTTCAGAACTTGTATCAGATGCCGGAAGTGAAGGCGGGGAGTTGTTGGGTGCAGACGAAGCTGGCGCCGAAGAATGAGGTGCCACCGGTGGGGATGAAAGAGGTGAAGCTGACGAGGCTGATTGAGGGGGAGGAGGAGGGGGTAGAGGAGATGAAGATGACTTGGGAGGTGGTGGCGGAGGAGGCACTGAGGAAGACTGGGCAGGAGGAGGAGGAGGAGGAGATGAAGATGATTTAGGGGGAGGAGGAGGGGGAGGCGAAGACGAGGGTGTTGTCTGAGGAGGAGGTGGAAGGGGAGAAGATGAAGATTTTGGCGGAGGAGGCGGCGGTGGTAGAGGCGTGGAAGATGATTTAGGGGGAGGCGGCGGCGGCGAGCTTGTCTGAGGAGGGGGGGGAGGAGGAGTGGAAGAAGGCAGAGCGGGAGTCGTACTTCTAGGTGGACTGGGAGTTGTCGAGGCTTGAGAAGGCGTTGAAGACGTTGGTACGAGCACAGAGACGGGGCTCAGTGCCGAAGGAGGATCATAAAACCTAGAAATAAAAGAACGGCGCATTGTGAGAATATGTTGATAACAGGCAGAAACTCATGTAAACTCACCCTCCGATGGCATCACTAAGACACGCGCCCCAGCCCGGTTGTAAGCTTCTGACTCTGTCGGGAATGACAATCGTGGGATGACAAGGGTCAGCTATTTAGTGAATATAACGTTAGCACAGATGTCTTCAAGTCATGTCTGGATCGTGATATGAGGAGACACAGAAGGAAAATTCAAGCACTAAAAACATACTTGAACTAAGAAGGAAACCAGCATTAGATGGGTTTCCGGGAATGTATGAATAGCCCGATATTGTCGAACAGTTTCTCTCCAGATCTTTGGTGTTGAGCACAGCAGACCCGTCGGGAGAGAAGAGTGTGGCCGCCGGCTGTGTACTAAAGCTGGTAATACCACTTGTTACCACAGTCACAACTTGTGAGGTGCCAACCACTGGGGTGAAGATCAGAGTTGATAATTCTGTCGGGGCAAAGGCCATGGTTGTATTGGCATAAGCTGATCCGACCATGCCGCAGTAGTCGAACGCTGACAAGGAAGAAAACCCAATGTAGATGGATGGAGACTCGCTATGATGCGGTTGTATTAGCCATGTTCACAACAAACACCGAAACTAGCTGCTTTCACTTACTATAACACTCCATTAGATGAAAAAGCTGTGATAGCAGGTGTCTCGGTAGCTAACGCAGTATCAGTTTGGGGAGTTCATGATCTTGAGAGTACGTCGCGTTTTGGCATACCATCAGTAAAGTAGAAGACTTCTACAGTAGAGGCTTGGATTGTGCAGCTATAACACTAGAAAGCGTAAAGAGATCACGTATTAGCGTCGGTAATCATTGCAGAATGTGTATCAGGCACACTTACACATGGAGATGTCGCAGATCCATACCAGAGGTTGGTGTCTGGCTCGATAATGTTCTCCGAATTTGTAATGACTGAAGTCAAATCCAAAACTGTTGTTATCACCGTCGTAGTACTGCTGAGACTTTCTGTAAAAGTAGTGACACCAGTTCCAATGGTCCTAGTAAGTGTCCGAGTAGGAGCGTCTGTTGCACGCAGCCAGGAGTTTACGGACCCAATGCATTGACATTGCAAAGCCGGGTCCGTCGAAAGGCTTGTATAAACTGAAATGGCTACAGCTTGGAGTACACTGACTTCAATAGTGCCGCATGTAAGGTTTCCAGATGCAGTAGTGGTAGATGGTACTGTGGTTGGCAGCGTCGCAGGCTGAGTAATGGTTCCGTTTACCGGGACTGAAGCACAGAAGAGGAATATGAGTATCAACTTGAGAAAATGACTCGGTAAATTATCAATTGGGGCGGTGACTTACACGGCGACGCCTGCACCACACCGCCAATGGCGAGCAGAGCAAGAGCTCTTCTGAGACCAGCCATCATATCACTCGTAACATCAACAACTTGAGGCCTAACGAGAATTAATGAGAGAAAGGATATAGACTACGAAAAAAAATCATCTACGCTAGAAATATTTTGTACACTCAGTCCTATTTGTAGGCATTGCTCCACAGCCCACTGCCAGCTAAGCGACTCAGCCCAACCAGGGGTACCAAGGCATGCGGCTCTTTGAGCGATAGGTCGCCCGGAGCAACTTGCCCACCCGGACATTTCACCTGTGTTGAGACATTATAACGTGTAATATGAATGCTATAAGTTGTGGGAAACTGTTTACGACGTGCTAGGTAGTAGGTCTATAAAGTATTTACCTACCTAATACTTGGAATTATCCTCCACTGTTTACACGCCAAAAAGTGTTTACTTGGAGTTGGTTTTCGAGTGTACTCGGCGGTGGAGTGACTTATACAAAGGCCCTTGTAGGAACCTTGACAATATTACTCAACAGTTAACAGTCCAGATGTCATAGCCCCCTGAGCATACAATAGTTCTATCACCTATATTTTACTATTAGTGTCAGTTGAGCCTCGTCAGCACTAGCGTGTTGTTTTAGGAGATATGATGTAGTTCAGCTATATATAGTTTCAAATCTGACTATCGAGAGTCTCGAAAAAGAACATATGAGCATAGGGAATGAGGAATGAGGAATGAGCGCAGGGCTCTATAATGTGAAAGGTCTATTCATGTTCAAGAAAGATATACAAGTAATCCCCAATTTTGGCACTTTCTTCTCACTTCATGGCGTGCTTACCTTCAGTAATCTTTTATGCGCTCATGAAGGATTTGTATTGTTTTTCTGATTAGTAGTACTATAATGGAGTCCTGAACGATAGTTCGTGCGTTTGTTGGCTGCCACACATCATAGTGGATTCTCTCTAAAATCTCACAAGCGGCCGCTAGCTGCCACGGAGACTACATGGACACAGCCAAAAAGAGCCCATATCAGCTGTTGTCGCTCTATACTGGCTCAATGATAGAGCTGAAGGAACGCCAGGACAGTCGTGAGCAGGGAGCCTATTGTATCCAAATCTGAAGAGAAGCATTCATACTACATGTAGGTGCCTACTCTTGCTCCGCTATTGATGCTTTACGGTTCTTCAAGTTGGCAACACTGCCATGTGAGCGTAAGGCGTCTAGATACATGTATACAAGTAACTTGATTCGGGCTTTGCTCGGAAGTTCGGCACAAGAAGACCGCATGATGGCTACCTAACAAGCCTTGAACTAATGAACATCAAAGCAATTTTCTTCTCCATAAATGACAACAAAACCAGGTTTTTTTCGTAGCACAATTTTACATAGCCGCGAGCAAGCACCCGCTGTAATAAGACCCAATGCGGAAAGCAGAGCCGCAAATAGGATCTATGGATGCATCAATGCAAGTCTACCTGGATATACTAAGCCACTCTTATTGCTAGTAGTTACATGTAATTGCCGAAGGCCTTGTTCAGAGTTATCAACTACGTGGGCAATTGAGTAAACGAATCCGGCAAGTATGACTCTATTCAGACTCAAATTACGATAGGCGCTGCCATGATACGAAATGCTTCTCTTAAGAGCCGCTTACAGCCACATGCATCTATCGGGTACGTAAGATGCCTGTATCGTTCAACCAGACTTTCCCTACGAGCAAGAGAAGATGAAGATTTTTCTGAATTTTAAGATCAAAGCGGGTAGGTTAGACACATATTTATTCTTAATCAAATATGAAATATCTACTAGGTACTACCGTCAAGACGTCTATCCCATTGTTATACGCGTATACCTAGCTCTTGGTACCTACGCGCCCCAGGGGTGTTTCTGGGCAGAGCTTCTGTAAAAGGTAACTCCTCTGAAAGGGCTTAGAAAATCTTTCAGGGCCTTTTATAAGGCTTAGAAATCTTTCAGTGCCTTTAAAAGGCTTCAAGGGCACTTACCAGAGGAGTGATCCCTTACAGACCTCTGTCCGGAAACACCCCTGGGCGCCTAGGTAGGCAGAGTGCTTAGGTAAGCGGGCTTCCAGCTGCGTCACTGAAGCGACTCTCAGAGGGTACTTTAGCTTCCATGAACTGCTCACTCGGCATATCACCATGGCCCAAGCAACTGCAGATACCAAGGGCCCCGAGCTGGCCACAGACGCTCATGTAAAATATGTCCTCACGTTGGATACCAAAACCGATGAGCTGGACTACTGGATGACAGAGCACTTGCGGCTGAACGGCGCATACTGGGGCCTGTGTGCACTCCATTTTCTCAGCCATCCTGAAGCTCTTCCGCGCAAGGAGACTATTGACTTTGTGCTATCTTGCCAGCACGAGAATGGCGGCTTTGGAGCTGCCCCCGGTCATGATGCGCATATCCTCTCTACTGTGAGTGCAGTACAGATTCTCGCCATGGTTGACGGCTTCGATGAGCTGGACGCTCGAGGAAAGGGAAAGGCCGTCGTTGGCAAGTGTACGTGTTGGCGGGCATGCCTATTGATTTCATAATCAATAATTTCCTAACATGTTTCACAGACATAGCGGATCTTCAGAATTCTGAGAGTGGAAGTTTCTACGGTGATGAGTGGGGGGAAGAGGACACAAGATTTCTTTACGGAGCTCTCAACGCCCTGTCCCTCCTCGGTCTCTTGTCGCTGGTCGACGTTGACAAAGCAGTATCACACGTCGTATCCTGTGCAAACTTCGACGGTGGCTATGGAGCGAAGCCCGGCGCAGAGTCCCACTCTGCCCAGATCTTTACTTGCGTCGCTGCTCTCGCCATCGCAGGGCGCCTCGATCTCGTGGACCAGGAGAAACTCAGCCGCTGGCTAAGCGAGAGGCAGCTTCCTGGCGGCGGACTCAACGGCCGACCTGAGAAGAAGGAAGATGTTTGCTATAGCTGGTGGGTCTTGAGCAGCCTTCAGATCATCGATCGCGTGCACTGGATCGACCGCCAGGCGTTGATCGACTTCATCCTGGGCTGCCAGGATCCCGAAAACGGTGGCTTCTCCGACAGACCTGGTGATATGGTGGACGTCTGGCACACATGCTTTGGCACCGCAGGGCTGAGTTTACTTGGATATCCTGGCATGGAGCCTGTGGATCCGAGATATTGTATGCCCAAGAAGATTGTTGCGAGAATTCTAGGGGAGTGAGGAGGATATACGGGGTTGGGTTTTGGGTGTCATCTACGATTCCTTCTTTTTCTTCGTGAAATATCTTGCCATGCTAGGTAGGAAATGTATGCTCTCGCATAACAAAAAATTACGGGCGATGCACTTGGCCAGGTATCGAGCGGCGGCAACATGGTGCAAGTGAGGAGGAGACGTTGCTTTCTTTTCCCAGTGGCAGCCACCCTGTAATGTCTAACACCAATGCCATATGCGTTGGTTACAAAGCTTTGCCCCCCAGTTGCCTTGGACCAATAAAGTGGTATATAGCTTTAGATTAGTACTACCCTAGAAATGAATGAAATTAGGTATCCAAGGCACAAGGCGAGGACTGCTTAAGGGAAAGTGTCGAGGTTGCAGTCCATCTAAACATTAACATGCAGCAGGGAACAAAACCACAGCTCTTTATCGCCTGGGCATTCGGATTGAAAGTCACACCAGACATCTCGTCAAATTACCACTATCTTCTATTTCAATCTGAAATAACCTGCACTGCCATGGGTTGCAAAAATACTCTAGTTTATAAAGATCTACAGTCTACTATCCTCTACGTTTTAATTACAGATATTACATCTTAGTTCACAGGCGCTGCTAGAAAAACGCAGGTGAAAGGAGGCCAGTATTGGTCACCCAGAGATGCCATAGAATGGAGCAAAGGGCAAGAGGAGCATGGCTTCTCGGTCCAAAAGCAAAAGCAGAAACTGCAAGTGGTAACAAATATCATGACCATAGAGGGATACTGATGAGATGCATTCCTACCAGGCATTGTGCGCTGCTTGGTGTTTGGCAGCCCTTTTTTTTTTTTTTTTTTTTTTAGGTGCCGTATCGCTATCAGTGAGAGATACCATAAAGAAGGAAGGCACGATGCACAACCACAACTACGCAATATCTTCACCCAAGATGGACTAGCCTCCATTATTCATGAGAGATGGAAGGAGGCTGAGGGTAGAAGAACGAAGCTGCTCGTCTTCTTCTCTACCTTACCCAGCACTTTGCAAAGAATCAAGCAGCAGCGTCTCTGTGGTGTGGTAACCAAAAGACTCAATATACGAGGCTCTTGCCCGGACACTGCCCGGACACTTCCTAGACACGTCCTTGACAGCTGCTGCGGCATCGACAGCATGGATTTTTCCTTCTTTGCCCAGAATCCGCGGCGTCTCTCAGGCTTCTCCCTGCGTCCTGGCCATTCGCTATTCTCTTGGGATGGAAGCGAGCCAAGTCTGGAGCTTCACGCGACACCTCAGCTGCCTCAATGGGTGCAGCCTCCTGGGGTGCTGCTTCCTCAAACGCTGTCCATCATCAAGCCCTGTCCGGACGTGGACGGCTACTATCCAATGGTGAGGCTCGTGACTTCTGTTCCTGTTCCATTCCTTTTGCACCTCTCCTCAATTCTCTTCCTTTCTTGCTACCTACCCAACCACCTACCAGTCTTCTCTTCCATCCGAACTGGGCTTGTGTGGATCTCTCTGCACCCTGTTGATCCCATTTGCTTCTTCCTTTAGTCCCTGCATACCCAGTTGCCCTTTTCCGAATCACGTCACTCTCAACCATTGCTTCTTTGCTTTCCGAGGCCACTCTAAGACCGTGTTTTCGACTCTCTGCTGTTATTGCTGTTATTGTTGCTGTTTCCTGCCCCGAGATCACCACTTGGGATTCGACCTGGCACTCTGGGTCATGAACAGGTTAGACTTCTCAGCAATATCTACACCGTTGCAGATAGATTAGCTGCGGTTGCGAAAAAACACGTTTTCTTTTTCGCATACTTTATAGTAAGAGTCGTTGCTAATGATGATTGAAACAGGACATGATGTCGGTTATCACCCCCGGTGCTTCTTCTGGGCCCAGTACCAAGCAGATACCTTTGCTCTGCACCGTTTGCCCTGAGACACCCCGGTTCTCCGATGTTTCTCACCTCCTCACGCATATTGCCTCCAAAGGCCATCTTCACCACGAGACTCAGACAAAGCTGAAGGCTCATCAAGACATTGCAGCCTCTGTCTCCCTTCAGCAGTACGAGCAGTGGTACAAAGAAAATGGCATCGAAGGGTTGCTTGTTGAAAGAATGAAAGCCAAGCAACTGAAAGAGGCTACAAGAAACAAGCGAGCCAGGGGAGCTACATCAGCGCTCGCTTCTTCAAAGGTATGCTTCCTAAGCTAGAAAATGGGTGAAGCGATTGAGCTATGTTTGTATAATAACGGAGATGGTAGCAACCCAAGAGAAGAATCAAGCGAACCGAGTCCGACACTCCTGTAAAGAATGAGCGCGAAGAATACCCCGTAGACTTTCCCGTTTATCCAGGGTTCTTTGTATCCGATATTGAAAATGAAGCTCCAGACGAGTTTTTGGTATCGGCCGACATGATGGCACTGAAGGGTCAAGTATGGCCAGGCATGGGCAAGATGGATTTGGCAAATGAGGACATGAAGCGTACTCGTAACCAAAGGAAGCCCAAATCCGCCATTGAGAAAATGAGGAGAACTTCTGAAGGCATTGAGCCCACGCAAGTTGTGATGACGGCCGAGTTTGAGGTTGAAAGGATCAAAGACGTGTATGATAGCTCTTCGCCAGTGCCGGACCAGGAGGAAACGGTTCGTATCTACGTCTCACATCTTTTCATGATTTGCAACTAACATCAATCAGACTCCGCCCAAAAAGGTAGCGAAGCCTCGACGAAAGCGAGGGGAGCCCCTGGCCGAGATTTCTGCCAACGTTCCTCGAGGAAATAGCCGTCGTATCACACGCAGCAATCTTGGACAAGGAAAAAGCTCCAAGCCGCATATGGGGTACAGCCGGACTGCAAGCTCCGACATCACTCCTCTTGGACAGTTCAAGCGTTCTCACGACATATTCCGAGATGAGGATACAATCACTGGTATACATATCTGCATTTTTATCAAAATTCCCTTTACTGATGTGATTCAGGACTCTATGACAATCGACCGCTATCAGGTTCTTCTCATAGGGAGCCGAGGTATCATCAACTTGGAAACACTTCTACGTATTCTGAATTCGTGCTAATCTCTCTCCGCATTCTAGGTTTGATCTGCGCAGCCGGGTTGGATTGCACCAATTGAACCCGATATCCCACTCTAATCTTGTATCTCCGACGCCGCAATCTCGGGATATTCCAGATAGATCATTCTCGGGACGAGAGATTAATAGAGGTAGAGGCCAAGAGCAGCCCTATTTTAGCATGGGTGCGCATGCTGGGCTGGGTTCGACAACCATCCTCGAATCTGACTATCATAATACTGACATTATTTCTACCAGGCGCTTTGAACCACTCGGATCTATATACCCTGAATGGAACATCGATCTACAATAACCCACCGCGATATCCTTTCGCCTCAAGCAACCACTTCAACACTCTCAGCCACGACCACTTTCGCCTTTCTTCAGGCCACCACGCTCAACATAAATTGGATGATTTTTCCAACCCTGGTACGAATGATGCAGTCTCAGCGACAAACCAGTTCCTGGATATGCCTGGCGCAAATCCTCTGTTCTCGCAGGACCGTCTCTTCTTTGGATCGGGTTCGGCACAAAATTTGTCTTCGTTGGGATTTACTTCGATAAACCGTAATCAAGATGCCGTCCATTCGATGCGCCAAAACCATGACCAATCCCAATCTGCCGCGAGCATCAAACTGGAGCCACAGCTCTGTGATGTTCTGGATGAAGGTAATATTGACGATGAAAAAGAGTCACGCTATACTGTACACGCCCTTTGGTCGCCACAAGGCCCTGACAACGACGTAGATATCGACGAAGATCTCCGACATGACGAACTGGAACTTTAATGCCTATTTTACGGTACCCAGTCGCTTAATGCTGGTATTATACATTATTGTTCCGCTATTTGAAACAGGCGTCTATCCGGGATATTACGGGGGCATTATCGGCGCATTTTATCCATCTTTAACTTTCCTTTTTGACTTCTCTCTAATATCGGGCCACGAGGCACCTCCAAGAGCTGTTCTCGGTATATTTTGACAAGGTGAGCTGAAAATGGAGAGGTTCATTATACCTAGATTGCTAATATGATGGCGAAGGACCCGTTGATACTACGATTCAAATTACATGAACTGACATACGTTTTTTTACACTGTAAGAAAAAAAAAACTATTTTCTGATGGCGCATTTTCTCTTTTTAGACGGTTGCAGCTACAAGGCTAGGTGTTTTCTTTAACAGAGTTTCTTTTGGGTGGGCTTCGGCGATTCTACGAGCATTTCTACAACTTGGGTTCCATATGGGAAAGGGACTGTTCAACGATATTGATAACTGATTTGAACAAGACAGTCTGGTTGGCGAGTTATTTTATTTGCTTAGAAGTGGCGGAACGCGCATCATATCATAGGTAACCATTTTGGCGTTCGTAAGATCCATACATTCTCTTATTTACACATGATAAATACAATATCATTTCGCTCTTTATAGACTTTGTACCGAATATAACCCATGCTAGATATTACGAAACGCACACTTCTCCTTTCTCGCTGATAAAGCTCAGTTGTTATAGCTGTTCTATAGCGGACACCAGATGATCTAATTGGTCCGAGCCAGCTTCCATGACTTCGGCAAGCGTCCTATATGCTCCTTGTAACCTTCGCCGCCTCATCTCATTTTCCAGTTGTTTTGACTTTTCCGCAGCGACATCAAGCACCTTCTTAGGAATACGGGCTAAACGGGCGACATTTAGCCCATACGAGCGATGGGCAATACCTTCTCCTACCTCATATAAAAAAGTAATTTCCTCTTCGCCATCCTCTCCTTTCTGCGCATTGAATTTCATGTGGACATTGGTGACGCCAGGCAGGCCGTCTGCAATGCGAGCGAGGTTTTGGTAATGGGTGATGAAGAGAGTGAGACACCTCGTTTCGGTCACAACGTGGTGCAGGACAGACTGAGCAATGGCGGCGCCATCGTGGGTGCTGGTGCCGCGGCCGAGCTCGTCCAGGATGACGAGGCTGCGCGGGGTGGCGGAGCGCAAGATGCGGGCTGTTTCGGATACCTCGACCATGAAAGTGGATTCACCGGCGAAGAGGTTGTCTCTTGCGCCGGCGCGGGTGTGGATGGCGTCGCAGAGGGTGAGGGTGAGGGAGTCGGCGGGGACGAAGGAGCCGATCTGGGAGAGGAGGACGATGAGGGCGACGGCGCGGACAAAGGAGGATTTGCCGCCCATGTTGGGGCCAGTGATGAGGTGGGCTAGGGCGGATGGGTGAGCGAGAGTGGTGGTGAAGGGGATGTAGCTGCTCTCAAGGGTCTGCTCCGCTATGGGGTGGCGGCCTTGGGAGATGGAGATGGATGGTTCGGAGGTGGAGGGGAGGAATGTGGGTTTGCTGTAGCCTGGCTGAGCGGCGACTTTGGAGAGGGAGAGGAGGCAGTCGAGAGTGGCGAGGGCGGAGATGGCATCGCGCAGAGGCTGGTATTCGGCAGCTATTTCGGCCAGGAAGTCTTTAAAGGCCTTGTCGCAGGCCGCAGCGAGGGCTTCGCGACTCTGGTCACGCTCGGTAATGAGACGGATGACCTCGGGGGTGTGGAAGCGCGAGAGGGCCTTTGTGCCGGAGATTTTGCTCCAAGAGGCGGGGACGTTCTTGATGTCCTTGTTGGGAACGGCGATGAGATATTCGATGCCTGCAACAGTAACGTATTCGACCGTCTTTTGTTTAATCTTTTGTGCGGCGACGGCGCGGTGTTCGTCGAGTTCGTGCTCGACGTGGGCAATTCCCATCTGGTGGTCTTGAATTTCATCGGTGTGGAACTCCTCTCGGAAGAAGCCGTATTTATCGTCTTTCTTGGCAGCATACATGTTAATGCGATCAAGGTAGGAGATGACTGTATCCAGGATCTTGGGCAAGGCGACGATGGCATTGACGATTAGGGGCGAATCAAAGGCAACATCAGAGGGTGACTTGGTAGAGGAGTAATGACTGGCAATCTTTTGCAAGTTTTGGAGCGCGGTTAAGAGCTCTGGCCTGGTGCATTTACCGTAATAGATGCGAATGAGACTGCGTTCAAGATCTGCTTTGGTCGTGGAGAGGAGTCTTTCTAAATCGTCGACAGGGGAAGTGGACTGCTTGTCGAGAAGCTCCTGCACGGCGGCAAGACGCTCTTCTAAACGCTCTCTGTCCAACAAGGGGCGGCCGACCCATTTTCGGAGAAGGCGCTGGCCGAACCGAGTGAGAGTCTTGTCAACGGCCCAGAAGAGACTACCCCTGTGGGAGTGATCGGTGGAGTTGCGGTAGATTTCGAGGCTTTCTAGGGTTGTACCATTAACCAACATGTGGGATCGCGTACTGAAGCTCTGAAAGTATTTCGTCAGACCGAATATGTGCTCTAGGCCGTATTCCTGTAGGTGGGTAATCATGGCGGATAGACAGATGGTGACCGCCTCAGGAAGCTTCAAGACCTTGTCAAGTAGAGCACTCGCGGTCTCGTTGTCTGATGCCTCCTTTACTTTGTCGGCGTAGAATTGCGTGACATGCGAATAGGCCTCGGCAGCCATGGTTTTGCTTTTGGGTACACGCTCAACGCGACTGCGGTCGCCAAAGACGTTGGTACTGCTGCCTGACAGATGCAATATCAACTTATCTGTGCCTTTGGTGAGATCGCCCACAATGACGAACTCGCAGGGTGATATGTGCAAGAGGCGTGTCTCAATCTCGCTTCGCATAAAGCCGTCCTCAAAGGTGTCATAGATGATATCGCCAGTAGCGGGTTGCACGGCCAGAATACCGACATTCACGTTTTCATCTGCGCCAGAGCCTTTGGTTGCCGTTTCTGTGATGCAAAGCAGATAGCCTCCAGAAGGGGCAGAGGCGTCTTGGCTATCCAGCTCTCCATTCTCATCGATATATGTCCCTTTTGTGTAGACATTGGTGAGCTTGCGGACAAAGGGGGCATTTCTGTTGTCGCCGGCTTTCTTCAGCGCCGCAGTCTCGAGTTGCCGCACGACTCCGACTTTGTGGCCGGCAGCGACGAGTCGCTTGGCGTGAACGGGTAATCGGTGAACCGGGATGCTGGCCGACGCGAAACGATCCAAGTGAGCCTCCGAAGGATCTAATGCTGGTCAGCGAAGCTGTATCAAAGGCATTAAACAAGAATACATACGCTCATCATATCGCATTTTACCCGGTATGCATACGATGCTTAGCTCTTTGGCAGCCACCCGAGCATCTTCACCAAAAAATCGAAACTTGTACCCAACCTCGACGATCAATACAGTGTCCATGTGTTTCCGCTTGATTTCCAGGAATTGCAGCTCCATCGGTGTTAGCTTTCCTGTCTTCGATCCCTTCTTCTTGGCCTTGGAGGCAACCGGAGCCTCGTCTTCTTCGGGATCTGCGTCGGCATCCTCATCATCACCGGCTGGGGCGCCGTCCTGTGCTTTCAAGGAACGCCAAGCCAAGGCATCTGGATGGCCCAATTTCTTGACAAATTTCCTGTGCAGCTCTTCATTATTCCTTTTCGTTGCTTCGTCGTCATTATCGCTCTCGTGACCGATATCTTCTTGTGAATTCGTGTCATTGTAATGGTAACGTCGTACTCGTGTGGATGAAGGACTTTGGTTGCTAGGAGCTGTGGCAACAGCGGAATCTTTGTTGAAAAAGGAGCTTTTCTCATTGCTAGCCTCAGGACCCTTGGTTCTCTTTGTTGCATTCTCAGCAATGCTGTCGGATTGTTCGCTATCTTTTTCGAAAGGCCGTTTTCGTGATGGCAGATCCCGGTCTCTTGCGGGAGTCGGCGAAGATGGCACCGCAGGCTTCTGAGAGGATTGTGACGCAGTGCCATTGGCAGCCCTTGGCGTGAAGAATGCAGTTAAAGACTTCTGCTTTTTCTCTGGAGGTTTCGATACAGGCGTCATGATGAAACTGAAGCTGACAGCTCTACCAAAAAGGCTGTCTTGGTAGTACCACCCTCACAATCAAAGTACCGACCGCTACAACTTGATTAAAACGTGAGGTAGTGTCGACCTCTCAACGCGTCCAGCTCTCCGGCACGCGTTGAAAGGCCCCATATTTTGCCTGGTTAGGAAATGTCTACGTCAGGGTCTTATCTTATCACCCACCACTAAACCACCTATTTTTGCTTTACTTCCAGGTAGGATTTGGAATATTCACCATGAAGCTTTACTTTTTTATTCCTGAAACTCGATATACTTCTGAATCTAAGATCAGACACAAGGCTTGACGCAAGCAGTTGAAAGATTGAAATGTCGATATCACGCCGGAGCTAGGGGCGCACAGCGGCGCTGTACAGTAAGAAGTCAGGACATGGTCCAACTACATGTTCCCAAGCTTTTTGCTTGCGTCAACTGAACATGCCCAGACGGTATTCAAACCGGAATATTGTGACTTCTTGCAGCAATTGGAAACAAAAGACTGGTGATGACGATGACGCTCATGAAGCTTTGAGCAATGTGCTGGCATAGCTTACGGCGCACTAGCACTCAGGAGATGCAAAGCTCACGGGGAGTATACTGGTATGGGCAACAGAAAGACGCTTCGAACATGGCTCCTGATGCATTAGCCATATACCTTCAAGTAAAATCGCTACTCTCCGTTCGAGCCGTCTAGCTGGGTTCTTGCCGCCCAGTCTCATACCCGCTCGTCTTGTAAATCACAGCCCTGAGCTAAAAGCGTCTAAGTGACATCTCATCACCTTGCATCTAGCTCCTGGCCTTGTCCAGGGATAGATGCTGCACGCTCAGCGCCGGCGCGCTCAGCCTCCGCTTTACTATGCGATTCCATTTGGCTGTCGCAGCTGATGAGGCCTTTGCAAGTCTCGGCGTCGACATGCCAGCGCTTCCATCTCGCATTCATAGGCCGTTGGGTCTCGTGGCGGCACAGCCAATGGAGCCTTGTCAGGTCGCCGGCGCTTACAGGGCTAGCGGAATGGAGCTGCGCAGCCAATCAGCGGCAGTCGCGGGGTCTGCCACGGCTCTCCACGTTGCAAGCCTGCCGCCACTAACTCTGCTGGCTCCAGACAGGACCCTCCTTGTCTTTGTCTCTTCGTTTCTTTCAGCCACGGCGCCGCGACAGCTTCGCATTGCCGCCGAGGGCCCCTGTTTGGGGTCGCGTTGCAGATGCTCTCGCCTGTCCTGGCGATGCAGACATGGAGCTGCGGTGCGTGGCCTGATATCGATAGCGATGCAGATGCTGTAGCTGGTACTGGGTACTTGCATTTCACATCTCAGCGTGCATCTCTCGTGGTACCAGATACTCCATAGACGTTGCCGCTACCAGGTGGCATTTAGCTAGCAGAATAATCTCACTTTAAACTCTACAGCCACCCGTTTTGGCGCCCTGTTCCATTTCCCTTCTCTTTTCTCTTTCTCTTCATGTTCACATCATTTTTGCGCGTCCGGCCGATTCTCACTTCTGTATTCCTCATCCTCCTACACAGCTCGGCATCTCACTTACAGTACAGGCCCTGTTTTGTTGCAGCGGGCCGTGCGGCCAGTTCTGCGACCCATCCGCTATTTGGAAACCAGAGGGGCAGTACAGGTACAAATCCGGATTGTGTCAACCCCGCCACCAGCTTCAGGGTGCCGCCACGTCCATTCTAAGACTACCTAACTTACTACCTATACCGAGGGACGTCGATAATCTCACGCAGCCCAACTGCATGAACAGTTCTCGACTGCTCAGTGGAAGTCCAGTTTAAACATTCCTTTCAGTTGTTTGCGTCATCTCTCTAGCGCCTCGTCGCTGCTAGATCAGTACATAGCTCATTCTTGGGCGCTCTGATATTCGCTTCTGCTGCTGTCGTCCACGCCGAGTATGCTTCTCTCTTCTACTACCTTTAACCCTCTGTTTACTGATAGAAGCTCTGCTTGCAGCTTATAATCAAAATCTCTTCCCACCTCAGGGAAAATGGAGCGCAGCCGTGGCGTCCCTGACAATGAGCTTTTCCTCAGCAAGCCTGCGCCAGAAGATTGCGACAGCCCAACGGTAGAGCCGTTGCGCATATTCAAGCCGCAGAGTCCCAATCCTCATTCTCGCGTCTCTTCGACTTCATCGAGCAGATTGACCTTCCCTCTTCCTCCTGGCGCATCGAGTTCTGCCGCTCCTCTGCCTTTTCCAGATGACGACGACATCCGAAAGCCGACTGCCCCAAAGCCATATGGCTCGGCTTACAACGATACGAGCCCTCGACTAGACACAAACATTGCTGCGGAGAAGAAGCCAGGTCTTGCTGAGAGACGAGGTGCTGCGCCGAAGCCCATTCACTCTCCATCCAGCCCTGATGCCGACTATGGCCTCTTTGCGAGGCCCCTGCAGGATAAGCCTGCTGCTTCGACAACAAACTACCCAACCTACCAGAAGACGTATTACCCGCCGCCTGGAGGAGCTGCATCTGGGTCTTCCAGCAGCACTCCGGCGCAACAGCAGCAGCAATATCAAAAGCCTCCACAAGCTCAACAGTATCAACAACCTCAGCAGTATCCACAGCCACAGCAGGCCCAGGCGCCACCGCAGCCCCCAAAGATCCCCCAGGTTGAAAACCTGGCGTCCAATGATCCCGGTGTCAATCGCTTTGCTTCAACGGCCTCGAACTCAACTACTAGAGCCAGCAGAGGCTCACCTCCACCTCCAGAGACTCCTATTGTAGAGCCTGGCAGCGTTCCTGGCGGGGGCATCGAGGCCCGATATGCCGCGTCGGGCATTTCCGGCACGGCAACTTTGACCAGCCTTCAAGCTTCTCAGGTTCAGAGCGCCGCTGCTGCTCAGAGATTGGCACAATACAACAATCAAACGCCGCAGCCTCAGCGCCCTTGGACACCCACAGAGTCTCCCGACCAGGCTCCTTCTGGTCCTCCAACTGTATACCAGGGCATGAATGAGATCTCGTCACCTCAACCACAGAATCCAGTCTTCAGCCCGCCTCCTCAGCAACAGCAGCAGCAGCAGCAGCAGCAGCCGCCGCCAGCGCAGAATCAGATCAACTCCCCCGCTCAAGCCAGCGTTTTGGAACAAGATTTTCAACGCTTGAGCACCAGTTCTCCTCCGCCCGCTTACTCCAGCGTGAATCCTGGCGGGCGAACCGGTTACCCAAATGAGAAACAGCGGCCGCAGCAAGCCAATCCAACACCAGCAGCTGCTCCTGTTCCTGCTACACCTCAAGCTTCTGTGGCCACCAGTTCAGTAACACCAGCCAAAGAGACAGTGGTGGCTGCAGCTACGGCCGCTGCCACGGCTGCCGCCGCCGCAGGCCTCGTCTCTGCAGCTGCTCCTCATAATCAGGGTCACCCTGCATTTGCAAATGATCCCCGGCCGGAGCCCAATGTTCAACATGCTCAAGTGGTAACCATGCCCCCGAATCTCGCAGCTTCTGGTCCTGCTTCTCCGCCACCCCTGCCTGAAGGATGGATAGCCCATCTCGATCAGAACTCGGGCCAGTATTATTACATTCATTTGGCTACCCAGGCAACCCAATGGGAGTTTCCCAAGGGGCCGAACCCTATCCAGCATGATCAAGCTCCCCTCTCGCCCACGGCTTCGACCTACGGAAACCCTCTGGCGTCTCCCATGTTTGGAAAAACACCAATGGCTTCCCCCATGTTTCCTCCACACACTCCTGGTTACGCTGAAAGCATCATGAGCGTTGCAGCTTCACAGGCTCCGACTCTTGGCTTCACAGGTCCACCGCCAAGTGCTGGCGTGGACATGTACAGAATCCAGCCAACCAACGGAGTGTATTTTGGCCCTTACCTGAAATACGTCAATATGAACATTGAATCTGGTAAATGGTATGGAAGCATCCTTATTGTGACAGATGCGCCTCAACCGCCTACGATTCATTTACACCAGAGCATGGATCTTTCCCCAAATCCTAAGCAGCTTATTCCTCACGCCATTTACGTCCACCAACGCTGGACTTTCTATAAATATGAGATCGAGATCGACATGGCAGAGGTCACTGAACGATGGACCTACGCTGTTACATCGCACCTTGGATGTACACGCTACGAATTTGTCGTGGCAGGCAGGCACGAGACTGCATGGAGATTCATTGCCCACTCAGGTAATGATTTCGCAGTCAGCACGTCTCAAAATGAACGCTCCAAGCTGGGTGGCGTGGGTTTCATGTGGAAGGATGTTCTCCAGAAGAATGTGGAATGCGGCGGTTTCCACGTACAGCTTGGACTGGGTGACCAGATTTATGGCGATCGACTATGGAGAGAGGTGCCACTGATGAAGCAGTGGCTGGCTATGAGCGGAAGAGACAACAAGAGAAACACGCAATGGACTGCACGCCATGAGGAGGACGTAAGCCATGCTTACTTCCATTACTATACCAGCCACTTTGATCAGCCTTATCTGAGAGAAGCTTTTGCGCAAATTCCTCACGTTTTGCAGATTGATGACCACGATATGTAAGTGCAAAGGAAAAGGGGGAGAAGGAGTCCATCCATCGTTGACAAGATTTCTAACTTTTCCCTAGTTTTGATGGATTTGGATCGTATCCTGATTACATGCAGTCATCTGCCATCTTTAAAAACACTGGCCGGGTAGCAGCAGACATGTATCTGCTTTTCCAGCATCACACCACGGCAGAAATGATGCGCAACGTCAGCACTGACCATGACATCTTCACCATTACCGGTACTGGGTGGCATTTCGTCAAATATCTTGGCCCGGCAATGGTCGCGATCGGTACAGACTGCCGATCCGAGAGAACTCAGGCTCGTGTGATGGCAGGGCCAACCTACCAGGGAATTTTCCCCAAAGTCGCGACCTTACCACCTTCTGTCCAGCATGCTATTTGGATGGTATCAGTTCCTCTGATATACCCCAGATTGGATACCGTGGAAAGCCTGGCAAATACTGTTGCTGCAGGCAAGAAGGCTGTCAACACAACATACAATATCCTTGGCAAGGTCACAAGCTCTGTGGCGGGTGTTGTTGGCGGCAAAGAGATGGTAGCGCAAGGCTTCAGTCAAGTCAAGAAGGCTGTCGGCAAGTCTGGACTTATGGGCAACGTCCTCAACCAATTCGGCGAACTAGACATTCAGGAAGTGCTTAAAGATATGTGGACTCATGAGTCCAAGGATCTCGAAAGGACGTATTTTATTCGTACCCTTCAGGGCATCTCACAGCAGAAGGGTATTCGCATGACATTCTTATCTGGAGGTAAGCCACAAGCCAGCATATTCTTTCCAGTTATATAGTACCGCTTATACTGACATTATTGATTTGGCAGATGTCAACTGTGCAGGAGCTGGTCTTGTGCATGACCCAACTCACCCTGGAGATCACAAAACAATGTACCAGGTTATCACGTCGCCAATCGTATCCGCCCCTCAGAGCACTTACGTGTTAAAATTACTCCATAACCAGAAGACGCTCTATGTGCCACAAAATGGTCAGAAATCCACGCACGAAGTGTCTGACACTAAAGAAGATATGATGGAGATTTTCCATACAGACGCTAGCGGAGCGGGCAGGGAGCTGAAGAAGCTCATGGGTCGCAGGAATTATGTGGCAGTCGTTGCCTATGACCACGACGCCGTCATGGCCCAGAGCCAGGGGCCTTTCAGCCCCAACCCAAGCCTTCACAATCAGCAGCAGGGCCTGTCTAAGCTTAGCCTTGCGGTTGATTTCGTTGTGCAGGGTGATGGTGCTTTTACAGCCACTACTAAATATGGCCCTGTGATTATTCCTCACTTGGAGTATGGAAGATGAAGATTTTAGAATACCTGCTAGATGGCTGTGAGAAGAAAGAGCTGGGGAATTTAAAGGGAAAGATTTGTTTTGTTTAGCGTATTTCATGTTGAAAAGAAAGAATTGGACTATTTCACTCCCATTTGGCTTTTTGGTTGAGAATTTCAATATTTTTGGAAGACTTTGATGTAAAAAATATGTATAAAATTTATCAAATCGGAGTATCTTGGTATTATCTAGATTGATTGAATGGAACTATCACCACGGACCTGTCCTCGGTGATTCATTTGCGTTGCTATTCCTCCCTTCTGTTCCCTCTCCTGTTCTGTCTTGCGCGTCAAGTATCTGATTTCTCTAATAAACAAATCTAGAGGTCGAAAAGCTCCTTCAGAATCTGGATAGTCTCCTCGGGGCCCTTGACGGTGTGGCCAATGGTTCGCTCGTCGCTGAAGATCTCGTAGTCGTTGCCGCCCTTGAACGTCTTGTCTCCGAAGAAATGGATGTTCTTGTAGGCGATTCCGTTGGGCTTCTTGGCCTCGTTCTCGAGGTGGTTCAGGCAGTAGGTCTTGTCCCAGCCGGTGGGGAAGACGTCGAAGGAGATTTGGCCGCCGATGGAGAAGCTGCGTGCATGTTTGTTAGCGGAGCACAGATTGACGAAGTCAAGATGGTGGAGAAAACATACGTAAGGCCCAGGTTGCCAAACTTCTCCTTGAGAACAGCAACAAACTTCTCTCGAACCTTGGCCTCCTTGTCGTAGGCCTCAAACTCGTTTCGCTCCTTTGTGCTGGCGTTTCTGCCGACGGGGCTGATGTTGACCATGCCGTTGCGGAACTCAATGAAGGTTCCTCGCTTGACGGGGATGTCCAGGTCGGCAACGTAGTGCAGGACAAAGTTGGCCAGCTCCTTGTACTTGTCCTCGCCGATCCACTTGATGAAGCTGTTGGAGGGCAGCGCCTCGCCTAGCTTGTACGCGGTCAGGCCGTTCTCGGCGAAGCAGTAGTCGAAGAGGGTGGTGACGGGCACGCCGGCGGGCTTGCCGAGCTGCTCTTCCTGCTTGATGAGGTCGGAGCCGCCGACGAAGCCGATGGAGCACTTCTTGCGGAGAGCCTGGAGGAGGTCGAGGATTTCGGGAGAGGCATCCTATTGTTTTGGGACGTTGTTAGCGAAAGGTTGATTGAAGGACGAAGAATTGGCAAGCTAAAGGCAAAGTAGCTTCGAATTGGAGGCCCAACAAGGCCAATTGAAAGAATTGGAGTATGTCAACTTACAAGACGAGCGGGAGTCAAGGTGCCGTCGACATCGAAAAGGCAAATCGTGTCCTTGAGAGGACGGTCTTCAAGAGGGGTATAAGCAGGAGCAGCCATGATGAGCAAAGAGAAGTAGAAGAGATGGAAAAAAAGTGGAAGAGATGAAAAAGTCGCTAAGCAACAAATGTGAAGACGCGAATTCGCAGAAAAGATTGGACAAGATAAAAGAAGAAGCTGTTCGTTGTATAGACGAGTGTAACTCCAATGGCGGGGTGCTTGACTTAGAGCCTGAGGGGTCAAATGGCTGGGCGGTCAAGACGATAATAAATATTGACGGGCCAAAAAAAAAAAAAAGAACAGACCAGTGACGAACTTCCATGTGCTATCAGGGTCCGGACAGCGTGGTGCTACAGGGGGTTTAGAGGCGGTGCATGGGGACCGCTAGTGACAGCCCCAGGCCGCGAAATGAAACATCCAAGCCACTAATTTCAGCATTACGAGCCACGTTTCGGCAGGATTTCTGCTACTCTAGGACAGGAAATCTGAAGATCTGTCAACAGTCTATTGGCAAAGACATGGGATGAACTAGACAGCTGTTCTTCTTGAGCTCATAATAAGAGAAGTTATACATGGTAGAATGATTCACACGTAGTCTTTACACAGCCTCTTGTGTTTTGTCTTGATGAAAAGTTTCTCATGTGATGCGCCAATGAGGGAGATGAATACGAGGAGAAGCATGCGAAATCTGTCAAGTTCCAACGACATGGCGGTACATTTGACTTGACACGTATGGCGATAGCTAAAAAGCCACGAATATGACAGACGAAACCTAATTGAGCTGGGGGAGAAAGTCAATTGCTTGGTGCTTACCACGCGAGCGAATAGTATCAGAGTGGCTAAGAGCACATGGAGTATTCTCAGTGATGGTATCTATTGTTACTGTATGTATGCTAACACTGTTGCCTATAATGTAATCCATGCCAGGAAGGTATTCTTTGTAGGTATGTAAAAAACGTTTATATCCAAAGGAAAAACAGGGTTGTGATGTACAAAATCAAAACAAATCCAAACGCAGTGCATGCATGTCAAGCCCTCATAATGTCATTCCGCCATCAAAGAAAAAAATAATCCATACAGATACCTTATATAAATACACAAAAACCTGTTCTCCTTGCGCATCACTCAATCAGGAAATATCGCCTATTGCACCCGTAACCTCAACAATCACGTTGACAACCGTGCTGGCCGACCACATGGCTATCAACACCCAGCCAATCTTGCGGCTCAAGATCCATTTGTTCAAGGGCACGGCGATGAGCAAGCTGACTAGCATGATAAGCAGCGTAATGGAGGAAATCATCAAAGTTCCTCCAATCTGTATGCGGTACGGCTTGTAAGCGTAGTCGTCCCCTGGATGCTTGCTGTGGTGACGATTTGCATCTTGGACCATCATCAAAACGCCTCCCACACCTATGCCTAGCAAGATGTTGAGCATTGGTCCGCCGAAGCAGGCAGATCTGTGCAAGAGAAACGCAGTCAGTAACCTAAAACCAGCAAAAACAGACATGTTTCTCAGAGGGTGAATGTATACTTACAATGCCATGACAGGATATCCAAGTCGAGCCACCGTAATATCAGCAACTAGATCACCTACGCTGTTGCCGGCAGCAAATATAGTGAGTCCGAGCAGAGCCTCTGAGATGCCAAGAACCACGCCGAATGTTTTCAAAACTCCAACCACTTCGCCAGCCACTGTTGAAATCCACGCTATGCTGATGATGAAGCCCAAAAAACAGAATGAAAAGTGGTACTGGGGCCGCCTCTGCTCCGTAGTAAGCAGAAGCAGGGCTCCCAACAGTACGAGAGATCCTACAAGCGTCCATAGAATCATGCGCACTAGAGAGCTTCTCGGATTCTCCCAATCTTCAGAGATGTTTGCCCAGAGTATAACGACTGCAAACAGCGGCCCCATGAAGAGCTGGAGACAGACAAGCCAACGACTCCATCCCATCTTTTCCTCGCTTGCTTGGCTGACGGAGCGAACCTCGGACAGGGGCTTAGCCGCGCCAGGCTCTTGGGTACGGGGGGATACAGTCAAAAGGTCTTCTTCCGGCAGCGCCAAATATGGTGTCGGAATGCTATTGGTGGCAGCATCGCTGTTTCTGCGATTCAACGAATATCTTCGAAACCGCTCCCACTCATCTTCGGGTTCTATTTCCCCCGGTTGGACCGAAATGGGCGGAGCCATATGTCCAATCGACCTATGGGCAGAATGATCTGTGATGGTAATGCCATCATCAAAGGTATCAATTTCCTCTGACGTCTCTGATTCGACGACAGGTAGCGTGATTACCAAGAGGAAGATGCTTGGGACAGATATGGCACTAACAAACTTGTCCCACCAAGCCTTGTCTTTCCATCCCTGCAAGGTCGGGAATAAGGTAGCAAGGAGCACATGCGGAGCAGGAAGAATCGAATACGGCCACCATCTAACTGGTCGCGATGCAGCTGCTGCGTTGTCGAGGGCGGCAAAGGGACTTTCGCGAGCGGTAGCTGAAGGTGGCAGTAAACCTAGCCCAGCTGGCTCAGGTAGCGTATTCGGCGAGATAGCTTGCGTATTAGGCGAAATGGCCATAGGAGAGTCGGTATAATGAGGAAAGGGCATGACAGGCGACGATAGGGTACTCACGCTACCGGGTCGACTGGGTATCTGTAACTGGAGGCGAGGAATGAGAGATGCGGCATGTGACTCTTGGTGAGGGCTGCCAGCCACTGTAGTCGGTCCATCGATCGGAGGGGGTGCGAGTTTGCCGCCAATCTGATATGACGGCGCAGGACTTGCAGTTCTTTGGCTGATGGTGCCATCTTGGGGAGGCTGCAAACTGGAGTCTGATCGATCCCGGCTGTGGCCTAGTAGTTCCCGAGGGGTAGATGAAGAGACTGGAGCGGCTCCATGCGACCTAGCCCTTACCCTCCCATCTGTCGTGGTGGCGGAACTGTCATCGGAATATACCAAGTTGGAGAGCGCACTTGTACTACCCCGTCGACCTCTGTGAACATGATTTTCAGAATAGCTGCGCGCCGGGATTGCTGAAAGCTGAAGGTTGCTCTCGCGCTGCAAGTGTGCCAAGGCAGACCTGAATTCCAACGCACCAATCAAGCTCGGTCGAATCGGTGTGATGGTGTTCCTCCGCTTGCCTTGGGGGCGCAAGACTCGCATACTCCGGGCCACCTCTACAGCAACCATTCTCTCGTGATCCTCGTCAGTTTCTTCGCTATCCTCGCTTCCAGGCGTCTCAGCTATCTGGCCATCAATTTCTATAACAGGACCACGCTCCAAGGCGGAGAGATTGCCTCCGGTCCCAGAGCTTGTTGTAGTCCGTCGACTTGTTTCTTGGTGTTCGTCTTCGGGATCGTCCTGGTAGGGCTCGCCCGCAAGTTCGTCTCCAGTGTGGCCGGCCAGGCTATAAAAATGGCTGCGAGCCTCTCCTTCTCTGCGGAGTCTTCTCTTCCTCCTCGTAGTATACCAATGCCATCCAACAACAGCGAACACGTATAGGGCATAGTATCCAATCATTGCGCAGCACTCCCAGAATCGCAGCTCCCCATCAGCCAGAAACCCCATGGTGAAGGCGACCGCGACGATAAAGAAGCAAATGTCTCTAGCATATGTACGGCGGTCCACCCTGAACTCTCTGACTAGGGCCATGGAGCCCGCAACGACGCCTGTGATAAAGCTGGCGGCGCCAATGAGTTCACCAACAGCCATGCTTGCACTGTTGGACCCCATTGCCGCAAAAGTGCTAAAGACATCGGGAGAGCCGTTTCCAAATGCCAGAAACGTGACGCCCGCGAGGCTCTCGCTGAGGCCCAAGATGGTGGCGATGGTGCTCAGGTTGACACTGAAGAAATCGCTCGCCGCAATGCCGATGGTGGTGAACAGCAGCCCCAGCCAAGTAACAAGAATGATGAAAGCAACCGGCTGCGCTTTGCCCAGGTCGCAGTAGTACAGTCGCAGGTAGGGAAGAAGCCCGGCATCTTCATCTACACAGTACTGTCTGACAAAAGCGCATTGGTCCTTGGCCGTGTGCACTTCGCGACATTCAGGCTGGTCGTGGGAGCGTCGAAGTAGCGTCGAGGTGTCATCGCGAAGGCCATGGTGATGTCGAGAATGCGCCAGGAACGAGTACGCGGCCAGCAAAGACAGCAACAAGACCGTCGTGTAGAAGGGCCGGGAGCTCAAACGGCCCCGTCTGGCGTTTGTTGTCCGCATGCTGGTCGCATCGACATGTCGCAAGCTCGCCAGAGTTGCTGGAGCGGCGGAGGCTAGAATAAAAGGGTTGGTGGAGAGAGTGTCTCAAAGTCTCATTGGGTGTGGATGCGACCAGAACATGATATTTCAATGACGACGTTGGGCAGTTCTGGCGGCCTCAGTGGCGGCTGCCATAGGGAACTTTTTCTGCGCTCCGTATGGGGTAGGCGGGCAGCAGGGCCCCCCAGTTAAGGTTCCAATAGCGTGCGAACGCCCTATGATCGGGTGCTGTTCAATTGTGTCTCCGGTGGGCGCCGGAGTACTTCTTTTCAAGGAAAAACTTCACATGGCTCAGGCAGCACAGGGCTGTGACTGAGGTGGCAATGATCAGAAGGCAAAACGAGGAAACGGCTTAGTTGCACATGGTCGCCGCGTAATTCCACGGCATTGAGTGCTGACAGAAGCCATTTTGGGGCCTCTTCACCCTCTGCAAGGCACAAAGTACAGCCAAGTATGGAGTACCTCGACTCGACCTGGCCCGATCCAGCGTTGGAGCTATAGCGCGTGGCGCCCGTGACTTTCCAATCACACAATTGGCTGGCCGCCCAAGGTGGGGTTTCCCGCCGATAGTCGTGTTGCCTGCCTCACAGAAAGTCAACAGTAAACAAAAATACTCCTCCACCACCAAGTCGACACGCAACAGAGGCTTTGCTCGCGCATCTTGGACAGTCTTACGGCGCACATTACGCAAAAAGCCTGTTTGCAGCAATGCCTCGGGTCGCTCAGGTGCCACGCGCAGGCGGCGCCACGGGGTCGCCATTCAAATCCCCCGTCAAGTAAGTCCCGTCCCATCGAGTCCAACGCCCATGGCCGCCGAAGCTTATGTGCGAATAATGAGTGATAGGATCCCCCTCAACGATGACGCGCAGGAAAAGGGCCAGCGAATGAACAACAGGAAAGCCCTTCAAGAGAAGCAAATAAATGAGATCAAAAGAGCGGCCACGCCACGCAAGAGCCTCCGGCTGGAAGATTTTGAGAATAATTCACAGAGCCCCTATACCGGCACGCCTCGAGGCGCCCGAGTGTTGGATGATGGCGACGATCCCATCATGGTAGGGGGCGTCTCCGTGACGCCGATGAAGCGCGTCCCCCTTCTAGCCAACTTCGAGGAGTGGATGAAGATGGCCACTGACAACAAGATCAATGCGACCAATTCGTGGAATTTTGCCCTCATCGACTACTTCCACGATATGTCGCTACTCAAGGAGGGTGATGGTGTCAACTTCCAGAAAGCGAGCTGTACTCTTGATGGCTGTGTCAAGATTTACACCAATCGAATCGACAGCGTAGCAACCGAGACAGGCAAGCTGTTGAGTGGCCTCGCAGACAGCAATAACAAGAAGAAGGATCGCGACGCTGAAGAAGGGGCCGGTGAAGGTGAAGAGAGCGAGGAAGAAGTTGATGCGGACGGCAACGTCAAAAAGAAGGCGAAGAAGAAGGTAAGAAGCAGAAACAGGTGAAATGTTTTGGCGGGCTCGCTTTGGATGCTAATCAACTTGCCCAATCTTGCAGGTGCAGAGATCATCGGAAGCCACGCTTGCGCCATCATTCGCGTCTTTACAACTCAAGAAATTCGAGCTTGAATTCGCCGTCGATCCACTCTTCAAAAAAGCCTCCGCTGACTTCGACGAGGGAGGTGCCAAAGGTCTCTTGCTTAATCACCTGATGATTGACTCACAAGGTCGCATTGTTTTTGACAGTAGCGATGATGTCGGCGATGCAGACGAGGGCAAGAAAGAGGACCAACTAGACGAAGGAGAAGACGAAGCCGGAGCTGGAGAAGATGGCGAAGAGGTCCAGCAAAGCCGTTTAGACCTTGACGAGGACCACCATATGGATATAGACCAGGACGAAGACCAAGGCCACGTCCAAAGCCAAGATCAAAACCAAGACCAAGACCAAGACCAGGGGCCGGACGTTCCCGAGGTAGAGATTGACATGACAGCGCTTGGCCAGCGGTTCTTCCCTGACCTAAACTTACTGGATGAGCTCGATATCTGTCCGTCCCTGAAGAGCTTTGAACTCGGAGATCCCTCTGGATCCATAAACATCCCTTTCTTGAAGGCTCCTGAAGACTGGAGGGAAAGTCAGGATAAGCCTGGCGCCCCAGGCAACAAATCTGGCATGTTCATTGATGAAGACGCACCGGCTGGTTTCGATGATGAAGATCTGGGCCTTGGCGACTTCGACACTCTCGGCGATGTTGCTTTTGGCGAGGGTGGCGAAGCCTGGGCACGCGAGGCTGCCCTTGAACCTCAAATGCGTGTATATGACGCTGGAACAGATGGTGGAGAAGGCGGAGACGGGGAGGGTTTTGACGAGAACGGCGAATATATCGTATCCATGGGCAACTCGCAAAATGCTGACAAGATGCATCAAGACATACTGAGCTTCTTTGACCAAGCATTACAAAAGAACTGGACCAGTGCGGAGCATTGGAGGATTCGCAAAATTAAAGACGTCAACAAGCCGTCGGGAGAGGCGAAGAAGCGCAAAGAAAAAGAGCCATTTGAAATCGACTTTTCTTCGCCTCTCAGCCCTGGTCAGTCCGACCTCATTTATACACAAGCCTCCAGCAACTCAGCCGTCTGTTTGCCCAAGAAGGATTGGAAGTCCAAGTCTCGAAACCTACTTCCTGATGACAAACATTTTAGCTCAAAATCCCTGTTGAACCTCTTCCTCAAGCCCAGATCTCGTCTTGCTCGGAAACGGCCAGGATTTGGCTCGCGAACAGGCGCGCAGGGTTATAGCTCTCAGGACAGCCAGCCAGCGGGGGACTTGGACGAGGCATTTTGGGCGCAGCAGAAGGCGCCTGAGGACGCCGCCTTGCCTGAAGGCGATTATGACGCCAATTTCTTCCAAGACGATGACGGTCTGCCATTTCCCGGTGGCGACGACCCAGATGACGATGATCTTGAGTTTTCAGATGCCCGAGAACACCTTTCACCAGGAGCTGAGGGAGATATGGGCTTGACGGAGGGAGTCGGAATGACCGCCATGTTGAATGGAGACACTATGAACACAATGGGTGCCTTTGGCACAACACTAGTGACTCAAACGCGCCGTGTGCGACCTGAATATGTTCAGTTTGCCAGGGTAGCAAAGAAGGTGGACGTCAGGCGACTCAAGGAGGAAATCTGGAAAGGCATGGGCCTAGAAGAGCTCGAGGTATGTGTTTAATGCTTTTTTGATCCGCTTCAAAGCCACCACAATGCAACTCCCTGCAACTATACTGACTAATTCTTCACATAGGAGACCCCTGCACCGCCGCCCAACGCGGAAGAAGAACCCAAGCTCAAATTCACGGAGGTGATGAATGGGTTGCAATCAGTATACCCCAAACCCGCCATGGCGGACATTTCCACTTCGTTCTGCTTTATATGTCTACTTCACCTGGCAAACGAAAAGGGACTGGTTATTGAAAATACAGAGGGGCTGAGTGAGCTAGATATTCGGAAAGACTGGACGGCTGAGATCACAGAAGGTGCGATATAAGTCTGTTTGGTATACAAGAAAGTACTTGTGTCATCAAGAGAAAAACATAAAAGAACAAAACAAACCAGGCATGGATAGGATTGGGATGGCCATTTGCATTACTGGGCGTCTTGGGAAAGGCTATGATATCGATGATTAACAGCTCTGAGTGATGTCTATGAACTTATAACTTTTATATGGAAGAAAAATGCCACAGACAAAAATGCCATAGAATGATATATCAATCACTTTGCAGCATGTATTGAATTCCTTTTGATTTCTTCCTCTCCCCTATTATCTCTCTTTGGCGCAATGTAGAGGTTATATGCCTCTACTTCCCTACTAGTAGGTAGGCCATAGTCTGCTAGCTGGGAGCTCTTGCCATATATAGAAGTATTATAGCCTACCTAATATGAGCAAGGCAAGTAAGTCATGCGCCTACTCGTGACCAACCTCATTCCCTTAGTGCTTGCTTACCTTATCTGCAAACTAACGAAAAGCCAGACTTCTTTTGGCTGACCTCAGCTTTGCAACATTTCGAGATTCTCTCCTCATCAGGTCCAGAAGCTTCATGTGCACGCATCATCGTCACCCAAAGGGGAAGTTTATCGGTGCCAAACGAATCCACCCGACTCTACTGTGAGCTCACTTAATTGCAATCATGTAACAAGAGCTGAAAAAAATACATAGATAAGTATTATTTTCAATAAGCCACCTTCAACAAAGCGCAGGCCATATGACCAGCGGCTCTGAGACCCGGTGTCTGCTAAGATCAAGAACACAAAACAAAGTCTTCCCCAGAAACTTTTCACCCGAAAGCTTGGGTCCTATTGATTACAATGATCTTTCCATCAACGCCGGCCTCTGATCTCGCCCAGTATCGTTTGTCTAAAGGTTGCAGTTACATAAGAAAAAGAGAGCCGTTTCTCACAACCTGGAAACCCGAAAGAAGAAGAAAAAGAAAAAGATGTAGCTACACCACAAGATATATCCAGCACATAAACGAAGTAAGTAAGGGAAAAGAGCTATGGGTATCTGAACAGAATTTCAACGATGCACGAGGCATCAGCGAACAGAGCCAAGCGGAAAGATGGCCTAAAACCGACTCCCAACATGCTACCAGCAATAACATCTCCATGTTGTGCCGCCCGCGATTAGGTGGCATATGACCATCAAAGCAACTGGTATGGGCCTATTACCGCCATTGGTGAGTTGGCATGTTAGCTCCGCCGATCGTCAACAAGCTCGCCAGCTTTTAGCAAAGCGTTAACCCCGTCAAGGCCGGCTGCTTCATAAGTATGAGGAATGGATATCTGCTCATCTGCCGAGGTCATAAGAACATCGCCATCGCTCATCTCTTCGACTCTCATGTTCTGCAAAGCCGAGGACGCAGTTTGAAACCCTTAGCGGCCTATATTAGCTGCATTTCTATTCAAGCTTTTCACGAGTTTGGGGTTAGGTACCATATCCCTTAGGCCCTTGATAAGGGCCAAAGGCTGACCTCTCCCGCTCACCTGGACTAGCAACGTAGCTAGCTGTATATAACGGGCCTTCATCTCGGCGGTGAGACGTTTGACTTTGGTCTGATAGAAGCGCATGGATTGCCAAAGGTCCCTCGCTCAGTCTACGGCTACCTCTGCCCGATGCTATCGTCGGGACACTGCTGCCGCTTGACGACGACTCGTGGTGGAGACCTGGTACTGCTACGGGCGGCAATGCGTGTTCTCCTTGGGACGCTGATGGCCTGTGATGTGTTGTGAACGCGTGGGGGAGTCCCACTGTCTCGATCCCCGGGGGGTCTAATCTTCCTTGCCCATTGGACAACATATCGGAAAGCGATGGCAGATGTTGCTGCTGCTGTTGTGACATGTCGGCTTGATGTGGCATCATTTGCGTTGCACCTCTTATCGACGAAGAGCCTCGCCGTAAGTGGCCTGAATTGCTGACTCGCTTAGGGTTATCGTTCTCAAAGTAAGCCGATGCTGGAGATGGGATAGGGGCTATTGAGGGATGATGTGATTCTGGGCCAGACAATATTGAGTGGACGCTGTTTTGCCGAAGATTTGGAGATTCGCGCGATTCGCTATCTTGCGTTCTCACGCTGCTGCTACCACTCGCCGTCGAAGTTGAACCGCCTAGAACTGTGCTGCCGCTGACAATACTACTTCCGGAACCGTTGTGATCGTGCATGAGCTCATGCTGCTCCAACCTTGCTCGTTTTGCGTCTTCGTTGCCTAAATAAGTATAAATCAGCACCGATTCGAAATTGGAAGAAAAGCTGGCCCAATCATATTATACACACGTTGACTGGGTTTAGATTGCTTGTCATTGAACTCGTCGAGATACTTCATATACTTGCGATATTCTGGCGTTTCTTTATAAACCGCCATCTCTCGGTAATATCGCTCTTTACTCTGTCTTGCTTGGCCTTCATACACCTCTCTTTCTGGTAATGATAGGTTCTGCCAATGCTCTCCCACCAATTTGGCGATTTCGGTAAATGTGAGAGAGCGATCGCCTTTAAGGCTTTCTCTTAGTTCTGCAATAGCGTCAAGAGTCAGCAACTGTTTCCCATCTTGCGACGATGAAAGCAGCGGTCGATACACTTACTATTTGAGAAGAGCACATATGCGGACATGGGACGTTCAGGTGCATTCTCGTCTGGCTGTTCAATATCGGTCAGCATGCAAGGCTTTGACAAACAAGACCTTCTTCTTCGCCAGCCATACCTTAGGGTGCCGGCGGTACTTGCGCTTCGGCCCAACACTGCCATCGCCATTATGACCAGGCTCTCTTTTTTTGTAAGTACCGTCATGTTTGCCTTCTTCAATGGCAGCCTTGATTGTTGACAGTGAGATGCTGGGGTCGATGCCCCTTGCGTTGGCGATTCGCCGCTGGAGTCTCTGAACAAGTTTACTGTTAGTGATATTCCTAGGAATCAGCTAACCATTGCTGAACATACTCTTCGATGACCCAGTTTAACTCCTAAAGCATCACTAAGAATCCAGTTAGCCTCTCGTCAACTCACAATCGAATCGATCTACCCACAGGTCAGACTCCTGAATGTCGAGAATGGTGTCCCAGGTATCGAAGCCCTGCTCAACAAAGGTATCGAGATACTGAGCGATGCCCAGCTCTCTGAAGATCGTCTCCAGGTCTTGATTCATTTGGGCGGGTTGCGTTCTCATATTTGACTGGAAAAAGGATACGTGGTTTTGCGAAAACTATGATGTTGCCGGCCCAACATCTATTTCCATCTGGAAGGGAGACTGTTTGGAGCTAGATTCAACAATAAGAATGAACGCGACTCGGAGAGGTTGGCCGTTGATGGTAATAGGGAGGTGGTCCAGCCGAGAAATGAAAACTTCAGAAGGCAGAGAGGTACGGCGGCAAGCAGTATTCGGTTCGATTGCGCGCTTACTTGGGTGCCAAATGGTTAGCTCTTGGTGATGATTTGCGGCCGATTGGAATGATTATTGTCGCAAATAGCGTTGGTTGGCTGAGAGAAATAATCTTCGCGATAATATTGTTGTGAGTCAATCCACAGCTGCAAATGACTGGTCCAGGTGCAGCAAATCTACCGTCAAAAGCAGGATCGAGATTATATAACAGCTCCCCAAAGTATCAAGCAATTTCATTAACGAGGCCCCAGATTTCAACGTCCAGCCAGTACCATGAGATGAAAGGACAAGATATAGCCCCTGCCAGCGTCCCGAGAATATGGGCTTTGGGTTAAACGTCCGCTGACAATGTGAGCCTGGAGGAAGAACTGAGCTTGAAGGCAGTCTATGGACTTGAAAGAACTGATATCAGGGGGCAGGGCGAATGCTAAGCGAGCTATATCTAGCAAGCTTTGCCACTTAAGTGGCAGAATCTACCATCTCGATTTGCGACGGGACGCTGGATCTGTACTTCAGATAGGACTCGAGCGAACTGGAAAATAAAACCCAATGACCGCGCTCGTATGTCAAAACTGGGGAGGGACCCAGCCCCTCAGCCTTGAATGATATAATCAAGGTGACTGCAGATAGCCAAAACGTTTTCCAGAAACGCACAAGCGGAGTACGCAGCGAGTAATGAATCGAGATTCGTTGGTTAAGATGGAAAAATACCACCATGTCAAACACTCACAGCATAGACATGGGACGGGCTAAGCTTCGGTATGGCGGTACTACAAGTATGATGGCCACTCTACTTGTCAGCACCTCCTAAGACAGAACGGCAAGGTTTAAACAGTCCCCACAGAACTGTACGAGTATGTACCTTTTTTTGTCCCTTCCCAAGCAGGCTCCAGAACCAGCAGGACGTGATTGAACTTGGCTAGGGGTTGAGAGAATGGGGGGTACAGAGAAGTTGGGGGGGAAAGGTTGTTATGGGGAAAAGAGACTTGAGAACTAAAGGTACATGCGAAAGATAGGAATGGCACGGAGGTTTGGGATAGCAAGAAAAAGGAAGAGATGGACTGATTACCTACGGGGGCGCGCTCTCGTGGAGCTTTGGACAGATGCCTTACCAAGTGCTAGGGCATGCCGAGGGTAGGTGTGTGGCTATCAGAGTAGAGCCCGGCCCGTTTCCAGGGTTGTATGGATGTCTTGATTCCGACGACACAGCGATGAAAGAAACTGATTTCGATCCAAAGACCGCTACCTACAGGTAGAGATGGCTGGGGGGGATCGGTAACGAGGTGAGAGATCGGACATGGGAGCTGTACTCCACGAGCTAATACCACCGCAGACAGGCCAACGGAACGGAGCCACACCGTTTTGACTATAAACCTTAGCAGGGGCGGCAACGTAAAGCTGGCGTACAAGACTTCTTTGGTGAACGAGGGCATCAGCGTTTGGTCTCACATGCGTGGACGAGGTGAAGATCCATGACGATAGTGATGTAACCTGCGCACCGATTCATTCAAGAACCGAATAACCAAGGCCAGTAGCCAAGGTCAAGATGCCCCAATTTCTTATCGAAATCGAGAAAGAATTACAGGCACGTCTCACTAGGCATGTCTGTACCCCCAAATCGAACTAATTCAACAAGTACAGTACGACTCTAAAAGTGGGATTAGGACCGCTTTCTCCGTCTCGAGACTCACATGCAGTATACTGATTATAGGCACTGCAGGGCAATCGTGAACTGGGCGAGCAGAAGAGCCGTATACCTACTACCTAGACGGAAGGGGTAATTACGGTGCTCTGCACGGCTGAGCTGCAACAACACATGAGAACAATAATTGCACCCCTCTCACTGAAAAGAGTCGTCATAGTATACTCGAGGTACCATGGCATAGGGAACTGCAGTATCATGTTCATGCAATTTGTACGTGCGGGATGTGTAATCAAGGTCAAGCACCTACTCTGAACATGCCAACAGAGGGCTGAAAAGGGCTAGACGAGGGGGGTCCGAGATGGCGACCAAAGCGCTTGGCTTTGTCCAGCTTTTTCGGGACTCTGCCTTGGCTCTGTCGGTGCTGCGAGTCGTCGTGCATCAAGGTTGTGTTGCGAAGCAGTACCGTTATAAATATCATTACTCAAGAGAAATACGGCCCCTTCCATCTTCGCTCCCCTTCTCCGAGACTACCTACTTCGTTTGTGTACTTGCTCAAGTCAAGCAGTGCCTGCTCACGCTCGAGAAAAGGGGTGGAGAAGAGAGAATAAACATTGGTTCAGCAGCTGGGAGACTTGACTAGCTTCGTTACTGACTGGCTGGCAAACGAAGCTAGGGCGTGGACGGGCTGTCGTTGGGCTATGGCATTGGTCTGAAAGGACAGCGATCTCGATCCCAGCAAAGCTTTCTGGCCCGTGGCTTGTGGCAGGTAGAAAGGCAAGGGAAAAAGAAGCCCAGCCCAGGTACCAGCTAAATTTACGGCGACGACAGGCAGCCTATCATAGCTGCCATCCTGGATTACGAGGACGCGCATACGCACGCCTGGGCGTCTGTCTTCCTTTTACCCATGCCGGCACTACGAGGGCACTAATCAGGCCGATGGGGCATGGCCCAGAGTGCTGTGATCGGATTCCAGCCTGAGCATCGGACTTTGCCATGGGGGCGAAAAAAACAGGGACCGCAAAGTGAATATACGCATATACCTTCAGGCATCCAGGCACCGCTTGCTCTGGACGGGCTGCAGTTGGAGTGTGCGCATGGTTCTTCTTTATGCGCTTAAAGAATTCTCAACCTTGGTTTTTCTGGCCCCTGCTTGCTTAGGTCACGCCACCTTGGGCACACGCCTTTCCTTGTCTCGCATCTCACCGGCTAGAGTAGAGGCGGATGGCAAGCTCGAGGTTGACCCAAATGGAGCGGGAAGTCAGCCCGCCTGCAGTGTCTCGAACTCCAAGACGGGAAAGCGAACTGTCTGAAAGAGAGTGACACTCCCGTCCCAGAAACGGTGCTGCCACGTTGCTGCTCATGAGAGTCTCTTTTGGCCTTAGCTCTTGGCCCATATAACAAAGCAGCACAGGGGGACTTAGCTTGCGAGAGAGACAGCGGAAAATTACACTCCGTATGCCGAGTTCGCCCAAATGTGGTGGTGAGATGGCTACTTTTTGCCATTTGAGGCAGTAACTTCCGGAAGCCAACACGAACGACGGCTCGCTTTTGCCACGGCAGAAATGGCGCCCAGCCCACACCTCGAAGATGGCGCATTTCCAGAAGACCACATGCGCAAGTAATGGGCAATTGCAGGAAATACGACAATGAGTTGGAGATCTCGATCCCGCCAAACTGGTTGCCCGCACGAGCAGAGTTTAAAGGCGCAGGCTTAGCTTCTTACTGATTTTGTTGACGTGAAGCCGATGGAATTTACAGCCATTCGGCGCTCGATAGTATAACTCTCACAGCTGCGCCAGCCATGCCATGCTTACCATGCAAGTACAGGCTGTCAAACTTTCACGCGAGTTGTTTGATCAGAGCTCTGTCGCGTTCAATTGAGCTGGGCCTTGGGCGATCCACTCTGGAGACGGTTTCACGCCAAGCCAAAGGACATGATGTCAAGGCGCTGTAAGTCGGTTAACATATCTCGATTGCCCGTGTCTTCACCAAGTCGCGATCAGCATCCCCTCACAAGGTGAATTGGTCCTTTTCAAGCGCATTCTATCGCTCGCTCGCGCTGACTGCATCTACTTCGACTTTCTCTCGAAGTGCGGTTGACTCAGTCAGCTCCATTTGGTCCACATGGCATGATGTGTATTTCGCCTCCCTCTTTCTAACAATATGATTCCTTTCGCTGCGGGCTGCCATGACGGGTGAATGAATTCATAAACATTGCCGCCTGGGCATCCCAACAGCCAATGGCAATGACAGTGAGGAGCAGTTCATAGAATCTAGACCGTCGCCTGTGCATACGTGGGGAGGGGCGTGCTTGGAGTAGGAGGATTTCAGGGTGCTCTGTAGTGCCCTGTTTCGCACTCTACTCTACAGTAGCGTTCACTTGACGCAGAGCGAACGGCCGATATCTTACTGAATCGAAGGGCAGAGAGCTTGAAGTGCGCTTCGTTTAGCTTGTATAAGCACCTTGTCTTGCAGGTACTTTGGGGATTGCGGTATAATGCTGTGAGGCAACGAGGTTATGGAATCGAGAACCGAGCTTACAACAATGAAGTCGGTAGGCTACGCTGGGATATCCAAGCGAGGCCGTTGCAAGGAGACGTCTGCAAGTCAGTTTACTCGGCCTAATCAGACTTGTTTGCATGAACTCTTGGTTTTTCATCGACTGCCAGATCACGAAGAGTCTAGGGCTTTTTGAAGTCTGTGCCAATAAACGAGACGCAGACTAAGTAACGGATATAACCGAAGCAACAATCTTACTTGATTCATTATAGCTTGGACGGGGCACCGTCTTGAGATGTTGCTCCGCATCTCGGGTCAAATGGCTTCTTCATTACCCCCCCATGGAATCCATGGATTCTATTTTAACCAAAGCGCGCGTACAAACGGGCAAGCGACTGGACCGCTACTGCACGGCTGGTGCATGTACAGTTTACAATCCATGCTTGCGGAACGGCATCCGTCTGCAGCCTCGGAAATCGTCAAAGATTCTAGGCAAGTAAACACAACCTAGTAGGAATGGCAGTGTCCGATTCCCCCTGGTGCTATCTCGGGGCCCGAGTATCACCTTGATTGGACTGACTCAGCCATTGTCTTGCTTTCCTTCCAATGAGTAGCTTCCTACCCTCTTTGAGGCGCACATGATGCTAGTGGTATCGGTGAAAGCTGCAGCTTACACCGCGAACGCAAATACATATGCAAGAACATGTAAGTCAGGCCGGGCCTAGGTCAAGCACTTCAACAGACGGGGTTTAATGACAGACAGCTGTTAGCGGGACACCTGCCAAGTACGCAAGTGAAGTGAGCTGAAAATAGAAAAAAGATAGGGAATCCAAGGGCGGAAACAGAATTATCAGTTCCATGGCAACAATATTGCCTCAAAATAGACCCAGGGTGTCTATCTGGGCTACTTAGTTATATCGGAATACCTGTCAAAACACACAAGATATTGTGCCCGGCGGAAATTTCCCAACGAGCATTTACAACTGGCCTGGGTCTGGGCGACTCGTGTCACGTGAAGCCGCCAATTCATAACGGAGCTCTCTTCTACACTCCGTATTGCGAGCAGCAGCCGTCACTCCGTAAAACGTTCAGCCTTGCGGGCTTCGTTACGCAGACCCGACAAAAAAAGTACCCAGTTCGCCGTCGGCTACAGGTTCCGATAGCCTCGTGTTCTATATAAGACACCTTTTCCATCACACGTCTGTCTCTCTTTATCTGATCCAGACGTCGAGAGAAGTTATCGCTAGAGACACACCGAACCAAACCATGGGTGCGTCATCGGATAGCCCTGTCGCCAACCCACCCAAGCCAGATCAACACGAGGCTGCTCCCGAAGTTGACCTCGCTCAGGTATGTTGCTCTATGCAGTAAACTCATACATGCATACTACATAATAGAGGCACTCCGTCTCACTTCCCCCTTATTGACCGTGGACCCTGTATATCTTATCGTCTCCCTTTCATCACTTGTCCTTGCTTCCGTTATCACATGCAGGGGCAGATAGCCATCACAATTTCTCTCTCTTCTCATTTTCTTTTTTTGCCCTGGTGAACTGTCATTCCAGCAATCAGGAGCAAACAGAGAGATCGGCCGGGTAGAAGAGATCGGCGGCTGAGGAGAGCATGATGTCAGTTTTTTTGAGCAACCTGAGATCCCGTGAGCTAACCAGAATGTTTCAGGCACTCCGAGAGCTCGCAAAGTAAGAAAGAAAAATTCAAAAGTGGAAAAATGAAAAATTCATCATCTTTCCATATCCCCAATCTCAAGCAACATCGACGTCATTTACAAAACTCGCCCTTTCATCTCCACAAGTTGTGCCCAGCTCGTCGTCATCTTGGAATCACTACACACTTGAGCAAACTTTCTTGCTCTATACAGCCCTGCTTATTATCACGATTGACTTCCCCCCCTTTTTTCCTCTCCCTACTGTTTTTGATTTCTCCTTACCATGACATAACGCCGATCACCATCGTCGATGAAGTGCTCCATGTGTGCTCATCAACAAGAGAAGAGAAAAAAGTTTATCTAACCCCTTACTTCTAAAACAAACAGAGGCGAACAAACCGCCACAGCAATGGAAGCCAATCTCTCAACCCTCGAATCCAAACTCGACGCTTTACTCGCCGCTTTTGAGCACCTCGAAGAGGAAAAGGGAGGGAAAAAGGAAGGAGGAGATCCAGAACAAAAGAGCAAGCCAGAAGAGAAATAGAAGAAGAAGAAGAAGAAGAAGAAATGGGTAGTCTCATTCTTTTCCTCTTCGTCTTGTTTCTTGGCGTCTTTCTCCTTTGTTTATTTCTTTCTCTCTTTCTTTGGGTTGTATACCTGGTTTCATAAGCGAGTCAAAGTTCGTCAAGATTTTTTGGCGCTGCGTTTTAATATTAGCACACACATAGGTATATGAATAGTCCTTGCAATATAGAACAGGGGATAAATGTGTCTGCCAAATCACCCGTGATACAGCACAATAATTACCATTTGCGTGCAAATACGTGTTCGTCACAAGATGAATATGCTTATGTAGAACACGTCCAGGTAAACATCAATCATCACGTATATTTAGGCACATCAATAACAAAGGTATAGAAGGACCATCGTGTCCCACGGTAAGAAGATGGAAAGCCTTTAATATCGCTACCAAAAAATGAAAAACTAGAAACTCCTTTCGACACAAAAGCAAAATGAAAAGTAAAAAAGCAAGGTCTTTGTTTCTCTTATCCAGCCACCGTACCAACCATCACGTCCGTTCCCTTTGCTCATCATCCTCTTCCAAGAACTTCTCTTCGTCTTATTCTCATCGTAATATCTACGAACGTGAGGGTAAAGATTCAAGCCTGCAGCTCGCTCTTTCCCCCATGAGGCAATGAAAGGAGATGAAAAATAACGAGATAGCCCATAGCCTGGCTTTTTCGTCATGCCAATTCCTTCTCGTAATTCTCTTGTGAAACCTGCTTACTATTGCGGCCGCAAAATTCCTGCGGACCCCACCGTCCGTTTGCTAGTAAGGAAGGAAAATATCCCTACAAATCAAGGGAAGTATAAAGAAAGACCAATAAAGACGAAGAGAGCCGCGAGTTTAAATACAAACTGAAGAATGCATAAGGGAATTAGGGAAAGCACCAGAAACCGCATAACCAGGACAAGCCATTCAGGCCCCTTTTTTTCTCGTCCAAGGTCATATCAACACCGTATTCGCCATGTTGAGGGCTGAGAGTAGAGTATATCGGCAAAATCTCAAACAAAAAAAGCAATAGCGATGCTCTGGGAAAAACAAAGTATGGCCAAAATCAGGACGAGGGATAGTAACCCTGACATGATCAGCACACAGATACTCGGATCAAGAGTGATACTGCCTGCCGCCCTGCTGAAGAGAAGAAAAGGTTCAGCATCATGTTAACCATATCGACATGATAAAAGGATCGGCAATCCCCAGAGCTTATATACTCTCTAAAATTAAGAAAGAGTTGTAAAAGCTTAGCCATCAAATATAGCCAAGGAGGGTATAAATAAATCAGTGTGATCTCGTAAGCTCATGTCAGGCAATAGACTCCGTAGGGACTTGATAAACGATATCAGACAGACAAAAGTGCGGCATTCATATCTGACGAAGCCACAATCCGAATAGCATCTTTGTGCACACTTAACTTGAAAAACTTCGTTTGTCAGAAAGTTCTTCACGTGCTTTTAGAAATGTGTCGGTTTCCTCTGTCAGCTCTTCCAGTTCATCCAAGTATTCGGACCCAAGCTCAGAAAAGTCACCGAACTTTGCGTTTGCCAGCGCAGCCGATCGCGCTTCCTCCAGTGCTTTGGTCGTGGCCTTGGTGATGGGCTTATTCTTGATCAGAGGCTCTCGAGCGGTAAACGCCCGGCCCTCAAGGCTCGGACGTGGCAAGTTTCGATCGCTATCGAGACGCCCAGAAGCTTTGGCTTCTGCTTGCAGAGCAAGCTCTCGCTCGCGATTCTTCTCTAGCAGCGCACCTCCAAGAGTAGCGCATTTGAGGATGGTCTGGATGAGCTGGTTCTGTTGCAGCGGCTTGGACAAATATTCATCCATCTGGGCCTGGATACACTTTTCGCGGTCACCCATCATGGCGTGGGCAGTGAGGGCAATAATGGGAGTTCTATGCGTTCCCATGCCTCGTTCATATTCTCGGATCTTACCAGTGGCCTCAAATCCTCCCTGTAGGTAAAAAAAAAAAAAAATTATCAGTTAACAGGAACATAATCCAAGTCAAGGGGATCGTTTTGCCCCACGAAAGGCTTCATCACTTACCATGATGGGCATCTGAACATCCATCAGAATCACATCAAACTTCTTTTGCTTCACAGCCTCTACCGCCTCCCAGCCGTTGCCCACAACAGTAACAACGTGGTGATACTTTTCAAGGATCTTCACGGCCAGTTTCTGATTGACAGTGTTGTCCTCGGCAAGCAAAATCTCAAAAGACTTGGTGACATCTGCGAGAGATGGCGTGGCCCTGTTTTCGAGAGCGGGGACCATTCCGTTGCTCAGATCAATCAACTTGCAGGGCATCGTCATGTAGGACGTAATGCCCAGATCCAGACATGATTTCAAGCTGACATGGACCACAGGAGCTAACAGGACAATAGGAAGATACTTAAAGTCATCTACCGCTCTGAGCCTCCTAGCAGTATCAATCGAGTCGACAATGATGGCGTCATAGGGTAAAGCACCACCCTCCTTAAGTCGAGTGAGAGCTGAACTCTTCTCGGAGTTGACGACAACAGGAAGGAGCCCAATCTCTTCCAGCATTTCTCCAATGTGTGTCGCCGCATTTGACTGCGACTTGTCGACAAAGAGGACCTGGTGGCCGCGGTATGGCTTCAGCTGCTGCTGAACGCTTTCCGCGTGCACATCGGCCAGCTTCACACGGCAGGTGAAGTGGAATTCGCTTCCCTTGCCAACCTCGCTGTTAACCCACAGGTCTCCGCCCATGAGATTGACAAATCGCTTCGAAATAGACAATCCGAGGCCTGTGCCACCGAATTTGCGTGTCATTGAGCCGTCCGCTTGCTGGAACGTGTCGAAGATGAGGTTCAGCTTGTCCTTAGCAATGCCGATACCAGTATCTTCAACAATGAACTCGATGGCGTATTCTCCTGGGCCAACATGTCTCTTGTCCTCCTGTTCTTGGATGGTTAAACTAACCTCACCGTGTTCGGTGAACTTGATGGCATTGCCCACAAGGTTCAGGATAATTTGTCTCAGACGGAACGAATCTCCGATAACGTAGTCAGGCACAGAGCTGTCTACCTTGTACGTGAGATCAAGGAACTTCTCATTCGCCTTGACTGCGAGCGTCTTGAGCGCATTGAAGACGGTGCCTCGCAATGTGTACGGGATCTCTTCAATAACCATTCTTCTAGCTTCGATCTTGGACAGATCCAGGATATCGTCAATGATGGTCAACAGGCTGTTGGCAAGATCGTTGACAATGTTCAACATTTCTCGTTGGTATTGGGTCAAGTCGGTATCCAGTGTGAGCTGTGTCATTCCGATGATACCGTTCATCGGGGTTCGAATCTCGTGGGACATGTTGGCGAGGAATTCTGACTTGGTCTTGTTGGCTAACTCGGCAGCCTCTCGAGCTTGCGTGTTTCTCTGGATACTGTCTCTGAGATTTGAAATCATCTGGTTGATCTTTTTCTTGAGCTCGTCCATTTCTCCCGAGGCTTCAACATCTACAAGTTTGGTGAAGTCGCCATCGGTAGCCAAGTTCGTAATATCAGAGAAGGCACGCACTTGGGTTGTCTAAACATTGGGTTAGCATAAAAGTACTCTTGGAGCTTTCGCAGCTACCCATGCATGCGAATTCGGAGGGGAAAGAATGACTTACTAAATTGCTGGCCATAGTATTGACATCGGTGGTAATTTCTTTCCATCGTCCATTTAGTCCGGCAATATCAGCTTGAGCTCCCATCTTGCCGTCGACACCGACGTCCTTGGCAACACGTTGGACTTCGTAGCAGAAACTTGACAGACGTGAAACCATGTTGTTGATGGTCTCCTTTAGCACTTGTATCTCACCATTTGCTTCAACATCAATTGTCTGGCTCATGTCTCCGTTTGCAATGGCTTGCGTGACAGCCGAGATACTTCGCACCTGAATGATGACGGTCAGCCTGTAAATAAGAAACAAGAATAAAAAGGGTGCCATTTCTGGCAGCATCAACGCGGAGCTGGAAGCTGTTGCTGATGACTAGCTGATTCTCGTGTTGAGACATACCTGTACAGTAAGGTTGGATGCCATAGTGTTGACATTTTCGGTGAGATCTTTCCACTTGCCCTCGACATTGGCGACCTGAGCTTGACCACCCAGCGTACCATCTGTACCGACTTCACGGGCCACTTTGCTCACTTCCACGGCGAATGTGCCCAGGCGATCAACCATTTGATTAATGGTGTTCTTCAGCTCCAAGATCTCTCCCTTGACCTCTACCCCAATCTTCTTGGTAAGGTCGCCTCTGGCTACGGCTGTGGTAACCTTGGCAATCTCTCGCACCTGTGTCGTCAGATTCATGGCCATGCCATTGACGTTTTCGGTTAAATCTCTCCATGTACCCTCAACGTCATGGACTGTGGCTTGACCACCAAGTCGGCCCTCAGTTCCGACTTCTCTGGCGATCTTGGTAACTTCACGAGCAAACTGCTGCAGTTGGTCGACCATGGAGTTGATGGTAGACTTGAGCTTGAACATTTCTCCTCTGCATTCGGCCTGGACTTTCTGGGTAAGGTCGCCCTTTGCGACGGCCGTTGTGACTGTGATGATGTCGCGCACTTGTGTCGTTAAGTTGTCGGCCATGGCATTCACGTTTACAGTCAGATCATTCCACATGCCCTTGACCCCGCCAACGTCTGCTTGCCCGCCTAAGATGCCCTCGGTTCCGACATCTCGGGCTACACGCGTAACTTCTGATGCAAATGTTCGAAGTTGATCCACCATGGTGTTGATGGTCTGTTGCAGTTGCAAGATTTCTCCGCTTGCTGGTCGTTCAATCTTCTTTGTTAAATCGCCATGGGCGACTGCTGTTGTGACAGAGGCAATTTCTCGCACTATATGGCGCCTTGTCAGATCACAGGCCTGGGAGCTTCAACCATCCTTCCTCTTCAACCGACAAGTCGTTGGATTGGAAAAGATGGGGTGAGAAGAGGGGGGCACGAGAACGTCAGAAGATGGGAAAATACTATACATACCTTGGTCTGTGAGATTCTGTGCCATCACGTTGACTATAAAATCATGTCAGTTTTGAGGCCCGTTAATGAAATTTCAGGTTGAGCAACCTGCTTGGCGCAGAGAAAAAGGAATGAGACGAGGTAATAAATCAAAACAACGCAGACAGAACCATACCATTGTCAGTCAACTCTTTCCATACACCGTCTACACCGCCGATGCGGGCTTGGCCGCCGAGTAGACCTTCGGTTCCGACCTCACGAGCGACGCGAGACACTTCGCTGGCGAAGGTTTGCAGCTGGTCCATCATGGCGTTGATGGTGCGCTTAAAGGTTGTGATTTCGGGGTCCATTTCGACCGATTCCATACCAGCCTTCATGGACAGATCGCCACGGGCTACAGCAGTGACGATCTCTCCGATCTCTCGGAGGGCCTTTTGGAAAGCCTCGTTGGCTTGCTGGTGCTTCCGTAGCTCTCGCTCTAGGGAGGCCACCCGCTCTTGCTCCATCGCCTCCCAGGCGCGCTCCTGAAGCTGTTTCTGTTCTAATAGCTGCGCGGTGACGCCAGCAAGCTCCTGGCGTTGGTTGTCTAGGAGCTTGGACTGGTCATCAACGTGGGCGTGCAGTCCTTGCAGCGCTTCCTTGGTCAGCTGGTGGGATACAAAAATCGGACTGTCCAAGCTACCTTGTTGAGCCTGGGACAGCTTTAGCTGGGGAGCCGCAGGGCGGCCATTGACAGGAGTGTCAGTTTCATCGCTGAATATCGTGTCGTTGACCTCGTTGGGCGTCTCTGGGAAGACGGCGGTGGCCGAGACAGTGGCCCTGCTCTCGAGCTGAGAAATCCGCTGGGCGAGCTTCTCCAGCTCAATCTCCAAAGTGCGTTTGGCGGGGTTTTCACGGCCTGGCAGCTTGACGCTGGAGCCGGCCCCGACCGATCTTAACGAGAAAGAAGCAGGGTCACAGGCCAAGGAGGCGATGAGCTCTGCGGCAGCAGCGAGTGCCGCCGTATCTTCGATCATGCCGGGCGATGGCTGGGGGGGATCCCCAGAGAAATGGGAGGGCGAAATATCGTGGAGGGAAGCTGCGAAGCGGCGGGCGGGGAGGAGGGAAATAGAAGATAAGATATGAAAAATAAAGAGTAGAAAAATAAAACTAGAGGAGAAACAGCGTCCCTGCTTTTTGGTCTTCGGCGGCGGGGAACAGCGGCAGCTCGGTGGGCGAGGACGAGATCAAGGTGCCGGGACCTGGACGCTCGGCTCGGGTAAGCGATTAAATCAACGGGGCATAGGCAAGAATGCCAGCGTCATTTGAGGCGACGAAGAGAGGCAGATTGCAAGAAACTGGGAGGACTGGCGTCGTCTGAACCGGCCAGCAGCACCGACCAGAGCGCAGAAGAGCCAGAGCCAAGCCAGAGAGAGGCAGAAACAGGATAAGAGCAAGAACAGGCGCAGGGGACAGGGGACAGGGACGCTCAAATCGCCGTGTCGCGAATCATGAGATTTCGAAGGGGAGCACCGCACAGGCAGCCGTCAACGGGGAGAGTTGACGAAGGACGAGTTGTACTGAGGAAGAATACTAACGTAGGGACGCAGAGGAATTTTTTTTTCGAAATGCACCCGGTGCAGATGGCCTCGAGGAGAAACGTTGAAAGATGGATGGGAGGAGAAGACTAGATCTGGGCCCAGACAGGGGAGGAATAGGATTAGTGCTCGACGGCAAGGTGGAGGAGCAGCACGGAGGACTGGCAGAGGGCTAGGCACCTCAGCTCAGGTAGTATGGGGTGCTGGCACTGCTGGGCTGGCGCACTCTTAGCGGGAATAACAGCGAGGCCAGACCCTGTCAGAGCGGCTTCTGAGGCGGGGGGAGGGAGAGCGCCAATGTACCTACCTTTTTGCTGAGGCCGCACTGAATTCGAAGCGAGCGCCATAAATATTTGATCAGAATTACGGAGAACTGCAAGCTGTCGTGCTCGGTACTGCCAGGTACAGATGAGATCTGGTACTGCTGGTAGGGGACATGTATCTTAGCACCTCGTGGCAACCAACGGCCGATTTCTGGGCGGCAGTCTTGCTCTGTGTGTGTGTGTTTGTGTGTGAATCGCTGGGCTGTACCTAATACGAAGGCGATCGACGTGGTGCAACTCCCTGCCCGCGAGAATACGACTATGGGCTGAGATGTGCCCTCGGGCACCAGTAAGAGACGGACGACTAAAGTATTACCTTGTACGGTAGTCAGGCGAGTATCAGCTAGTACTCATTCGCATGCAAATCTTACAAGCTGCTCTCGGCAGCCACATGAGGCTACCAACTCGCACATCTCGAGTTTGAGTACTTCCGGAATACCCTGAGCTTGAAATGCGGTGCAGCGATCCATTCATCCCTTGCATATGTACAACGGACCTTAGTACGTCTTGTCTGAGCCGTCCGTACTGGCGGCGGCAGCAGAGATAATACTAGCACGTCTTGGAAGTCTCAGGCGAATGGACAAGGCGACCATCGAAATGTGCGGTAGGACTTTAGAGGCGTTTAGAGGCTCTTTGTGGTGTCTGGTGCGTCAAGGATGTGCCTGCAAGTGTTAGCAGGCACCAGATAAGATGGGGTGGCCTGCTAACCGCGTTAGGTACCTTGGGAGGGTAGTGCTAAGCCCAGAAGGCTGAAGCAGTACCTGGCAGGCGTTTAGATGCTAACATTTGGACTTTTGGGGCCTTGAAGCATTCGAAGCTAGCAGTTGCCTTAGTACAGCATCCGGGCCTTTGTCTCCTCGGCACGTGGATGGACCTTTTTTCCCCTCGCTACGCCTTCAAATGCAGGTCAGAGGGATGAGATGGAGCGCAAGCATTGCAGCCAGATCACAAGTGAACCACTTAAGAATAGGAAGAACTAGACTGGCAGAAATGCAAGTTCATGCTGGGGACTGCTGAACAAATCGGCCGCTCCGTTTGGATGGAGGCCGGGATTCTGCGTCGTGTGGCTAACAAAAAGGAAAACCACATCCAACAGCCGTCCATCCATGTCAAGACGAGACAAGGCGCTGCTACTGGACGGTATCTGCGCGCACAGGTGATCAGGCCCTCTGCTAGCTTCAATGCTCGCTAGCGGTCAACGACGGCTTGAATAGGATTCATGTTCGTTTCTCACCGTGAGAACACCGGAGTGGCTACATGGGCATTGACACAGGAAGCAAAAAAAAAAAAAAAAATACGGAACCCAAGCCGCTATGGAGTCAATCTTAAAGGTGGCGGCAGTATCTCATCAACCCATGCAAGATGGTCCGGCATCCGAGCATGTTTGTGTACAAGTACCTACTTGTTTTACTTCCTTTCCCTTGTCTTTTTTTCTCCCTTGTCTCTCTGTATGTCTGAAAGAGATGGTGTCTGCTTCTCCTTTTTTTTTATTAAAATTTGCCACCGAACTACTTGCTATCCGCCGCTTGCATCCTCAGCCCGCCACCAGCATGGGGTGATGGATGGGCTGGGCTCGCATCTCCAACCCCGGCGGTAAAAAGAAGTACAACAGGAGGCAGCAAAAGAGCTGTCGGATAAGTTCCTATTAGCTGCGCCGTACCCGCAGATGGGAAGCTTTCGCTTTCGCAGCCATTCCGCGTCACCCCCTGCCGCCACCGTCGCCGTCTCGGGCTCTATCTTTCTCAATAGGGACAGCCAAAATGGACGGTGTGTGTCACTGGCGCTGTGTGGTCTCATATTTTTGCGCTGCAAGCCTCTCAACCTCGATCGGTAAGAGGCTTTGCCATCTTTTCTCCCTTGCTGCAGCCCAATCCGCCATGGACTCAGGCCTGCGAATCAGGCGCCGCGGCAAGACGCCATGGCAGCGCTGGGCCTGGCTCTAGTGTTTGGGAGCTTTTCTTTTTGTGCTCCTTAATCGAAATGCCTAGACGTCGGAGGCGCGAAACTACTCTTTGGCGTTCTCAGCCGTTCGGGGCGTCGCCATTTTACTGTCTGGCTTACACCTGCTGTGCCTGCTGCGTAATCCAGGCCTATCATCTGCCATCTAGATCGGCTCTTACAAGGGCAGAGGTACCGGCAGGTAGGGGTTTTGGGGGCTCATGGCAAGAAGCGATATGTGAGGAACTTCCAACACCCGATGCCGCCAGCCCAGGTCTAGAAGCATGTCCATGTCTCTCAGTAAGGCCGAGATGTGTGTGCAGCTGCCTAAACACATGCAGGCTCGGAGTTCTTTGCAGAGCACAAGCTGCAAGCCTTTGCTGCGTGGATACTTGTAACTCGATATGTACATGCACGATACATTGTCTCGGTACGTTTTTGAGAGCCCTGTAAATGTACTGAGAGACAAGCAAACAAAGGTGGCTTTTGTGGCTGCATCCAACACATCCCTTGGCTGCCGCGCCAGTACCCAACGTTTCCGATCTGAGAGACGAAGCTGTTTCGGTTTTCCCATAGCTAAGTCAGTCAGGTATCGAAGCTCTCCGGATAAGGTCCCATTTGAACGAGGGTTGCTGCACTGTCTCATCCCCTCCTGTAGCCAGCGCTCAACAGTACTGCCAGTCATGTTGATTATCCAGTGGCAGCAATAGTACACCATTGTATGGGATTTTTGGCTGTCTTCTGCTCATTTGCTCCTTTTCACACAATTAATGCAGAATTTCGAGCAATTTGGGGACAATAGCGAGCGAATAGCCCGTTCTCCCGCTGAAATGCCGCCCCAACCCCAAAGGGCTCGACGGCGCTCAGGGTTCTGGCCAGATACGGCAGTGGGCCTCCGTATATCATGTGGAGATGGCACTTCTTTGCTCACAAGCCACAGACGTCACCGGCGGCCAGCGCCAACCCTAGTGGGCAGCACGTCTCCCAATAGCGGCTGGGGCGGGCCAGAAAAAGACCCTGAAGGTACACCGAGTTTAAAAGGATTTCTGGGCGTGGCGTTCGTAGACGCCTGGTAACCGATTGACTTTGATCTCTTCCGTGCTGATTAAGTGTGTTTTCTTTTTTTGTTTACTCCCTTTTATTTACGAGGGTTGCAGGGAAGCAGCTTCCTCGATAAATGACTGGCTGAGTCGTTGCAAGCACTGCATGCCTTAACTGGCAGTACTACCTCGTACTGGGCAAATAGTGCTCACGCGAGGAGGTGCGCACGTGCGAGGAAGAGAAAAAGAAGAGACAAAAAGAAACGCTCCCCTGTGAGCGAGGACAAAGCACATGCCATGCCATGCTCTTTTCTCGCTTGTATGACGAGTGTCGGTCAGGGTCCCTGATGACAAAATCTGGGGCACATGGAGAGATTTGACGTCCGTTCAATATAAGCCGTCTAATGAGCGCCCTCGTCTCAAACCCTTATGAGCGTTGATCATCAGTGGCCACTAATAAACGCGCAGAGCCATGTTTCAAAAAGAACGACCCAGACCGTCGGCCCCCAGGTCTGGTCCAGAGGCCAGCGCTGATCTTATGCGGGTTCCCGAAGACGGCCGTTTCCTCTGCCATCTCGCTCGTTTCGTTTTTGGCTCGTGCGAGAGAAGTACCTACAAGGAAGAGGCCCTGCAGTACGGCACCGCAGTCGGGAGCAATTCTGCCAGCTTTTATGTGCCTCCACGAGCAGTAGGATCGGCCCATTGTACCTGTACGACTGCGAAGAAAAGTCAGTGGACAACGGTTTACAGTGGTGCAATACGGAGCAGTCAACAGTCCAGTCCACTGCAACCCCAGGCTTGACAAGGGGCAGCAGTTTTTGCCTCTGCCCGCGGACGAGGGGCATCCATTTGCCATCAAATCAATTTCAGTCTTTTTTCTCTGCCGCCCACTTCCCACCACATCCCTCATGCTGGGCAACGGGCCTGGCAAATGCGTCCTTGCCAGACATGCAGCTCATTGGCCATGCGCTGCAATTCCTCCGTGCTTGGCGCTTGGCATCAGGCAAGCCGCACCTTCGGGCCCGATGCCGAAATCGCCGGTGCATGCACCTTGCTCTTTTTCTCTCCATGTCTCTGATGTTCTCATGTACAGCGGCAGCGGCAGAAGCTCGTTAGTGGGCAAGGAAAAGGGCTGACAGGCTCAAGCTAGCATTGAACCCTCGTCCTCAACCCGTCCGCATGACCAAAATTGAGCTATAAACGGACCATGGAAAGGAAAAAGCAACGTGCCTGCAGAAGGAAAAGAAGGGACAGTGAAACAAAAGAATGCCCGATTATCCTGGGGTGGTCGTGAATCCGCCACTCGCCGAGCACTTTTCGCCTCTGTGCAACCCTCCTCGTCGTCGCCTCAAACGTGCAAGGGAAAACTGACAGGTCTCTCGAGGCGAGTCAAAGGCCAGAAAGCTGCTCGCAAGCAGCCAGTAGGGCGCCTGCAATCCACCGATTCGGTGAGCGCCCCCTGGTCCCCATGGAACGCCACGCTGCCGCTGTACATGAGAGCAGCCCAATGGACACCCATTCGGTGACAGCCTGCCCGATGAGTTGTCCAGCGTTTTTAGCCATTCTGCAGTTTTGGATGGACAGTAGCGTGCTTTCGCAGAGCTCTTGATCCTTGCTTTAGCACCGGTGTGGCTTGTTTTGTGTTGTCGCTCAGGCACCGGATTGCTGATTTCAGCACAGATTATCGCATCCCGTTCACCTAAACCTGAGGCCTACGTGGTAAATCGAGTAACGATGTACAGGACCCCAGCGTCGAGAATGTGCTGCCTTCTGAGCTATCACCTGACTGGTACGCTGAGCGGTGACTTTTATCCACCACAGCACGGCCTTTTTTAGGCTTAATGACTTTCAATAGTTTCATGTAGGATCTCATGCAGATGACTTTACCCTTGTAAGGTGCTGTGAGTACTAAGCGTTTCAGCTTATAGATATACAATTGTAATCGGATGAGATGCATTTCGAGAGATTTGATGGTAATATGGTGAGCTGATCACAATATGTGAACGTGTCCTGATACAGCAAATTAGAGACATCCTTACATTAGCCAGCATATGAAACGGAAATCATTTGGGCTGGCGAGTCTCCAATCTTTTGAGCAGTGGTACTTTGGCGATTCGGGCGTAAAATTTGACGACAGCTTAATGTCAAGGCCGAGTTCTAGAGTATAAGAGGTGTATGTTGTAAATTGAGTCGATCCACAGTGATGAGCGTGTGGTTGTTTAATATCTGTTCAATCCTCGTGAGATTGGGCCCTGGCTGTCAAACGGACTATCTAATAGAACAAAGTGGTCAACATCCTGTGAGTGCATGATATTCAGATTTACTAGTGACGTTGTAGACAAACACGAAGCAGGTACGGTAACTTCCATCATGCTCATAGAGGTAACAGTAGATGAAATGATATGTGGCAAGGAATGTTCAGCAGTTGCTGCAGGGACTCATCTACTATTTATGGGTAGACCCTACCAGTCCTTTGAGAAAAATGCTTTTACGCCTGAGATGATTGTTATATCATGCCTGTTGACCTCACTACTAATACCCTGGAAGATTTCACCCCTTAGCACTTACCTATGTCACGCTCGCCCACATCAAAGTGCCAAGTAATCTCGACTTGAGACTTGGGTAAAAGTAAACCATCATGTAGAATATTAACATGATTCAGGCATGTCGTGGGACTGTATGAGTAATATATGCAAGATGTGATTTTCGAAAGTTGTGAAAAGTTATACTCTCTTAAAGCTATTCTACTCCGCGTTATTTTGCGATATGTGGAGCTTGGAAGCGAAAGGTTCAATAATAGCAATATCTCAAGTTTAGATAGAGGATACTCTTACCTAGGTATATGTGCTTAAAAGATGCAGGTGAGCATTGGCGTAATGGTAGCCTTACTTTCCACTAATCGCCACCTGTATGATTTGCCTTTGATGCAGAAGAACAAAGCAACTCCGCAATTCAATTGGTCGGAGCCGTCTCACGCACTATGCTCTTGGATGTGTCGATGGATTTTCACAGCAGTTATTAAGCTCCCCGGAGGCCTTGCATTGCAAACTGCTCCGTAACGCTCTCGTGTACCTTGACCTCCACGACTATTTCACAGCATTTGAAAGATTCCCCAAGGTGGTGTTACAGGCCAAGTAATAGGTACCTAATATATCTCTATAGAGCAAGGCTGGGCCATCTACGATACACAACAGCTAAAAAGGTTGAAGTCACAGACTAAAGAACGCTGTCTTTCAAGACATGAAATATACCTGCTAATACCTGCCAAGTCACCTAGCTCCATCACTTATATTTGCATCTTGATCTCGTACATGGTATTGTCGTTACTTAATATACTCGTTACTTGATATAATTATGCTTGCTTGCCCTACGCTTCCTCTAAAGCTCCAAAACTCCAAAACTTTGCTATCAAAAGAAGATTATAGAAAGAAAGTGAAAATGATATCAATTAGCCTCGTACATCTTCATCAATCCAGCCTTCATATGCGTAATCTGTCCATTCAGCGACCGCTCCGAATTCTCAAGCGCGGCAATCTTCTCCTGTAATCTCCCAATCTTCATCTTCTTCTCAATTACGGCCGCACGAGCAGAGTCTCGGCCCATGGCGAGGCCCTTTGTCCGACGAGCGGATATGACAAGCAGATTGTTAACAGACGCTAGAACAGAGGAGTCGATGGATTGAGTTTGGAGAAGGCTCATGACTTGCTCAGTAATGTCGTTGTCACCACTCTCTTTGTCTTCATCGCCGTCATTTTGTTGGGTGGCAGTCATTGCAGACGAAGGAAAAGGGGCAGCCTCTTCCATGCTGCTGGGAGGAGACATTTGCATGGTGCTAGGCGGCTGTGCAGATTCGGCGTCATTAGTAGTAGCCTTGCTAGAAGTAGGAGCAGATGGCTCTGGCTCTTCGAATGACACCGACTTGCGCCGCTTGGCACCCTGTGCCTGGGGGAACAGCGTGCGCGCGATAGGCCGAGATGGCCCCGCAGCCGCATCGTCTTCGCCATCGTCTACTTGCTGGTTGCTGTAAACCTCCACGCGCAGAAACCTCTGAGCGCTTCTGTCTGTCATAGTAGCGAGCTCCCGCTCTTCTTCAGAGTCCATGTCGCTCAAGAGGTCTTCTTCAAACTCATCGCGGCCCCGCTTCCGACCACCACTAGGGCCAGGAGTAAGAGGCTCATAAGTAAAGAGTCGATCAGCAGCGGCTTTCCCTTTGCCCTTGTCTGACGATGGTCCCGCTTCCGGCTGTGATGAGCTCACGGTTTGATGACGATGAGTCGCAGCGTCTGCGTCATCGTCTTCATTTTCGGTAAGCGCAGCCTCTGGATCGCTTCTTCGTCGTCTGTCTCTATAGATCTCGACTCCAATATCGGTGAGGCGTGTCTGCGTCAAGGTTGGTTGCTTTGATGGAGTGGTGGCTGCTGGGGGCTCATCAACTGCTTCATTGGATGACGAGGGCGTGAGACCAATCTCTCGCACTCTTGCTTCATGAGCAAAGAGGAAAAACCCACATCCGTCGGGAGGAGGATGAGGACAGGCCCAGAAGCGCTTTCCCTTGTTAGGGGTGGCTTTGGTTACTGTGCGGTCGACGGCGCGTTTTCGAGGATCACAGTTGCCTAGATGTTGTAACAAGCATGTGAGTTTTCTTATACTTTCAAATGATATATGGGCATAGCGAAGGGGAGAATTGAAGAGAAATGAACGTGTAGTTGAGTGTGGAATCGAAACAGGTATGAGTTGAGACCATGATGAGGGAGAACATACACCACCATTCGTTCCGATGGAAAAGGCCGTTAAGTCGCCTCTTCTCTGTCGACGGCGTCCCAGGGTAGACATCGTGGTGGCGACTCCTAGAAGGCGTCGCAGCTGCCATAATGACGCGCACGAGACCCTGAAACTCCCGTCAAAGTCGACGTCTGTGTCTCTTCCCGGAGTTCATGAGCTGGAGCTGGACTCGAATCACCTCCAGAGCCTCAAAGCGAAGCGCAACTCGGGAGAAGAGGTCGAAGATGAATCAGGGCCGGAGCGGCCACGAGCTTCAAGTTGCTTGTCCAAAAAAAAAAAAAAATGAGAGATAGTATATCGCAATCCGTAAGAGAAACGAGAACTGTGTGTCTTGCAGCTAGTTCCTTGAATCCCTGTAGGAAATGCCCAAAAATGACAACAATTTATGAATCTGGAGTTCACCGTGGAGCTTGAGTGGGTGGCAGTTTTGACAGCACCAGTTTAAAAGCCGCTTGAGGGGGTGGGAACGGACCAGGCCGCTGGATGGCGCCTCGCCAGCACGTTTACGGCGCTCAAATCCGCCTCCCTGGGTGCCCTATGCACTATAGCCAGGCAATACTCTCAAAACGCCTACTTACCCTGGCATATCGTCTCAACTATCAACGTCTACTGCCTTCGTACTTGGCTAAAATAAGGATTTACTGGGCTGATTATCAGGCGTTCTGACATGGGGCATTCCATGTTCTCTTCCCCCTCTAAAAACGGTGAGGCTGGGTGGTCGGCGAGCTGAGGCTCAAGCGTTTCAAGCGTGTTCAAACCTTCTTCTGATTCGACGAGACAGCAGAGCTGAGCATCCCTTAGGATACCTGGACAACAACCTTGCCAACGAGACCATGCAACTTTTGCTAGGATTCGGGGTGCGTGACCTTTCTTTTGTGACACAGCGTGTGCTTCTTCTGCCTTGGGTGTGTGTTTGCATTATGATACCAATACTTGTCAAGTACCAAACTCTACATACAGTGTTGCCAGCACCGAGATTGTCTTCCGCCTATATAAAACTACGTGTAGCTCTGGCTATATTGAAAGCTGCCATTCTCGGTAATTGCCAAGTGCAAATAATGCATGGCAGTGACATCCATTGCCTGATGGCGTCAGAGCCCTTCGAGATCACAATGTCGTGGGTTTCCTTGAAAATACAAGTAATGACTAGATCAAAATGGTGCTGTTCTTCCTAGCATCAACATCAAAGTCGTATCACATTCGCCAGGCGGCCTTATTTCTTTTTTTTTTTCCAATAATTTTTTTTCTTCTCCTCTTTCGGAACTTTATCGTACCGATAGCTTTCCCTCTTATTTTTTACCCCTCCTAGGCTCGTAAAAACTAGGAAAGTCGAACAAAAAAAACATCATATGCTAAACCGGCTACGCCATTCGCAATATCCTCAGCTCGTGTGATATCGGATTCCCAGCATGTATACTATATTAACACAAAATGATTCAAATCTCCCTCTCCTCCCCTTCCATGCCGGAACCGCCCAGCCCTTTTGATTTTGATTTTTTTCCTCTCTTCTGATAATGTTTTTAAAAACCGTCTCCTTCTAAAATCTTGGCGTGTCCGTTGATTAATTTCGGGGTTGACCAATTCTTTAGTCGTCATTATCGGTCCTCTCGCGCTGCTGCTGTCTTCGTCGTCCACCCTCCTGGCCGCCAACGTTAACGTTGGCCAGCTTTCGCTCCAACTCCTGAGCCTCGCGAACCTTGGCGGCCTTGGCGTTGGCCTGCTCCTGCTGCAAAACGACGAGAACGTTCTGCAGAGTTGATCGCCAGTGGTCGACACGGGTGGCCAGCTCCTGGTACTGCTTCTGGCCGAAAACACGGTAGGTGACCTTGTGGACGAGGAACATCTGGCGCTGCTGTGACAGCTTGCCCTCAACGAGACCAGCTCGGATAACATCGATGGCCCATGTCTCAATCTCCTCCTGGGGAATCTGGAGCGCCTTGGTGATCTTGGCATACTCAACCTCACGGCTGGGGGTGGCGGCGGCTAAGCTGGCAAAGGTAAGAAGTCTCATCTTACGGTGCAGCTTCTCGGCATCCAGCTTCTGTTCCTCGACCCAGCCCTTGTGCTCGTCGTTGAAGTCGTTGTAGTCCTCAAGGTCCTGCTCGGCAAAGATGTCGAGAAGCTGAGAGTAGACGGGCTGAGAATCGCTGAGGGCCTGCACGCTGGGGATAGCTCGGAGATCCTGGAAGAGGTAGTGGGTGTTGGAGAGAATGGCCATCTTGAGGGCGCGGAGAGAGAGTCTCTGGGCCTCGTCGGAGCTAGTGCCTTCGCCATCGAAAGATCGGAGCGCCTTCAGGATGAACTCGTAGGCGGTACTAGAAAAGGTGAGCATCAATATAACGTTTCCTTTTTGAAAATTCTAAATCCAAGCTCGTGAGCATTGTCTTTGGGTGATATAAGTTCTTACGTCTCTTCTCCTGATTCGAGGGCAACCTCGGCGACCTCTTCGTAAATCTTCCTCTCCAGAGCGGTATCGATTCCCCATGATACAATCCACTCGGGCAGCTTATCCAGGTATGTCCGCAGGCCGTCGAACAGGCCGTGTACCTTGAGGAACTTTAGAATCTCCATCAAGACGCGCGCTCGGATAGGATCATTGGGCTCGAGGAGGTTGAAAATGGTGACCAGCGCATTCAGGGCCAGGCCAGCGCCGTGAACTGGTGAGTTGATGAGGGGCTTGGCGAGGTTGGAGCAGAGGGTGGGCAGCAGCTTCTTGGGGTCGGATGACTGCATGGCGAGATGGATCATCAAGTTCGACGCGGCGGTAAACTCCTTCTCCGGGACGGTGCTTAGGGCGCTGGAGGCAGCAACCAGCTTTGACAGAACCTCCTCTTTGGGCGCGGCCTTTTCCTCGCTCAAAAGCTGCTTGGCCTCATCCGCCTTGAGGTACTCGGCCATCTCGCGAGCAAGATCCTCGAATGATCCATCGACGAATAGCAGCTGGGGCTGCGGCCCGTTGATCGTGGCGCCGGGCATTTTGTCTGAGTTTTTTTTCGCTCCTTTCTCTATCCAAACGCCGGTAAAGCTTGTCGATTCGCTCGCGTGTCTTGATCGTCTCGTCTCGGACCGATGATGGAGAGGCGACGACTTGGTCTTGGGGATCCTTCGATCGAGTGGTCGGTCGAGAGGGCGAGCGGGGGCGTGGACGTAGGCGTGGGCGTCGTACTGGACAACCGCAAAATGTGAAGTTGAGCGTCCTGACAGGGTCGGTGCCTGAATAGCCCTGTGGTGGGGTCTCTAAGCCAGATTTCTCTCTCCTAGTGATCAAATCTCAATCCAAACTTTGCTCACCCCGCCGATTTTTCTGCCGCTCTCAAAGTGTGGGAGCTAAGCGAGGGCGGTGACGCTGCGTAGTCTATCACGTGATGTAGCACGTGCGATCAGATTCCCGCCTACCTACAGCAGTTCCTCAACAGTGTATATGGCACTCAGGATATAATCAGATCGAAAGGACACTGAATAGGATGCCGTTTTCGTCTAAAATATATTTATTGTAGATAGATATTTCTGTCACTTTTGCCATGCATCTTCCTCTTGCGTGTCCGGATTTTTATCTCCTTGCTAAGAGTCACGAGTGTTGTCAGGTTGCTGAGTTATCAGAATGAAACTGTCAACTTCAACGTGGAAATACATCTTGACTCATGCTGTTGTTGGGTTTTCCGAGCAATCTGGCTTCAGTTGCCCATGAGCTATTTGAGCCTTCTTGATTTTCGATATCTTTACCTCCAGTCATGAAACGGGGGCTAGGCCTAGCCCTTAATTGCACTGGCATTTGCGACCTACTTGGAACCTATGCAACTCCAATTATAACTAGATTTCGTTATTATAGATAGATACGTTGGCGCCTTGCACACTACTTTCCTTTTTTCTTTTCCTAGCTCGCGAGGCCAGAGAAGGGCCCTTTCCAAGACCCAATAGAGAACAACTGGTCCCCGTTTGCAGACCTCCTTAATCAGTTATGCAGTCCGCGCATATATCCCAACCAAAGAAAAAGAATAAGACACAAACAGTAAAAAGAACAAAAATTGAAACCTCAATATGAGAGTTAAAGCAGAGAGACAAATATTAGCAAAACAATCCATGCCATATGCCCCTTACCAAAATTTCACACCAGCTCGCCATTCTATATGTACAACGCAATACTCCAATGGTTGACTCATACAACCAACTAACGCAGAAAAAGAAGCCTCGTTGTTGCCAACTGAAAAGACTGTCGCCTTATTTATTTGCCGTTTGGCTTGCCATCCGCCTTCTTCGCAGCGATATCGCCCGCGGGATAGATGCTCGTTTCGTCCTCAGCAAAAAGTACTTGATCCCCTTTGCCGCCCATTTCGATAAACTCTTCGGGTGCCCGTTGGTGTGCCGGGCCTGCCTCCTGCGAAGCATTGGCGGCGGCGTGCTTATTCTTCGAAAATACCTTGATGGGAGTTCCGTCATTGCCGCCGTCCAGTCGAGCAGTAATCGATACAGAATTGAGCGATGAGAGAAGTGTTCTCTCTCGGACAGGAGCTCTACGGTTGACTTCCAATCCCTCGATGCCACCAACAAGTCCCCCGGTGCTATCATTTACGGCTGGTGCGCCGGATACAAGCCAAGGATGTTTCAGGCATTGATCAATAGTGTACCTTCGCTCCGGATCCACGATTAACATGGAATCAATCAAATCAACTATGCACATTCACTTTAGCAAAAAAGTATTGCTTTAGAGCAGGTTAGAAGCTGTGATGTACTTACGGGCTGGGTCACCAACTGAGTCCCAGTAGGGCGATGGGTAGTCAAATCGCCCGCTCTTGATTTGTTGGGAGAGTGTAAAGGGGAAATCCCGCGAGAAGAGTTCATCAGAGAACGGAGGGAAGCCACAGAGGCAGATATACAACACAACGCCGAGTGACCAGACGTCAACAGCTTTGGTGTATTTTCGGTGTTTGGTATCAGCCAAGATTTCAGGCGCAACGTAGCTGGGAGTTCCACATAGTGTCGTGGTAAATGATTCTTCTCCGATTATCTTTGCCAGTCCGAAATCGGCCAGCTTAACATGCAAATTCTTGTCCACAACTAAGATGTTCTCTGGCTTGATATCTCGGTGTACAATGTTACGGTCATGCTACAGAAATCAAATGTTAATAACGCTTCAAGTGGCTGCCAAGAGGCCAGCGCTGTGGGCTGCGACATTGTGAGGTAGTGGGGCTTCTTACAAGATATTTGATACCTTGGAATAGCTGGACAAACAGTTTTCTTGTCTCATCTTCACTCAGCTTCTGCTTCATCACTATGAAGTTGAACAACTCGCCCTCGGGAGCGAGTTCGAGAACCAAGTAGACGTGATCGCGCTCAGTAAACGTATCTTTGAGACAGAGGACGTTTGGGTGGCTGACGCCCATCAGGACACCAATTTCTTGCTGAAGGCCCTCCGTCTTGGACTTGTCTTCAGGGCCAGAGTGCTTGGTGAAAATCTTGACAGCATATCGCTTGCCAGTCGCTTTCTCAACGCAGAGATAGACCTCTGCGAAATGACCCTTGCCGAGCTTCTCCATGAGCGTATACTGTTGCTGGAATGTGCTTGTCAGCCGGCTCTGGGGATACCTGAAGACAAATCTTGCTTTGCTGTGTACGGCGATTTCATCTTGGTCTTTCAGTTCGCGACGCTGGTTTCGTCCGACCAGGGCTTCATTAACGTATGTCCCGTTGCTCGACACGTCTTCGACAAATGCTACGGTATCTGTTCCAACAGACTCGGCGAAAATAAGGCAGTGTCGGTTGGAAACGACTCCCTCGCTGACAACCACATCTATCGATACGTCATTGACAATCAGCCATCTCTCTACACAAGGTAGCTAGGATCAGAGTTTTCGAAAGAATCTTACCACACTCGGCATGCCGTCCGATCAGGTAACCACCTGCCGAGACGCCCTTGACTTTCGTCTTTTCATATTCCTCCTCCTCTTTAGCAGGTGCCGATGTGTCATCTTTGTCCTTCTTCTCAGTCTCTGAAGTAGCTTCAATAGCATCACCCACAGGGCATGCGACGCGTTTTTTCAGCACCAGAGGCTTGTCGCCGTACTTGGGGTCAAGGGGGACTAGATAACCCCAGACACCTTCCTTCAGCTCGTCCACAACGTCTTCAGACAGCGCCGGGTGTCGGTCGACGTACTGGCTGAGCGGCTGTGTGTCCTGCGGAGGAGAGGACAGCGCTTGGCTCTCGGGAGCCTTTCTGGGAGTGAGCTCGCCGGCCACGGCTACCGGAGGCGTCGCCGTGTGGTCTTGAGGAAGCTCGCCCGAGCCATCGGTGGCATTGTTTGTGACGGGCGATGGCAGTTGAAGTTCGCGCGACACGGGCGTCTTGTCCGGGTCAGCCTGGGCCAAGCGGTCGGACCTGCGGGGCTTCTTCGTGTCTGTGCCTTCCTCCGGCAGCGAGCCCTGCGAGAGCAATGTTAGCGAGGCTACCAATGGATCGCGAGTGTTTTCGGTTTCGGTCTCCAGCGATGGAGCTCCGTGGCGAGACAACGTACGTGAGGCCGCTTCAATTGGCTCTTTTCGCTTCGGGGCGCCATGGTCCTCCGAGGCGCTGATCGGAGGCCGCGAGTAATTTACTTCGGACAAACCTCAGGTGGGTGCTTACACAGGGATTCGCGAGTGAAAAGAACAGGATGGGCGATGTTGCCTACTGTACCTTACCGTGAATAATAAAACAAAATGAAGGTGGTGGAGGAGGGAGCCTGGTTCGCCGTCACTGGGTCCGCTACAGAGCACACCGCACTGTCAGATCCATACTAGTAGTAGCACTACTACAGGCACAGGTGAGACGCTAAGGTACCTCCCGGGTACATGCTCCCACTTGGTCCGGCGGCAGATACGGAGCGTTTGGAGAGCGGGTGGATGTACTGCTGGTAGATCCTGAACGGCGGGCGAAGAGGCGAGCTTGACGGCTGGGTACTGCTACCCCGGAGTACCCAGCTTATTGCCTGCAGGCAGGTCTGAAGTTAATCGTGTAATGTACCTAAGGTATTGAGCATCCCACGACAGGGTTTGGTAGTAGTCCGGGTACATCGCAGACACGTTTTAACGGTAACACGGCGAGATTAGCTGTAGGTAGCTCCATCACGGGTACCTTCTGGTAGAGAGTAGATTCTCCCTCGTGTCTGCCTTGCTCGACGTGAATTTCTTGTGCGTGCTTTCAGCTTGTGGTGCCATTCCTGGATCTGTCTTATCTCGCCCCTGTTCGTGCACCAACCAGCTGACTTGTATCCAGTCACAGGACAGCAGTATCTGTAGACAATGGTGAATCTGTGACCAGCCTCTAGGTACAGATCCAGTGGTGCTACTCGCCACTTTTACCGCCAACTTCACTACCTCAACTAACAGTACTGCTCTGCATTAGCAACTGCCAACAGCTTCGCGTCTCTAAGCCTCACAAGCAGCGGACCATCGATCGACTGTCCCGTAGCTTCATGTACCTCATACCTACATGCAACGACACCCGACAACTGCCCAGGCCGGCTCTTAACCCAAGAGACTGATGCATCCCCATATCCCGCCACCCAATGCCCGGCACAGACTGCCTTGGGCCCCTCCTGCAGGTGATCCGCCCCCGTAGGCATCCATCGCCCACTTTGCCGGACCGGGGCCGTCACCTGCGCCTGAGCGGCCTCTCATTCGTTCACAGAGGATCAAGAAGCACATGCAATATTGGAGGTACCTGTTGAGTACTTCTCAGATTCGTTAAGAGTGCAGAGCCTCAAGAGAGGTGGATTTCACTCATGACGCTGGAGCACATGCCGTCACCGACGTACCGCCTAGGTCATGCCTTGCCTGGGTATGCGTGAACGTTTGCGAGAGCTTTGACCGCGCCGCGAGCTTCGTAAGAGGGCGCATATCATCAACCAAAGGCAGTACTTGCACAGAGGTTGGGCGTGGAAGAGAATGAACGGAGTCCTGGGTACTCGTTGGTATCGCGACATGGGAACTCTGCTGGATAATAATACCTAAACACACAATGCTTGATGTTGCTATCTAATAACTAAAGAGTGACCATCTCCTAAAGATGCCGTTGATATCGCGACATAGAATCTCTGCTGATAATAATTTCCTAAACACAAAATGCTTGATATTGCTATCTAAATACCTAACTGAAGAGTAACCATCCCCTAACATGCTAAGCTAAGATTACACAACTTCGCTCCCATCTCATAATGTCCACCAATCCCAAAATCCCGGATATGTCGTAAGTATCAAATCATCCCCAATCCATGACCTCGGTATATGCCTACACTCATAAGGGTATCTGATGAGGCCAAATCCCGCCGGGCCACAGTCCATAAAACACTAAAGACAAGGTACAGAAGTAAACATAGAGCAGCTCTCGTCGTAAGATCTCCCATCTCCTGGGCCAACTAAACTCTCCTGTCTCCCAGCCAATTCGATGATTTGTTAATATATTCTCGTCCTCCTTTTCTCTTGTTCTTCCTTTCCGGTTCTCTCACATCCATGCTGATGTCACGACTCATCTCCTGTTGGGCAAAAGACTGTTTCGCCCAAACGGCGCACCTGAAAATGCGGGAACTCCAGAGTTCCAACCTTGGCTTACACTGTTCTTCACAATCAGCGCCGCGGCAGCCGTTGCGGCTTGGCGCTCCTTCTGCCGCTGTCTCTCCTTGAGATAGCCGGTCGCCTCGGGACGCATACGCAAGATTCGTAAGATCATATCATCACTAGCATCGGCTTGCATCTCGCGTCGCTTCGCCTCCTTGGCTTTGCGCATGGTTCCAAGGTTTCGGCTCATCATGATACTCTTGCCGCGTCGAATGGTTCCCATGCTTGCAAACGAGCCCGCACCGCCTAGAGACGCTCCCAAACTACTCGGCACTGCAAGTCTGCTCTGGCTTTGTTGTTGGTTCTGCTGTTGTAAAGCTTGCTGAGCTCGTTGCGCAGATGCTGCAGCCATGCGCTCCGATTCCCGAATGAGATTGTTAGTATCCTCAAAGTAGAAAAAGTTTAGCGAAGCAAGCTCGTGCCACTTAGGCGATTTGAGCACCTCAGCAGGGACTCCAAGTTGCTCGCCCGAGTGCTCATCTTTGGCATTGAAAAACACAAACAGCATCTCCAGCCAGTGATACACAATGTCGAGTTCCAGGCGCGTGAGGGGCTTCTGGGTTGACGGCTTCTCTGACAACGGTGGCACCAAAAGATTTTCTATTGTTATGAGCACATCTTTCCATAACCGGGTCATGACGGCTATCATTGTCGCGTCTGTTAGTGTCGTTTTCATAATGGCGAAATTGTCATCGAAATAGGCAAACAGATTGGTGAGAGCGTTTTCGATCTGCGACTGTGAGGGCGCTGTAGATGGGGGAGCAGCGGAAGTTCGCTTCTTCCAGAGACTCGTGATAGAAGCTCCTACGCCTCCAGATCCTATAAGGCCCCTTAGGGTCTCGAGCGACAGTGTTTCGTTAATTTGAGCAGTAAGCTGGAAGCAAGTTAGCCAACATCAACCATATCACACCGTGCAATAATAAAGCATACCTTATCCGTAATTTTTCGGACCATATCTCGTTCTGTACGTTTCAGATGACGGAAAGCTTTTCCAAAATGGAAGACAATGTCATCGCGCTCTCCTTCCATGCTGACTCTGATTAATAAACGACCCTGGGAGTCCAGATCAAGCCAGAACTCTCGGGGCAGATAGTCGCCAAAGTGATTAGGATCCAACTTTAGCGAGGTTCGTCCGACGTAGTCGTGGTCACCAAACGTATCGTAATCCCATATGGTTGCAATGACGTTGACTGGGCCTTGAACTGTAATGTCGAAAGATTCATCCCATCGGGGGTTCAAGTTCCGATGAATGATACGCGTCTTGTGAAGGCGCTTCTGATACTCGTCGCCAAAAACGACATAGGGATCACTATAACCTGAGGGGTCGCAGGCTTTGAGATCCTCGGCCTCTACCACTTTTATGGTAAAGGTATACTTGCTTGGCTTCCGAGACTTTTTCTTCACGCCGTCTTTCTTCTCTAATAATGCTGCGCACGCTTCCACGTTCATGTTCTTCTCTAGCTTATCAAGCTCTTGCATTGCGTATTCGATATTGTTAAGTTTTACAAAAGACTAGAAACCGCATTTAGTCAGTGTAATGCAAAGAGGACATTTCATTGTATCAGTTGATGTAGCACTTACCTCTGGGAAGAAGTGGAAAGGCTCAGCCTTTTCCTTGTTGTTCCATGCGTCTTTAGCATACTGCATCCACTTCTCCTGGGTGGTTTGGGTTTGTGCAGCCAGCTCTTGAGCAGAAGGACGATCCATTTCCTTTGCGAATTGCTGATCAACGGTCTCACAGTAGCGACCAACGCCAGCGGAGAAGTTTCTTGCCAATGTAGTCATGAATCTGGCATGATGCTCTGCATTACCCCATTCCAGCTTGAAAATTTGGTCCACCGTCTGGTTGAAGAGCATAAACATGTCAATAATGGATACGCTATGCCGCTGTGAGTCCCCAGCTATCTGGTCTGGGCTGTCTGTTCTCACTTGGAACTGATCTTGCTTAATCGCTTGATCCACGAAATCTGCCATTCGAGCCTCGGCCGACTTAAGCCAGCGCCATACAAAATCGACGAGCAGATCTTCAATATTGAAGGCGAAAGGCTCCTTGGGCAGGAACTCTTCGTGGATGTCGCGGATTTCTTTCAGCTCTTTATACAGCTCAAACCCATCTTGAATCTCAAGCTCTTGGCCGCTTTCACTGGCCCCTTGCATAATGATCTGGATGATGGCGCTTGCATCCTGTTCGAATTTGGGAAAAACTTCATAGACCAGGATACTCAAGGGATCTACCCCCATGATAGTTGAGGTCTTTTTGTACCGCTTTCGAATTCGGTCGCATACCTTGGACACAGCTTTGCCAAGTTGTACAACATGAGCAAAATCCCACTCTTCCTTTCGCTCTGGTATCTGTTTTTGCATATTCTCATGGTAGATTTCGGTGGCTTTCTGGGCCAGACGCTCGGATAGAAGCTGTTTGAAATCTTTCATTACTTCAGCCCGAGGGGAAAAGGTTGGGTCTTGGCCAATGTGATTTTCTAGGAGGAACATGACAGGCCCAATATTGGGAGGCTTAGCCTGATAGCAGCCTTCCAAGAGCTCGTAGAGTTCTTGCAATAATGCATCGTGAAGAGTTTGAAGAGTGTGTTGATACGCAGCGAAATCATGCAACGTCCACCGACTGGGGTCAAAGTCGGTCAGGGGGGCGTTATATTGGTGGATATGAGGCGGCTTTTTCAGTTCTTGCGATGGAGATTTGATTATATCAAAAGCAGCATCAAGGTCTTCAGGAGCTATCTCCTTCTCAAGAAACTGATTGGCTACTCCCTCCAGAAGGACAATGAGACGAGAAAATTGCGGTATACGCCACCGTACAGAGAGCTCATTCAGCAGGTCCATAGATTTATGCGACAGAGGCTGGTAGTCATTGTTAGGATCGGCATGCATCTGATCAAACATCATCGCCTGCTGAAGAATTTGCTTGTAAAACGACCTGGGGTTAGAAGGAGTGAATGTGTAAATCGTTTCATCTACGGCTCTGATACTGCTCGATTCCCCAATTGCTAGAGAGCTCAGACTAATAGATGGGTCAAAGGCAAAAGAGGATGCACTTGAATCAGATATGACACGACTAAGGTCGGCATAAGCCTGGTCGTTTTCATACATTGACGTCGGTCGACTTGTCATGGATTGGTCGATGGGGCCAGTTTTGGTTTTTGCCAGCTCTGGCTTGGCCGTTAAAATGTCCATCATCATCTGCGAGAGATGTGTGGCCTCTGACTTCTTCCACTCAGTGAAAGCATCTTCAACGTCGAAATCATGGCTGCTCAGCGTGCCTGGCAGATTAGCATTAAGCCGAGTCTGATATGATTTGAGGTCCTTGAGCGCAGCCTCTTCAGTCCAAACCTGACGTTTTTCGTTGAGTATCTTCTGAGCCTCTGAGAGACCCATGCCGAAGATGCTTGCGACCGTCTGTACCATGGGCATATCCTTGACTTCGTAGCTTAGAGGCACAATCACTTCAATCGTGGTGCCGGTGCCAGCACTGCTGTTGCTAACCAGATCTTGGTCGTTTCTGAGAAGTTTGCTCTCCAGGTCCGTGAGTCTAGACATCAGCTCTGGTCGATCTCGATCATGTCCCTGATCTTTCATGACATTTGCGGCCAACCTTACAAACATGGCAAGGTGGCGGTCTGGAAGTAGCTTCCATGAATCGGATTCATCGTCAGCTCCCTTCCCCTTTTGGGCCGCTTTCGTCGCCGCAGAGTAGAAGATCAGGACCAAAGGCTCAAATTTTCTTTCTTTTTCGATTGTTTTCCGAAACGTCTTTTCTGAAAAGGCTGTATAGGCCTCGGCAAAGCTTCTCTTGACGGCAGCATCGCTGTATCCTGGCAGAGCCTCGCTGCCCCTCAGGACGCCACCTACACGGTCAAGCAGAGCGGTCGCGAAGTTGTGGGGCAGCTTGATGCTCGAAGAGTTTCCCGAAACGAAATCCTGCACGAGCTGTCCCACGCTCGTATGTGCTCGCGCAGGCTGCTTCGGGGCCGGGACATATTGCTTTCGTTTAGCTTTGGGCTGCAGTAAGTAGTGCAGATAGGCGGTACGCAGAGCAAAGCTTCGAGCTTCGTCGGGGTCGACGGGGTGCTGCGGCGCAGATTGTGCCCGCGATCTTCCCATGTCTCTGCTGCTATTATTGATTCCATGCTGAGACTGGTACGACTGACGGGACGCCATTGCGGCGTCTCTCAACAGGCAGAATGATGCCCAAGCCCTCGGTGGCTGCTAAGCCTCATAGCCGGTCTGGATCTAGGGGAGGGGCTCAGCAGGCAGGCAGCGCTGCTAGGGGCAGGTGGCGAGCGAAAGTCGAAGGAGGACAGGCAGGATGGCCTCGTGGTAGGATCTGTGGACGTGGTGTTTTGGCAAACAAGCTTGCTGCTAGTTATGGGATTTATGGTGGTGCGGATGTGTTGCAACTTGAACAGATGGCGGGTGGCTGTGGAGAAAACGTCATCTCCTGATGCTGGTCGGCTCTAGGCGCTTGAAAGGCCCCTGGAACATGGTTCTAAGCGCAGTGAAGTGCAGCGCCACGCATATGCCCCAGCTTGAGCAATCAGGAACACGAGCTTTGTTTGATCAAGGCGCGCTAATGGCATCAAGCACACGCCAGTACGGGCCCAGATGTGATCTGCCACTGATTACCGTAAGACAGCTGTCAGCAATGATATTTCCCCTTACTCGGGTCCTCAGAATTTATTTCTGGGTGTTTTTAAATCTATATACGATCGATCGTATATGCGAGTTCATGTGCTCTTGAAGCAGCCGCAGAACTGGACAGGTACTATTCTTAGTCACTACCCGAGTAGCATAGGCCGAGGACCCGAGGCTGTTCAGCGCACATCAGAAGATGAGGAAACGTTTTACTCTTTGAGACTTTAAGCACAGGCTGTGTTTAATAAAAGACATTCAATACGGCCTTTCATCCTTGAACGAAATCCAAGGTGTCTAATCTATTAAGCATCTGTAACAAGCTGAGCCCTTGACTTTGTATAATCCATATACAGTAAGCGTCGATCACCAGTCCACGCCAATTAAGGGGAGCACGAGACGCTGAACCAAAGCATTACCCCTCTTGCCTCCAACGGCGATCAAATGCCTACAGGTAGTTGTAAAAAACAAGTCATTTCCAACATTATAGACATAACACTGGAAATCAATTTCTCGAATACACTGTTTTCACTTTAATTTTTTGTGGCACACTTCCCTTAGTAGCTTGTTGTAGCATCGTAATTTCCAGAATAATTCGCCAAATTAAAGGTTTATAGTGGGGTATCTCTCGCGGTTTTCTTGCGGCGATTGGCACTCTGTTTAACCCAAGTCTACATCAATCTCATATCCCGTGTTTGCAGCAGCTGCCGGCCATCAGCCCACCAAGACACCCGACCTTTGGACTACGTCAATATTCGACATCGCCTACCTCCTCACGCACACCACCCTCCAGACGACCCCAAGGAGCCAGGAGAGACACAAAAGACGCACCAATGGCCTCTCGCATACCGACCCCGTTGCGCCTTGCTAACCGTACTGCCGTCTCCACACGCGCAGGAGCCTGTTCGTCACCGCTTTGCAAGTCTCGCGTCTTCCGCCAGCAGCGCTTCTATTCTTCCGAGCCCCCTCGCGGCAGTAACAGCCAGATCAAGTTCTGGCCTTTCTTCGCACTCTTTGGATTGGCGTCGGCGGGATACATTCAGCTAGCAAACTCTCGCATCAAGAGTGAGTGACTTTGACGGTTCTGCCTCCTTACTACGGAGTCGAGAACATCCCTTGTGGCTAACGATCGCTTGCCGGCTACCAGAAACAGAAGACATGTCTCCTGCGATCGAAAACCAAGCTCCGGCCGCGGCGCTGCCTGCCCGCGACGCACCGGTGTTCAACCCTGCCGATGTGACCGTCGTTTTTGTCCTCGGTGGTCCCGGCGCTGGAAAGGGTACACAATGCGCCAGGCTCGTTGCTGAACAAGGCTTTACCCATCTCTCTGCCGGCGACTTGCTGCGCGAAGAGCAGGACCGACCCGGGTCTCAATTTGGCCAATTGATCAAGGACTACATCAAGGATGGTCTGATTGTTCCCATGGAGGTTACCATCAAGCTGCTCGAGAACGCCATGACGGCTGCGCTCAACGAAAAGGGTACCACCAAGGGCCGCTTCCTGATCGATGGCTTCCCCCGTAAGATGGATCAAGCCCATAAGTTTGAAGAGGCCGTCTGCCCCGCCAAGGTCGTCTTGTTCTTCGACTGCCCTGAGAAGGTCATGGAGGAACGCCTGTTGGAGCGGGGCAAGACGAGCGGTCGAACAGATGATAACGCCGAGAGCATTCGCAAGCGCTTCCGCACATTTATTGAGACTAGCATGCCTGTCGTCAACTTCTATGAGGGCCAAGGCAAAGTCATCAAAGTTGATGCCACGCCTGCTCCCGCGGATGTCTTTGTGACAACAAACAAGCTTCTTACCGAGAAGCTTGCCTTGTAATCTCAGACGGAGAGTGATTCTACGCCGTATTCAATACGCGAAAAGAGAGGGAGGAGGGTTTTTAGAAACGGTGCTTTGGATTAAAAAGAGCGCATGTGTATTATTTATAGAAGGTATATTACTAGAAGGGAAGATTGGTTTGGTTTGGTAACCTTGCCCCTCCTCCATTGTCACCTGTAACTGTATATGAAAGAGGTTCTCTCTACCAGAGAGTTTTCTCCACTTGAATTCCTTGTCTCTTAGTTAATATTTAGGTAGTATATACTTTCTTCTTCTTCATTAATTCTCTTCTAAGATAACGATTCTTTCACGTTTTAAACCCGTAACGAGGTATAGGGCGACTATGAAGCCTTGGCGATGCGATGTCTACCTAGTGGGGTCGCCTTTCTGGCTAAGAACGAATGTATACGTGTGCCTGTGACGAGTCCTGTCTACAGGGTACGCGTAGCGCCAGCTACATGTGCCTATTCAGTCGATCGGCTGTAGATGATTGCCTGCATCATGTCATGGGTCATCGCAGGAAGGATGAAGCACACGCCACTCTCGATCCCAACGGCCTGCCTAAAATAGGACTGCCTGCTGGGTTCTATGTGTACCTGTGCATCGAGCATCGGTACAGCCTTGCGGTTGAACAAGGCGTCATAGTTTGGGTACCTTGGCAGCAGACGCATGCATTAGGTACGTAGGTACCTATCGATTGCCAGGCTCATGCAAACCCCTAAATTCCAGCCCTGAGATATCTGCTCGTATCGAGCCGGTTTTTTCGAGGCCCTGCCCACGCCACAGCGATTGGCTTTTGCCTACTACTAGTACCTAAAAGAGGTACTGTATTCCCTTGCAAAATTATCTAGACTTTAGTACCTGTCCATAGATTAAAGTCCCCTTATTTAGTGACGTACCTATACTATTCTACAGCAAGAAAAGTAGATTTGATACCTTTACTTCGACTTGTTAATAGCTACTTTTAATTTACTCATTGGTAGTAGTAGTAATACTCTATAAAGGTAATTAAAGCCATTTTGAATGTATGCAAAATAGTGGAGCTACAAGGTATTAAACACAGCTGAGTCCGGGCTGTTCAGAGTTCACCAGCACCCTGACTAATCCCGAGCCCACTACTAATACACAACACCTCATTGGCCCAGATAGCCGAGGACCGACACATGCGCTTCCGAAAGACCCCATCTACGAAAACGTGACATATGCTACCGAATCTCAACCTTGCTGCTACAGTTGAAGGCCATTGCTGCTTCAATTTTTTGCGTGGACGCAGCTTGGTGACCCCGGATCTCTTGCTTCGCTCACAATGGCGTCTTCTATGGCATTGAGGAAGTTGGCCTCTGGCTCTTCGGTACGTGAATTGAATCACGGGAAAAAATTGCAAAGTCGGCATTGCTCTGCGCGCAAATCGGATTGCCGGAGAGGTCATAGCTTGTGATGCAGCAAAGACTCTCTTGATCTGTCTTTTCATAACTTGTACAGCTTGCTAATGTTAGGATTGCTATAGATCTCCCGGCTGGCGCGGACCCAGCTCAGAACCTTTTCTTCTACTCGACCAGCTGGTAGGTCCAAGCAATCCCGAGACCCGCGACGTGCAGTTTACGATCGGAACCAAATCCGGAATCGAGGATTGAGGGCGCAAGAAAAGAGAAAGAAGAATTGGATGTGCTAATGGATCTATTCCAATATAGCTCGTGTCATCGCAAACGGACCGCTGAGAGCAAAGGAAGCCTCTCCCTTTGTCAGCTCCAAATACCCCGTTATTGTACGTTGTCTTCCCTCGTTGGAGAGCTCTTCCGGGCGAGCGGGCCGAGCCCAAAGATCCTGTCAATTGACCTTGAATTACCACTGTTAGGACCATGAGTACGACGCAATTGTTGTGGGAGCTGGCGGAGCTGGTTTGAGATCAACAATGGGTCTCGCCGAAGCTGGCTTCAAGACTGCCTGTATTTCTAAGCTCTTCCCCACACGATCTCACACGGTAGCTGCCCAAGGTGGTATCAATGCTGCTCTTGGAAACATGCACGAGGATGACTGGAGATGGCACATGTACGACACCGTCAAGGGCTCCGACTGGCTGGGTGATCAAGACGCTATCCACTACATGACCCGTGAAGCTCCTGCCTCCATCATTGAGCTTGAACACTACGGCTGCCCCTTTTCTCGAACTGAGGACGGAAAGATGTGAGCCCCCTTTATAATCAGCATTGCTTCTGGTGTTAAACACGGCGTTTACTAAACGCTAATTTTCTATTCTATAGCTACCAGCGAGCTTTTGGTGGTCAATCCCAAAAGTATGGCAAGGGTGGCCAGGCCTACCGATGCTGTGCCGCCGCTGACCGAACCGGACACGCTCTTCTGCACACCCTCTACGGACAGTCTCTCCGATACAATGCCAACTATTTCATCGAGTACTTCGCCATTGACCTGATCATGCAGGACGGCGAGTGCCGTGGTGTGCTTGCCTACAACCAGGAGGACGGCACTCTGCACCGATTCCTTGCTAACAACACTGTTCTGGCCACCGGTGGTTACGGACGTGCCTACTTCAGCTGCACATCTGCCCACACCTGTACCGGTGATGGTATGGCCATGGTTGCCCGAGCTGGTCTGCCTAACCAGGATCTTGAGTTCGTTCAGTTCCACCCCACTGGTATCTACGGCGCTGGCTGCCTGATCACCGAGGGTGCTCGTGGTGAGGGTGGTTACCTGCTCAACGGCGAGGGTGAGCGTTTCATGGAGCGATATGCCCCCACTGCCAAGGATCTTGCCTCTCGAGACGTCGTCTCCCGATCAATGACCATGGAGATTCGTGAGGGCCGCGGTGTCGGTGCTGACAAGGACCACATCTTCCTGCAGCTCAGCCATCTGCCTGCGGAAATTCTCGCCGAGCGACTTCCCGGTATCTCTGAGACCGCTGGTATCTTTGCCGGTGTCGATGTCACCAAGCAGCCCATCCCTGTTCTGCCTACTGTCCACTACAACATGGGCGGTATTCCTACCCGCTACACTGGTGAGGTTCTTACCATTGATGAGAGCGGCCAGGACAAGATTGTCCCTGGTCTGTTCGCTTGTGGTGAGGCTGCTTCAGTGTCTGTCCACGGTGCTAACCGACTGGGCGCCAACTCTCTGCTGGACCTGGTCGTCTTCGGCCGTGCTGTTGCCCACACCATCCGCGACAACTTCAAGCCTGGCGATAAGCTGAAGCCTCTCGCTGCCGACGCCGGTGCTGAGCACATTGAGGTTCTGGACAAGGTCCGAACCTCTGACGGCCCCAAGAGCACCGCAGAGATCCGCCTGGCCATGCAGAAGACTATGCAGACCGAGGTCAGCGTTTTCCGAACCCAGGAGAGTTTGGATGAGGGTGTCCGCAGAATGACCGAGGTCGACCAGACCTTTGACCAAGTTGGTATCAAGGACCGCAGCATGATCTGGAACTCTGATCTTGTTGAGACTCTTGAGCTGCGAAACTTGTTGACTTGCGCGTAAGTGCCCAGCATTGAATCCAGACACTAATAGGATGTAATGGAAAAGACGACTAACCATGAGCTATCATAGTGTCCAAACCGCCACCTCCGCCGCCGCCCGAAAGGAGTCCCGTGGCGCTCACGCCCGCGAGGACTACCCTGACCGTGATGACCAGAACTGGATGAAGCACACTCTCAGCTTCCAGAAGCAGCCCCACGGCAAGGTAGACTTGACATACCGCAAGGTCATTTCCACCACTCTGGACGAGAATGAGTGCAAGCCTGTTCCTCCTTTCAAGCGTGTATACTAAGCAGCAGATTTGCTGGTTGTTGGATTTGAAGCGTACGAATAAGTGTGTGAGATTTTGAGCAACGGAGCAAAAAGGGTCAGGTCGAAGGTAAAAGAAAAAAAATGGAGGGGCTGTTCAATATATCGTCCTCCATGTATACGTGATATAAGGGTTCGTGGGTGCGTGGGAAGGAGAGAATTTACGTGGACACTGCCAATGAGGCTCCAATATCCTGCTTGATACTACTACTACATAGTACTAAAAAAGGAATAAAAAAACATGTACAAGGATACTGCATCTGTCTCGTTGCTGTGACTGGCGCGTTGATCAATTTGGTGGACACATTAAAGGATGATTTTGTACAGGAATGAGTTGCTCTTTGGATAGAAGCCTACCAGGTAGTAGACTAAATGTTCATGTGTATCAATTCTCTGAACTAGAATCACTAGAAAGGATCTGATCCGCAGCCCGCATTCTAGTATCAAGCTTATTTACGCAACAAACAGCAAGGCTGCTTAGAGAAACCAACTTTAATTTCTAAATCTACCTATGCAAAATAGCAAGGTAGGTGTTATCACTACCTACCTACTATGCAAAAGCGGGGACGTCGCAGCTGTTTACCTGGAACAGCCGCCTCCGTTCAAGTGGAGTGCAGCGATGGCTCGGGGCCCTTCCAGGCGGCTCTGGTAGCGCGGTACCTGCACTGAAGCCACATCGCCACACGGCCTCCAGGTCACCAGCTACAAGTGGACACCCCCGTGATGCACAATCAATTGTAGCGGCGCGTGTGACTGTGGAGGGCGTGCGGCTATGCGCCGCGGTCTTCCATTCATCTTCTCTCCAAACTCCATACTGTTAATCACTTCCCCGGCGCTGCTCGCGGATGGCTCATCTTTCTTCTCCCACCTGAACCCCGTCGCAGCTGTCGGCGCCCGCACATCTTTGCTGTAATCACTTATCCCAGCATTCCTTGCCGCCTCTTCGATCGCTTCTGGCCTCCAGATGACGATCCGCCTCCCGCCCCGAGCCCCGCGCCATCTTCCCTTTGCCAGCTCGCACGTTTCCAGTATCGCCATTGACCAACTCCCACCGCTGGCCGCCGCCGAGCTCCTGTCGCCATGGGCAATGTCAGCAGCAGGCCCGACGACGATGCGTCGCTCTACCTCAGGGACCAGAACCGCTGTGCGTCCCAGCTCCTGACCGCATTTGCGACGATGCGATATACTGACCTAGGCCTGCAGTGAGCATCACCTCCATTGTTGTCACGAACCCGCGAAAGCGCACTTCGATTCACATCACTCCCAATGCTTTCCCGGCGACCAGAGTGAGCGCCCAACGACCTCCCGGCGACCATAACCCGATAGAATATGTCCAGGTTAGACCGACAAGGCCTCTCTTTGTTTATCCCGCCTCTTGCGAACGATGCTAATAATGGGCGCTCTAGGACCCGGAATCAAATATTAATGGACCACCCAACTTCCTACTTAAGCTGAGCGGTGACGATGAGCTCATATTTACCTTTGCATTCGTTATTCGCCAGACGCAACAACCCGCGCCCTCAAACTTGCCAATCCCAATCTCTGATGGCCTTATGACGAGGGATACCAACATATCTGGCCTCACCTTTGTTTATGCCTCTTCCTCAAAGGAAGTCGCAAATCTAGTCACCCGAGAATTTCACGCCGATCCCAACTTGCATAAAAATGAGAATGTAGCTCTTGTTGGGGATTATTCGACTGGCGGGGCCGCCGCTGTTTCCTTCGAGTGGACATGGAAATGGAAGGCTCCCAAAAACTATGAGGACAGGGGCGGTGGCTGGAGGAACTGCTGCAGTGTTTGTCGCACACTTCCTTTTCCCTCATGGGCCCGAAGCTAACTTTTCCAGTTTGTCGAGTATGATTCGCGTGCTCACCAACTGCACACTTTAGCTACCTTTTCCTATTGGGTTTCAAGTATGTCGAACCGGCCTTTTTTTTTTTTTTTTTTCTTTTCTCCAAGCGCAAATTACAGCCCTTTCCATTACTGACAAAGCCTGTTAGGTTCATCTACAACACCAACTCAGCCGAGCTCACCGTCAGCGCCCTTTTCTTTGTCGGCCCCTCCCAAGATCCGAATTGCTTCAGCTCAGTCAGTAGACTCTCGATTAGCCGCCGCGGAGATTGACGAGCAACCTCTCTCTCCTATGTTTCACCCTGGAGAGGCCAACGTACCTCCTTTCTCACAGGCTAAGGAGCCGGTAAAGGTTGACGTACAATGCGTTCCCAGACCGGCCGAGGATGTTGCTGTGGCTGAAGACGGTCCCGTCTTCCGCGCCACATTGAAGGCTCTTGAACAGAAGACAGGCAACGTGCGCGCGCAGATGAAGAAAGTACTAAAGAAAGCCGAACAAGTTCATGCAACACAAACTGAGGCCAATGATGCCTTCGTCGCCTTTATAGAAGCGCTGCGCGAGGCGTCGTCTACTAATGCAAATGCTGTTCAGCCCGCGTTGGAGCATTACTTCGACAAGATTGCTCGAGAAATCCTGGCCTATGAACGTCAAAATACTTTGAATCTGCAAAGAATTGTTATTGATCCTATTACAAAACTATATCAGCTTGACATTAAGCAAGCCGAGTCCAAAAAGCGAGATTTCGAGGAAGAGAGCAAAGATTACTACGCTTACGTTTCACGTTATCTTGGTCAGCGTCAAGACTCGGTAAAGGCTAAGAAGCTTGCTGAAAGCGACTCTAAATATCAAAATAAACGGCGAAACTTTGAGCTCAAGCGCTTCGACTATTCGAGTTTCATGCAGGACCTTCATGGTGGCCGCAAAGATCAAGAGGTGCTGTCGCATCTAACGAAATTTGCTGATTCGCAAACGAATGGATTCATGACTGCCGCCAAGAAGATTGAGAATCTCCGCCCACAGCTTGTAGCCTTGACAAACGAAGTTTCAGAAGCCGACAAAGAGTATCAATATCAGCGAAGAGAACGCGAGGAAAAGCGCCGCCAGCTAGAAAAAACAAACCAGCCTTACAATGAGCCAGAGCAGGCCAGTCTCAGCAGTGCCGCCACCATAGTAGCGAGCTCAAATGGCAATCCGGCCCATATTTCTGACACCGAATTGGGGAGGGCAGAAATCATGGGCTCTCAGCTCAAGCCCTCAACATCAGGCGGTGCTGTGCAGTCGTCGGCGACAGCCAGCGTACCTGTCGATCTCTCAAGATCGCCAGGCAGTCTCGGACACGCCTCGGCCATCGGCAGCCCCAGTCAAAGTTCCAAATTCAAGGGTATTCGTGACCTCGAGGAGCAGAATAGTCTACAGACAAACCTATCACAGAGAAAGGAAGGACTCCTCTGGTCACTGAGCCGGCCAGGGGGTCATGTTGACCCTCGCAATCTCAACAAACAAGGATGGCACAAGTAAGTCTTATAAACTAATATCCATCAAATTTATCTTCCTTTACTAAAATTTTAACCCAGGTTCTGGATCGTCTTAGATCAGGGTAAATTATCTGAATACAGCAATTGGAAGCAGAAGTTGGATCTTCACATGGAACCAATTGACCTCCGCATGGCCTCGGTTCGCGAGGCCAGAAATGCTGAGAGGCGATTCTGCTTCGAGGTCATAACGCCCAACTTCAAGCGTGTGTATCAGGCAACATCCGAGGAAGATATGAACAGCTGGATCTTGTCTATCAACAATGCTTTGCAGAGCGCGGTGGAGGGCCGTGCCTACCGAGACCGACAGGCGACATCAAGAGGGTCCGATCACTCCATCAACAGGGAGTTTGGCTCGGTTCTCACCGGCAAAATCCAATCAGTTCACGGCTCGCACAATTCGCATCACTCCAACACAAATAGCGGAGTGCCATTCCGAAGAACCACAGTCGGGGCTCGACCGACTCCAGTACGGACGCCCAGCTCGGGCTATGACGAGCACCCTGACAGGCTATTACAAATGCTAAGGGATAATGACCAAGGAAACTGCTGGTGCGCTGATTGTGGCTCAGGAGCCAAGGTTGAATGGGTGTCAATCAACCTGGGTATTATTCTCTGCATCGAATGCAGTGGTATTCACCGCTCCTTGGGGACGCACATCAGCAAAATACGCTCCCTCACTCTGGACATCAAGTCCTTTACGGTCGATATTGTCGAAATGCTCCTACTTGTCGGAAACCGAGTATCAAACATGATCTGGGAGGCCAAACTTGACCACTCTCAAAAGCTGGCGCCACAAGCAACCCGTGAGCAGCGCCTCAGATACATTACCGCGAAATACGTCGATCGCGCATTCGTTGATCCGATTTCGCCAACCCTTTCGCGATACGCTACAGCGGACGACACCTTGCTGGCTGCGATTAAAAAGAACGAGATCCAGCAAGTACTCTACGCTTTGGCACTAAAGGCAAACCCTAATACTGTGGATAAAATGAGAGGGACTCACGCCGTTTGGCTAGCACTCGCAGCTGCTGACCCAGCTTCACCGTCTTCCGCAGCCGGACAGCCGTCGGCAGAGTCTGATACCAAGCCGGTACCTTTTCCAGTGGCGGAGCTACTTGTTCAAAACGGCGCGGAAATCCCAACGTCGCTCCCTGCATTCCCGCTTGGGCGATACGCGCAGCAGTATATCGAACAGAAGAAGGGCAGGGCTTACACTGTTGGTGGCGATTCGGTACCATCGCTACCTACCACTAGCAGCTCGACCGAAAGGCTACTGCGGGATAAAGAAGTTCGGCTTCAGAAGCGAGTGAGCGCAGGGGGAAGGCTGGCAAAGTCGCCTATCCCGGAAAAATAGGAGCCCAAATTCTGGGATCGATTGGCGGGATTCACGCTATGCTACCACATGTACGAGATGCAATGGCTCGGCAGCTTCAGATGAGCCAGTGGTAACAGTTGTACATGTATATTTGCTATTGGGGAACGGTCACCTTGTTATCAAGGCTTTTTACCAGGAGGTGGAATGAGGCAATGCAATGCGATGCCGTGAATTGGAGGCTGGTCTGGCGTTCTTGGAGCTAATATGTCTTGACGAATGAAAGAAAAGAGCTCCTGCAGGAGAACTTACTCAAGCCGATCTGGATAGGGTCCATATCGGGACCCCCAAACCCTATTGGAGAAATTGCGGCCTATGGGGTCAGAAAGAGTATAATATTGGAAAGGTATTTTTCAGCTGGGTAGTAGGAAAACTAGTGATTAATGATTAATGGATACATGAGATGGGAGGATGTTAATGGCTTTAGCACGAACCACCAGACGGTACAGAGATAGAGAGTAGCCAAGTTACCAGTAGGTTAGATGCTATACGAGTACTCTGATGCTTGCAGCGTTGTCTTCGTGATCCGGTGATGGTACGTGTGAGTCACGATGAATGATAGTGGGTTACTTGCTACGCTGCTGGCTGGGCACTGCAACTCCTGAGTCACTTCATGGAGCAGTCCCCTGGTATGGCTTAAAGTATGTCTCTGCGTACTGGGAACCTATATATGAGAGATGGAGAAAGTAAAAACGCCACAAACTTGACCCTAAAGTCAATTGGAAGTGAAAAGCTTCCATACTCGTTCTATTCAAGGCCAAGTAAAGTCTAAACTTCAGGGTTGATGACAACTTACCCCAGTTTGTCCTTTTAACTGACATGTATTTCAGGGGAAAAATCACCTACCTAATTGCCATTCCAGTTGTAGCTCATAAGACGGCCAGTCTGTATCTAGAGGTACCTATCTAGATGTCATATACACTTGGTATCTAATATCAGGAGTAGCAGATGTAGCAGATGTAGCAGATGTAGCAGATGTAGCAGATGTAGCAGATGTAGCAGATGTAGCAATAGTACTTGTAAGCCACTAGAATGCTGTGTTGTAGAAATGGGTTTTCCTTGGATATTTAAAGCAGCCACCTCGCCGTTTGTTCTGCTTTTCTTTTTCTTTTTTCCTTTCTTTTCAATGAATTCAATACATCTCAAAATTGCTACCATGGAACTAGACCTTCAAAAAATGCTGTCACTTCGAAGCCAGTTTTCGACCACCTCATCAGATGCCGCTCGAGATCATGAAGAAGGCTACCGAAAGATCGGAGCAGGAGCTTGCGGTGCAATCTTTGCGGTTGATGGAGAGCCAGCAGCGTTCAAATTAGCAAAGGCAGACCAGGAGTCCCTGTGGAATGATTTCTGCATGCATAAGCTTATCGCAGAGAACTTTCGCAAGTGGAAGTCTCGCAAATGGACATATGCCGATGTCAAAGTTCCCGAGTGTTACTACTTCGTGCCGAAAGACGAACATCTCTACTTCGACAAGAATCCCAGCCTGGTGGAAGCCGCCAAAGACACATGCAACCTGCCAACAAGTATTCTCGTTTCCGAGCGAATTCTGCCACTCCCAAAGCCTACCCGCGACCTGCTCATCGAGAAGTACTGTCCGCCCCAAGTCAAGCAAACGGCTCTCAACGATGTCGCGAATAAAGATTGTCTAGTGCGACCATATCTCGGGTCATTGAAGGGCAGACAGGGACGATTCTTTTCGCTCAGAAATTTCAAGATGCATCTGGAACAAATGGCAGAGCTTCAGCTAGATATCAAGGAGCTGGCTGGCAAAATGGCCACTGCTATGGCGCTCATGCACTGGGCTGCGAAAACCGATGCTCGCGATATTGAATTTGTTTTAGGCAGCTCATCTCTGAAAGCTCAGGTCAAGATGAGTGCTGAACATTATCTCAATCTTCCAGGACCTGTTTACACTGGGCCTCCATCACGCGTGCTTGGGGATTTTTTCATTTGCATCACAGATCTCTGGCTCCTAGATTTCAACCAGGTACGACAAATATCTATGGATGAAGCCGGTGTTGCCATGGCGATTGAAGCCATCAAACTGAATGATCCATATATTCCGAAGCCTCTCCAAGGATCGGAGATTGAAAAGCAGGCATGGGATGAGTTTGTCAAGCAGTATCTTGTTTCAGCCCATGATATCTTACGAGAGGAGCCAAACTACATGGAACTATCGGATCTGCCCGCCATGTTCATCAACGGAGTGATTGAGGTTGAGAGAAAAAAGCAGGAAAAACGAGATTGTGTCGCGGAGGATAAGGAGTAAAGCAACTTTAGCTGTAATTGATTAACATAATATATTTGATTCAAGGCAAGAATCGATCTCACAGCAATGGCTTAAGAATGTGATATGATCCAGGCACTGCTACTTCTGCTACTTCTGCTACTTCTGCTACTTCTGCTACTTCTGCTACTTCTGCTACTTCTGCTACTTCTGCTACTTCTGCTACTTCTGCTACTTCTGCTACTTCTGCTACTTCTGCTACTTC